ACAACTGAAAGACCAACATGAAATCGGACAAATCTGTAAGTAAATAATGAGCTTCGTGTAGCCAATGGATATGATTAAATCATCATGGAATCAAGATGCAATGATTATCACAGAAAATCAGCCAATTTGACGACTATTCAATTAGATAAGTAATTCTGGTTAATGAAATAAACGATATTAATATAAGTGAAAGCAACAAGCAGATAATCATAATTTTCAAACTGATCTTCAGATGAACCAACCTTCAATTGATCAAAATTTGTCATTTTTCATTTTCTATGAAAAGCAAAGTTTGAGCGCAAATTCATGAGTATATTGCTCAATTGAACTTATAAATGTTTCAAATTGAATTTCGTATTTTCTCATAAAAATTGAATGTTGATCAACTTATTAATGAATACATAACATAATATTGCAAAGTTGATTTTATCAAATTGGAGTGAAATATGCACAAATTGGATCTGCTTTTTCATTCACGTTAATAGTGAATACAATATAATGTAAAATTGATCTACATCAGTGTAATTAACTTTTCACATTTCAATTTAAGTTAATTGCAACTAAAAATAATAATTATAATAATACTTAATGGTTAAGACGTATTCACATGGAGTAATAAATGTTGAAACATGAAAATTAAACAAATTACTGTTAAGTAATTCAGCGTTTCTTTAGATCAGCAATTTTTTTACTTTTGTTCATTATCATTATCATTATCAAATCATCTCGGCCTCTTTTCCAACCCATTTAACCATTTATTAAATTGTCAGACCTTTTGCTTCTCGTTAATAATATTACCTTTACTTTCACCAAGTTATAACCATTGATAATAACTGATAACGTGGTAATTGTATGCAACAAGAAGACAGTTTAAACTGACGATGAATATGAAAAGGTATGAATAAGACATGGATTCATTCATTTTTTATTTGCATGAAAAACTTGCAAATGCAAATGTCGAGTTTATTTTTTTAGGCGAAAAAAATTGACTTGATAAATCTTGTCCAATTGAAAGGATCCAAAGATTGGACTGAACTTTGGATTGTGAATAGATGAACAGAATAGTAAGTTTGAGAAGTTTTTTTTTTGCATTTTCAAGATCAATTTAAGGTCTCAGATTTCAAGGGTTAAAGTCATTGAAGACTGGCAAACAAACAAGATAAATTGATATTTGAAATTGAAAGTTATATCAGTGAGAGCAGGGTTAATGTTTATTCAAATCCTGGTCACATAAAATTCTGTGAATGATGGCGATGATGAGCATGATAAAAGGCTATAAAATTAGACTACTTTGCACTTCAACTCACGAATACAATTTGATACTGAAAGACTGCTTTAAATATATTAATGAATTAAAAGATAACAAAGTTTTAAATATGATTCAACGATTTCGATGTCCTTTTAGAGTAGTTTTAGGTGAAAATAATGAACTTTACTTTTGTTTTAACTGAACAATTTTCAGATTCAATCCAATATGAGAATGTACAAATTATTATGACAGTTTGGAAAGGTAAAGAGGACAAGGTAAGTGGAATAGGAAGGAGAGAAAAAAAGGTAAATTGATTCAACAATTGATGATTCTTGGTACATTATCATCTGCAAGAAAATGGCTGAAAACAAGGGAAATAACAATAACTATAACAGACATGGTGAGAAAATAGATAATTCAGGGAATTCTGGTAAACTAGAAAAGATAAGTGTTGATAATAAAGTCTGATTTTTTCACAGAATCGTTTCATCTTTTTTTTTCTCCAATCGATAACTTTTTTCTTCTGCCATTCTTGATGCTGGTTATTTCCACTCAATTTCAACATTACTTTTTTATGTTGACATTAATTTAGGTTGAAATTGAAAAGAAATATCAAAAAATGTTAACAATTAATGTGCATGGAAATAAATAATAGCAGATAAATTGAACAATAAATGTTTGTTAAATTGTATTTCAATTAAAATGATATGTTGTTCATCTTCACATCAACTTGAGAGTTTAAAATGATGTTAGTTTTCAGTCTAATCATCAGTCATTATTATCATGAAAAGGCAATTAAGTCATGAGTTTGTAAAGCAAAGGAAAAGTTTGCTCAGCTAATAAGCAATTTTAATGCCATTTCATGACTTTCTTTGGCAAAGAATAGTTTCTGAATAAATGAGGATTACCATTCAATTGCATCATGTTTCAGTATTTATCAAGTTAACAGAGTCCCAGAATTTAAAGAAATCCAAAAAAAAAACAAATTTCACTCCAACAATTAATGTTAAGATATTCAATAAACGATTCTGATTTATTGAGATTTTGATATTTTCTGTGACACACATTTCGGTTGGAAACAAATAACAAATTTTGTCCTTTAATGCGATTGCAATCAAGCAATTAATCAGCTTCATTTTGTTTCTGTTTTGAAGCGACTCAGTAAAATTGATGATTACAGTTTATTTGTTCATTTTCATGTGATTCAGAGGATATTAGAATAATATGTTTCTCAATATGAAGAGTTTCTGATTTGTGAAGGATATGAAACAAGAGATGATAATAATGATAAAAGATGGGAAAAGGATGAGGCCAAGAATAGGATGGAATAAATGATTGAAGAAATGGATTGAGAAGCAAAAAGTTCTTGAAAATAGTTTCAACCCATTTCGCATTTTTTGTACTTTTCTTTGAATCTTATTTGTTTGCTTTTTTCATCTGACTCATCATAGTCTTGGTTGTGAAGCGAAATATTTTTGCTTACATTTTTAGTTGAAGCTTAGTTTTTGTACGATTTTTTTGCAGTTTCATTCACCAAGCAAATTCATTATTTTTCATAATCTTTTCCAGTCTGTTCATTGTTCACTGGCTCCAGATAAACAGTGGAGCAAAAAGCAGAACAAATAAATCAATGGAAACCAATTCATACAATTAATCAAAAAAAAAGTTTCATTTTTAACGCCACTTTTTGTTTTCTGGTCCTACTGTCAAAATAGTTGCCATTTTGACTTGTTTACCTTAACAATGCGCTTTTTCACGCTCATGTCTTGTTACCTCATCATGATGTGCATTTTTAGATCCTATTTTTGATCTCGAATAATAATTATGCATTACTTTAACCTTTATGAAGGATTCACTATTTATAAATGAAAATAGGAAAAGAGGAAAAAGGATTTTCCATTAAGGATGAAATGCAATGAGAAATTATCATTTCTTATGATTAAAACAAAGAAAAATGATCTCAAATGTATTCATTAATAAAGCCAAATAAGTAATATGTAATAGATTGCATTAACCAATATCATTGGAATACAGTTCAATGAAAAAGCATTACTTTTGTAGATCATTATTTGTCTAATTGTTAACAGTAATGGACTTCAATTTAGCACAAGTTATTTGGTTTCATAAGGATATTAAAAGTAACAATAATCTTTGATCATAACTAAAGGATTGGTAAGAATTGCATGATTTTATGAATAATTGACGACTTGGAATTGATCTTGAAATGAACAAATTTGCCAATGAATATTCATAACTGATGAAAACTGGTGTTTTATCAAATGCTTATCCAAATAGCAATTGTGCTTTTTTGTCAATTTTTCAATATAAATTTTAGCTCGTTTCTTTCATCTCATTATTATTATTCATTTAGAAAAGTGTTGAGTTTGCTTTTCATCTATCAAATGATTCTGCAAAGCAAGCCAAAAATTTGGGCAATTAGGAGCATCTTGATCAGCAGTTGTAAAACCATGAATTTCGTTTATTGTACCTGAATTTTCTTACTGGTCTCTATTTATCAGATGATCACGTTTCTCAAACTCTTTTGGGCTATTATATGCAGCCATTGGTCAACCTTTGAATTTTGCTTTCACTTTAAACACTTGCTTTTCTGACCAACAATTCAGAACTCATATTTCACCATTAAGTCGAAAAGAAAATGAAATTTGTACATTGAATACACGATAAAGAACGATGAATTTTGGGTTCATATTGAGAAATCGATAGCAAATTTTCAACACCAAGACTTGATTTGTTATTAAGAGCAAAACCCTTTCATTTTACTTTTTTTCATCGATCGAATGATGAATTACTAATTAGTATTATTAATATCTTGATATATTAATTCTTGGAAAACTAATTTGAAATTAGTATTAATTTACTGAAAATTGAGGGCATTAGTTGCACGGATTTTAATATAAAAGATTTTATTCTGGAAGATCATCATGAAATAGCAACTAAAGTAAGAAATAATTAAAAAGAGATTATCAATGTGAATAAATAAAACTAATAATACACCGAATGAACTTGCAACACTGAAAGATTTGATTTAATCTAGCTTGTAAATAATAAATATATCTGTTAGGATCAAGGTAATGTGAATGATTATTCAGGTACGTAAGGATTCCAATTTATACGGACGACAAAAAAAGAGAATAATGACAGAATAATCAGTAACAATAGAAAAATGAATTATCCGAGAAGATGAAAAGATAAATTCAATCCATAATGGAATCATTGAAGACAACAAAATGTCCATCAATTGTAGTTACAGCTAATTCAATGAAGTCTAAATATCTAAGTACAAGCTAATAGCAGGTTTAGATTTTGAAACGTTTCCAGACTCTCGTGAAAACGAGGATAAAATCAAATCGTACAAAAAAAATCTCAATTGACTCGAGCACAAATACATTCATCGACACTTCGCATTTTATTAACATTAAAAATTACTGCAATCTAATTTCGCTTCCTCAAGATTGTAACCAAATAAAGGCAAAGAAAAAGTCGAACAAGTCTTATGTTGATTCGATTTTGAAAAAGCTAAAAGCTTTTACATTTCTGCAAAAAGTGACTCAGAAGACGCCTTAACATTAGCGCTTGTGGACATTAACATTAAGCTCGACAAGTCTTTTTGACACAAAACTAAAGCAATTAATGCTAAAGCAAAGATCCTAAAATGGTCAATATTTTTGTGTTTAACTTGCAAGTGAATTGGAAGCAGAAAATGTTGATGTAAATCGAAAGGTGAACTTACCCTAAGGAAATCAATTTTGGAAGGACAAGCTAAAAAACGGACGCTAAGTTCAAGTGTAAACCAAAATATACAGGCAGTTTCTATAATAAAAAAGGGTTCCGTCGCGGATGGGGTTTCGTCCTCCACAACCTTAGTAGAATTTCCTTTGGTAAAAATTTTGTAATGCTTGAATTGAGGCATGGTTTCCAGACAAAATATCACAATGGAAAAAATGATTACCAGAACGGAAATAATGGCCACATAACGGGCTGACATGGAGCTTTCTGGATGCTCAAAGAGTAACCAAAGTTTACGTTGCAATGGATTCTCTGGCAGTGGTTTTTCAACCTCTTCTTGGCCAAAACCTTCGTCCGCTTTCAATTTACCAAAAGCAATCTCACCGAGTTCAAAAAATTTTATCTCCTCAACAAACATGTCCAACGGTATGTTTCCAGGTCTTCTTAAACGACCTCCGCTTTGATAATAATAGAGAATAGCATCGAAACAAATTCTACATCGATCGAAAAAATATTCATTTCGATGTGAATCAAAATATCTGTTGATAAACAATAACCATTAATTAGTTGAGTAACACAATTAATGAATAATCAATGGAAAAGGTCACAATTATTTGAAACTTGATTCTTGATTAATGTTTTTGTCGAGTGAAAAAATTGCAAACTCATATAAAAATTGTAATTGAAGATGCAGTTGGATTATCAGATATTACAGAATCTCATTTTCCATTCATTTGCACATTCATTTCATTCATTTTCTTAGTTAATTCATTAACTTTTTTTTCTCCTTTTACCGGTTTCTTTATCAATTTTCCTCTTTTTTTTGTTTCCCAAAGTATGCACAATGCTCAGTATTCTGAATAACATGAATATAAATTCTGGCAGTATCATGATAAGAATGCTACTGGGAAGAGAGGTTTAGCTTTATCACATGAAAAATACATTTCTTTCGACAGATTTGTTTTAAAGGTTTTACTTGGACTGAAGGAATGTCTTGAGGCAAGTTATCAACATCCTCATCATCACTATGAAAAAGCATCATCTCCATTTTGTTATCAATGAAATGCATTCACGCGTTAGAGGCTGGCTTTTTTTTTGTTTTCCCCTCAAGTTTAATGGTTACACCTCGAAGAGTTATGATGAAATGATGAAAGGCCAAGAATTTGATCAGAAAAAAAAGAAATGTTTTCAGGATAAATTCAACAACAACAAAATAAATAGCAAATAAAACCCAACAATTCAAAAAAGGTTAGTCAAGTTTCCTTGTTTGTAACAAACCCGATTCTGTCCATTCCATTCCGTTCTGTTTCTTGTAACAATCGATATAATTGTTACTTCATTTTTAACAAAATTTCATAATTAAAATGATCGAATTCAATTTTTAAAAACATTTCCTGATCTCTGCTATTTTGATCACTGATTATGGGCAGTTTTGAAAAACATGATAAAGACAAGAGTTTCAGAGGGAAATGAAAATAGTGACAAGTTGAACAAAAAGGTTGAACAAAAAACATGATTGATTGAAGGTTTAATTTTAATAAGTTGTCATTGATTATTCAATAATATTACAAATAGAGAAGCATTATTATTGATTGGTAAATTGATTTTTAATTGAAAATTGTCCTTCTCTTAACATTTATCAAACTGAAAGTTCCGTTTAGTTGTGACAAAACGAAGGATCAAAAGATGACTTTTTTTACCATTCACATCTTGATGATTCAATGAACTTGTAGGTTTATTGTGACAGCCTTTTCATTGATTTGTATGTACTTATTCAGTTCGATTAAAACGTTGATTATTAACGTTTCTTTTGAAGGAAGAAAAAAAACTGAAAGCTAAACTGAATTTCATGTTGTCCAGTAATAATGTGATTTACAGTTGACTGAATGTTTGGGAAAGAAGCATTTCATCAGGTAAATAAAATGGATCATGATGAGTGCACAAGAACAAGTTTCAAGAATAAGATTTCAATCTAAAAGTGACTAACTATTAACAATTCGAGATCGTTGACATTTTCTCGAGTCTCATCTTTCACTTTATCATTCTCATCATCAACATCTTCATCGGTCTTCCGATTGATTCTTTGTAATATTCCTTCAGAATAACTTGACTTTCATTTATCTCAATCCTTTTGTCTTTCCTCATTTACCATCATTTCACTTTGTCTTCTTGTTTTTGTTTATTACTTTCTTCCCTTGAATCGTTCATGAGAGAATGACAGACATCTTTGGAATACTCTGATCAGTTACACATTTTCAATTCAACTAAATGCAATTAGTTCCATCAAGTGACAGAGCAATCGTACAGCAAATTGGGAAAAGTTCAACCACTGAAAACAATCAAATGGTCAGCATGATAACAATGTTATCAATGTTACTCCAAGTGCAAGTCTTGACTAAGCTTGGGACACTCTTCAAGTCTTTATTGAGTTTTCACCAAAAAATTCAATTGAAAGGAAAAATGTCAAAAAATGAAATTTAATCACAACCATGACAAGTTTTAAACCAGAAACACACAATGAAAATAATCATTAGAGCAACAACCTTTGATACAATCATGTAATTAAAATGATTTACGATTGAAATGGGATTGAATAGTTTTTCATAACCAATTGTCATTACTTTTTGGAAATCTTTTCTTCAAGAATTTCTATTCAATTGAAATTTATCGTTGGCTGTATTTACTCTACTTTTCACCTTTTATTTACTCGTTTCTTAATCATAGTATTCAATTTATTCCTTGTGACAATTTTTCTGGTTCCCTGGTTCCTCACTAAATTAATCAACCTTCTTACCTCAATTCAGACCATGAACTTGCAAGAATTGGCTAACTTAACGTAATCATAGTCAGTCTATTTTCAACAGTAATTTGAATAACAACTATTGACCTCATTGCAAGTGTTTTCTTATTGATTTTCATCAACTTACCAATTCATTAGGTTAATTCATGTTTACCTTGATTATAAGTCAATTGAATTTGACAAAAAATTTCCAGTTTCAATCAGGAAACAAATTATTAGTCGATAAAGAGAAGCTAAGAATTTTTTTTCCTTCGTTTCCAATCAGTGAATCTGATGGGTTTGATCTGTGACTTGTAATTTATGGTCTCATCTGATTTGATACATTTTCATAAGTATTTAAGGATTTCCGTCTCATTTTGTCATCTCTTCATTTCTTCACCTCCCTGTGACATTCACATTGATCTAGAATTTTTTTATTACTATTCATGGAAAAGACAAGGGAATGGTAAAGGTGATAAAGATGATGAAGATGATCAAGAATACAGTATTAAGTGTTAGTTAATATGATGTAAAACGTTTCATGGTCTGGTGATCAACTTGACTGAAGTATGATGAAAGGTTTCATCAACAGCAGCCAAAGCTGAATATAAAACTGTGACTCAATTATTTTCATGAGTCACGTATTTAGGTGTTTGCGACGTTTCCATGTACAATGAGATATTGGGAGTTGATAACTTGGTGTATGATAAGTTACAATTGAGATAATCATCAAGATAATAGCAATAATAATGATGATGCCACTTTCTTACGCTTTTTAACCAGACTAAGAGAAATGGTTAAGATTATTATTTTTCATGGAAAATCAGGAATTTCTTTAAGCAGGCAAAAATGCTATTGGGTGACACGTCAAGAGATGATAATAAAAGGGAAGACAAAATTGACCAGAATAACCAGTTATGTATTAGACAATATAATAATCAATTGGTCTCAAAGGATTTACAGTAAAAGTCGCCAAGAATTATGGTTCAACCAAATATCGTGGCATTCAGATTATTATTATTATGCTTCTAATATACATATTTTATGGATATAACTTGAATGGCAAGTAAAGTTTCATGTAACTTTGTTTTAAGCTGTAAGTCTTGGCTTCTTTTAAAACTCGTCACTTTTCATGGTTAAACTCTCATGAGAAATGATGAGCAAAGTAATGGTCGATGTTAATGATGATGATGTAAAGTGAGAAACATTTGCTGTTCATTGTCATGTCATCCATTGATGAAAGGATGATCAAGAGGAACAAGTTCAAGATTATTTTCTCATGCAAAAAATGAGTCTTTTAAAGAAACTTTTCACTATTAAAAGTAACTTGTTCGTTCCAAGCAATAATCAGGAGAAGGTTCACTGATTTTCGAACAAACATCAAATTCATTTTTTTCCTTCTTCTCCTCTTTCACTATTTGTCTGTGTCTGCAACTCGAGTTCAAACCATGATTGAAGGGATTATCATGAAAGATTAAAATCTGAGTGTTTTCTTTTTTCTTCATTCCCATGATGAACAAGGAAAAAAATACAAAGTTATTAAAATGTAATTTTTCATCACATTACTAGTTGATCAGTGAAGCTTGATGGGAAACCTTAACTCGATATTAGCATTTCATGAATGATGAAAACTTTAGAGATGAAATTCTGGCGAGATATAATTGAATTGATATTGAACCATTACCAGGATAGGTAACAAAGGTTATTTGGTAATTTGGTTAAATTAGTTGGCTAATTCATGTTAATCACTATTAGTGGAGGAACAATTTGTTAAAATAAGATTAATGAAAAGTTGGAAAAGCTATCAATGTTGGTTAATAATTAGTCATTGTTTTTTGGTGTCGTTGCCATTGTCAATTGTGATTGTTATGTTAATCAGCAATCAGGATGAAAAAAAGGTGAGAAAACCTTTTAGTATCTTAATTGTTGAAAGGATAAAAGTGCTTTTATAATTGAGTTGCAACTAATTTAAAATTCAAAGTATTTACCGGAATCTTTTGTGAAAGATGAAGATATGATAATTTGTTACAATTATTCAACTCTACTTTCAGTGATTCCGTTTGATAATTGGTTTCACAGGTTTTCACAGGATGTATTGAAATTTTGATTAATTTTGTAAGTCACCTAATCTTGAAATTAGCTGAATGTTCAAGCCAATGGCAATGGCATGCTCATCAAGGATTCGGATGAAATAGCAATTATCGTCAAGATAATCAATAATTATACTGCTTTTGGCCAGAATAAGATGAATAAGATGAAAAGGAAATTGAAGAAACATTGAAACTAGCAATGGAATGAGTTATTCCCTGAAAATATTAATTGTGAGCGATTCTGCTTCGTTTTTTTCATTATCTGTTGCCCTTTGTTTTTCATCCAAGTAATCAAATATTTCTTTTTATATTCACATTACAATTGTTGTTGGAAAAATGCTCAGCAAAAGGCGATAAACAATTCTTTTTGAGTTGATTATTCTTTAAATAAAGGAAATGGGAATGTTAATGGATAACATGGTAAAGGGTTGCAGCAAGTTGAAAAGCTAACTTAATATTGAATCAAATGAACAATTGAATATTGAATTATGCCGATGTACAGTTTTTCAAAGGCTTCAAGATTCAATCAAGTGAAAGCGTGAAACTGAAAGTATCGTTACGAGAGTTCAATTATCTTTCAATATTAACAGGTAAAAGGTGTATAATGATGAATGAAAATTTATGCTCATTCTGTTGGAAAATTACGATTCAATTTACCATGTTTACTGGAAAATTTGGTTACAAAATTTTCTTCTTCTTTTCATTTTAAATGTTGAAAGTGAATTTAAAATTGACAGGAATTTTATAATTGCTTCAAATTGCTGCCAATTTAAATGTAAAACATTTTTTTCTCAACCAAATTTAATTTGTCAAAAATTATTATTTGCTCGATTCTGAGTTTGCTGAGTTGATACAATGGAAAATATTTAGCTGCGGAAAAAGCTAAACAGAAATTTTTCAATCCTTTTATTGGTTTTAATAAATTGTTTGGTGAAGGTTTCATTTTTCAATTCATTGTAAACAATGATTCATTATAATTATCCATTAAACTTTCAGATATTGAAAATTCTTGATTGAGTAAATTAAATTATTTTTCATAATATCATATCTTTCTGAATATTCATTACAATGTATAACATTTTATTCAATTTTTACCAATCAATCAAATCAAATTTTATTTGCTATTAATATTTTGTATTTTGAACTGATCAAAATGATGAAGTCAATTTAATAACTAACATGGAGTCAGCTATAGTTACAATTAAGGATTCTTTGTTTAATGAGTGAAAGGATTTTAAATCAAATCAATTTTTTAGACGGATAATGAGGCGAGAGTTGATTTTGAATATTAATTGTCATGCAAATCGGTAATTTTAGGTCCAACCGGTAAAATTGTCTTTGATTTAGTTTCACTTGGATTTAAACAACCATCGGAATTGCCTGCTTTAGGAATGAAAATACCATCTGCTCCTATTGAATGATTAATTGAGTAAATTTTTGATACAAAATCACAATTTTTAGACAAAAACATTAATCCTTAATTTAGTTTGGATTTAAATGAAGTTAATAAGTTGGAATTAGTTGTTATTTTAAGGTTTTATACTTGTTATTAATAACGTTAGTTGTTAGTTAATTGTGACTTTAAAGAGCAAAGTTTTGGTTTCAACTTTTGAAGGTTTACTCACCTTGCTCGTCTCTCTGGATTGCCCAGTAACGTATTGGGAAACATATTGAGCGTTCGTAAAGTTGTTTCAAACTTCATCCCACTAACATTGATATTGACTCGTTCACAAAGACTATGGTCATGTTCAAGGGGTTCAAATTCAGACCAAGGGATGATATGCTCAGGCACCTTCTGGGAACGTTTACTTCCACTTCTGAGACTTGTTTCTCGGTTCAACCTTTCCTCACCATTAGTAACTTCACCAATACACAGAACACTGTTCCTTCTGGAAGTTGTAACCCTTTCACCCTCTCCAACTGCACCACTACTTGGGACATCAACATTATCACCTCTTGCACCTCCACCTCCTCCACCACCTCCTTTGTTATTTACACTCTCATCAAGGCCATCTTTTCTCTCATGAGGTTCATCTTCCGATTCTTGAATTAAACACCCGCGAGATTCAGATTTGGTTAGGTTTCTGGAAAAGGCAGAGAAAAGCAGAGAAAAATAATTAGTCTTTTTGTATTTTCAGATAGGATTATAAAGATCTTTCAATGATTCCATGAATATTGAACATAACCCAAAACTGGTGAGTATCAAGTAGACTCAGCTAGATAACTTTTATTTGATCAACTCGCAAAGAAACATGTAAATTTGATTACTCGAGTAGATTGAGATGAAAGCATGAATTGAAAATACGTTTACTCTAATTGACTGATACTTCAACGAAAATTTGATTGCTAGTTGAAGCTCATTCTCACTTTATTGATTTATTACAATCACTGGTGACATGTAAAGGGGTTCAACTTGAAAAATACATTAACAGTAAGATATTTCAGGGAAATCATTATGACCTTTAAATTGAATTGAAATTAGTTAATAGACAATTCGAGCAGAATAATGAAAAGTAACTTGAACCAATTAAACTGAAAATCATGAAAATCGTAATTCGTCAAAGAATAACTTTCAAGCTCAATTCTAATGATTCAGGGTAAAGTTGATGCAAAAAGAAGATACAATTTATTATAAGTTGAATTAATTAATGAGGATAAACAAGCAGGAAGGAAATTCAAATGGATCATTGAACATGATTAAAATGTCAAATTGGAAAATAAGCATTTTCAAGTTCCATTCCAAATGAAATGCAACTTTCAATTGGAATGATGAAAAAGATGGAATGATTGAAAAAAAGGTAAAATTGTTCAGTTTCAACATGAGACTGTAACCTTTGTTATTTAGAGTTGAAAGTAGAGTGAGTTAAAAAAGGTTGAAAGTGAATATTTCAGGTCACGTTGACCTACTTTCATATTCCCTTACTTTACCTAAACTTGTTTCTTTTCCTTCCCTTTCTAACTCACTTATACACAAACAGATCGATAACTGTTGGGAGTGAAAAAATAATTCATCTAGGGAGTGTGATCTAGGGATGGAATAATTGAGAAGGGTAACAATCTCATGATAGCCTGAGGAGCTAACGAGCAACTTTTGATTCTTGTTTTTTCTCGCAGATTAAAACTTTAATGTAGACTTTAATAAAATCAATAGACAGTATAACAAGAAAGTTGAGCTTAAGAGTAGACATGATTAAAACTAAAGTTGTCTTTGAAACTTAAAAGCGTTTGAAAGGCAGTTTGAAATTTGTATTCAAGTCAAATTCAGATTCAGTCTTGGATTCAACCAAGATTAATTTTCACATGAAAAATATTAACAAGGCTAACAAGTGAATAATAATTCATTTTATTGGTCAATTTCAAGTTAAGGTTTTTATTGAGAAAAATTATGCAAATGGTTAATTTTAATTTCAAGTGTTTCGTTTGATTGATTCAACTGATCGATCTGAGTATTGGCAAAAAATCAATTTTCAGGTTCAGGTAAAAGGAGTGAAATATTGACCTTATATTGTTAGACAAGTTTCATGAGCTTATCAATGCTTGAAATTTATTTTGCTCATCTTTTTTGGTAAAATAAATTGGTGCAGTTCGAAGTGAAAGGAACCAAAATGAAGTGAATTTCATTCCTAATTGTTAGGAGTCTTTTTCATGGAAGTTGTTTCAATGAGATTGACGGGTTTCAACTTACGGTAAAAATTGATATTTTTTTGGTAAAAAGCTTAGTATTTCAACAAATATGCTCACTTTCTGTTGACACACTTTGCAACATGTACTATGTTTGTTCAACTACTTAAAAGTACTACAATGGTATTGAATGGTTAATAAACTGAATCAAACTAAGAGAAACACTCTGAAGGAAGTTAACTTCCGATTAACACAATTTTTTACTCAAATTCAGTTTTTTCTTTCTGATGAAACAAAAATCGAAAAAACGGAAACTCATGGAGTACAAAGAAGTTGATGTAAGGTGTAAGGATTATTACCAGATAGATGGAAAGAATTGTTAGGATACTTTATTAGAAGAAAAGATTTTCTGTTAAAAAAATGATTATCATGAAATGAAGTTATTGAAGATAGAAACAGGAAGTAGAAAGAAAAATTGAATCGATTGAAAGAAAAAGCAAAGTTTGTTGAGCAAAATTTCATGGAAGTTAAATAATTTTGAAAAAATATCATGAGTATAATAACCATCATGCTGGTAGTGATTTTGTTTCTGCTGATTCTCATCATCATTATCATCGTGATAAAAATTCAATTGGATGGAAATTCATCATTTCTGTCAACAGATGATAGAAATGATTTCAACCAATGAAAAGTTTCACAGCAAATTATTTTTGTTTACAAATTGTAAACATTTTTTGACATTTATTAATACATGGCAATTCAATAGGAATCGATAAGTTTCTAATTCAAGTATCGTTACAAATTTTTGTTGCAAAATTTGAAATTAACATTTGAAGCTATTAATAGATAAGGTTAATTCAATCCTGAGTAATTTCAGGTTCGGGATTGGGAAGAATTAAGAATGAAAAATAATCAAAATATTGTCTGAATAGCAATTATTTTCAAGTAATTGTCTATTTTGGTTTGTTTACATTTTAAAAATTAAAAATAACTCATAAGAATAATAATCTGAGATTTTGCTGCATGACAAGGTATTAATTTCATGATTTATATTCTGAGCTTTTCTTCTATTGTTGAACTTTTCCTTTTCTTCTCTCTGTTGTGTTATGAAAAAAGATGTCCATGATTTTCAGTGCGATTTTGATGTTTAGAAATATCTTTATGGTTATTTTCAGATACAAAATGAAACTCATTAGAATAAACTTCATTGACATATCAATTCTGTAATAAGGTTATTAATAGTAATAGTGATTCTTGATAATTCAGGGTAATCATCGATTTGTTGAGTTGAAAGAGGGAGAGAAGATATTAATATTTAACAGGTGAGTTGTAAATTGATACTGTGATCGATTTATTCTTAAATTGGAAAATATGGAATTGAATTGAATTTTTTTTTCAGGGAGTGTGGAGAAAAAATCTTTCAAATGTAAGGCAACTCGAATATTTTACGCTTTTGTACACTTTTGAGTTGGTGAAATGTTGATTAATTGAATTTTGACTAGGAATGGTTTTCACATGAGTAAAAATGTATGTTTGAGTTTGTTATGCTTACTTTATGGAAGAATGAGTAGTTGAAAGGGTTGATGATGAACTTTTCCTTAAAAGTGATGCAGCTGTATCATGTTGGCCGGTAATCACAGCCGTAGATGAAGCACTTTTGGCAAATTTTTTCAACAATTTATGTGCAGTTGTAGTGCCCTTGCCTCTGGACCCTGATTTATTACTAGATGTGTTAATGTCTTTATTATTGTTGGTATCATTATTATGGCTACTCGATGTTCCTTCATGACCCGTTGAAGATTCCTTATGATGAGCCTCGGAAGGAGAACGAAAATGTCCAATGGCACTGAGATTTGAATAAACAGAGGCAGAAGGAGTTGACAATTTGGAAGGTCCACTTTCACAGCTTCCAGCAGCCGAGTCTTTACGAGCAGATTTGGTTCCTTGGTAATGACGATGGTCCACACTGTAGATGCATTTACCAAAATTGGTTGTCAACTCGAGATCACCAAATGGCTGGGAACTGGGTCCACCCGAGATTCCTCCACCTCCACCACCGGCACCACCACCTCCACCAAGACCAGATCGACCTCCTCCTCGTGATGGGGTCAAATTGATTCCCCATCTTTTGAGGATATTGGCTGCTCCGATTGCCCCTTGAATCTTGGTGATACTATTTTCACCTTCTCTTCCTTCACTTTGGGTTTTCTCGTGGCTTCAATTTTACTTGCCACTTTGGTCTTGCTCGCCTTTTTCGCCACCTTCTGCTTCTTCACCTTGTTTACTTGTTTCTTTCCTCTCTTTCTCGCCTTCTTTCTGCTCAACCTTTTGGGACTGATAACTTGCAATGGTTAAAGTCCCTATGGTTGATGGAAGAGAGGAGAAAGGAGAAAGAGAAATGGTAAATAGAAGGAAGATTTGGATGAAAGAAGAAGAAAAAAATGAGACTAATTTGATTCAATTTGCTTCACACAGATAAATCGAAAGCTTATGGGTCACTTGATTAATTATTATTATTGATACTTTTTTATGAGCTGTTCCAAGATAATTATTAATAACCGGCTTAGTCCAAGTTGTTAATCTTTGTTACAAATTAATTGATCCATATTCTTTCTTCCAGTTATCCTTGGAGTAATCCTAGGGAAAGTTGAATTCCATTACGATGGTAACACAGAAAGATGGCCATATTTAATCAATGAGCTGATGTTTCATTTTGTGCAAGTTTTGATTATGCTGTGCAGGATTTGTAACACAAGTTAACAAGATTAAATGCACCAATTCAGAGCCAATTTGTTCCTTGAGTCTCTTTTCCAGATAAAAAATAATCACAATTAAAAAACAATAACCGTGTGAAACATTGACCTTAGCTTTAAAATGGACTTGAAACAAATGTAATTCACAACAAGCAATAATTCACTGAAGAAATATGATTCTGATGGTCAAGATATTTCTTCCGTTGTAAACAATGATTATGTTAACAATGCTACCACTGATGATGGTGTTATTTTTTGATGATGATGATGTTATCAGAAGGAAAAAATGTAAATTAATATGATTTAGTAGAAAAAAACAGAACAATTGATAAAATCGAATGTAAAGACAAATAAAGCTAATGTGAAATCACTTGGTAAAGATGATATCAATAAGGTTGATTGTCGATTTATGATGATTTTTGGAAGATTACACTGATTTTGATTCAAAGTGTTACGTATTTTCACAGTAATACAATAAAATAATTGATACGAATTAAACTAAAAAACAATTGGCAGGTAAATAAGAAAGGTAAAATTACACAATAAAATAGAGAAGGAACCAAAAAAAGAGAGAAAATTTTGGTTAGCAAAAAAGAAAGAACAGTTGATTGATGATTTGTTGTTGATACTGTATATGTATTAGGATCGAGTTGTTCGTTGTCTTCAATTTATTCCGTTAATATTTACTGTATTGTTGCTCCTTTTAAAGTTGATTATTACATCAGTTTGAAATGTAATTTATAATTATTAATAATAACACCTAAAACATTGATCCAAATCATTATAATTTCATTTTTCTAGTTTTTGGTTACCCCATTTCAATTAGGAAACTTACACAGGGTCTAAGGCTTCTTACACATTCACAGGTTCACATTCAACTCCAAAACACTACCTTTATCCACCGTTAGATGTCACTTGGCTCTTCTTTACCTTTCTTTGTACAATAAGCTCTTTCTTTCACCTTTTTACTCATCTTCTTCCTTCCCATGTTCAGTTCAGCATCATGTTATCATGCTTCATCCTTTTTTCTGTAGCCAATCTAATACTTTCATTTATATTCACCTTTTCAGTAACAATTTTCCCGGATACTCCATGTGCACCTGATCGCCATCTATTAGAACTGATAAAAACTTGAATAATAAAAGAGGGAGCAAAAAATCAATTTTTCTTGAGTAACGGCTTTTAGCTTTTTATTAATAATCTTTTTTTTAACAATTTAAATTTATTTAACATCATTTAATCCTTTCTAATTGTTATATTAATGAGCTAAATTTTTTAGCTGTTAATCTCTGTGTTTTCGATAATCTCTTTTCTAATTCCCTGGTTTGCTTATTATGTTGTGTTTTAAGCGTTAGTTTGGTTTGTGTTCAAAAGTCTTCTTTTGTTTCATTGCCATTTTTCATTGGCAAAGTGTTAACATATTGAAACTTGACTTATTGTTACATTGATTCGTCTTATTGATGTCTTCCTGTCTACCATGTGTTTCATGGATTTGATACTTGATGATCTTTAAAAAAAGATCATCTCTCTTCTTGATCTATTCTTATCGTATTTGGCTCATAATCAATTGTTTTTTGTCTTTGTTATCCATCACTCATCACTCAAAGTGAACATATTACAATTTTCCCGTTTCCCCTCAAAAAAATGGATGAATGTAAATCAAGTTTGGATTCAGTTAAACCTAAACAAAGACAGTCTAACCAACTTTGTTCAATTTATTTTAACCTCTGTTACTCGAAGATTAATCAATGAGACGACCCTGGTTTATTGTAATTATGGTGGATTGATTAAAGTGAAATTGGTTGTGATTAATGATTCGCATTGATTGAGACAAAATGGTAAAACATTGCAGTGTTAACATTGATTTCTTTTGGCTCTCCTTTGGCAATTATTAACTATCTCTGTCTTGGTGATTTATCCTTGTTTATCAATTTCTTGATCAATCACAAGCTGAAATCAATATCTTTATTATCTTATTGTCATTTATATCAGGGAAGAAGCAAAAAGCGGTAAATGTCTCATTCAAGCGAAACATACAACCACATGAAGATGGAAACTTATTGGTTCAATTGCTGATGATAAGAAGGAGGATAAGGAGAAAGTGATGGAGATTGTGATAAAAAGATTTAAAGAGCAAAAATAAGGTGAAATGAGATGTTTTCAAAATGATTGCAATCATTTTGTTGGCTGAAACTGAAACCAGCGAGCGATGACTTTACCAGCTTCATCGATTTAATAATCTTATTGATTATTGGAATTGTCTTCAATCAAAACAAAATCATTTTTCCATTTCTTCATATTCATTTAAATACAATTGAACAGTCGAGTTGATCGTAAAAAATTGGCATCTTTAAATTTCTTCATCACAACAGCAGACATGGAAATGAATTAACCATTTTAGACTCTCATTGACAGACATTACTTTTTGTCTCCAGTCTATACATCACAATCAATAACTCAAAACAATTGCAACGGATTGATCATTAATATTGATAGGAATTGTGATTTAAGGCTATCACTAAAGTTACCCATCAAAGCGTCCAACTCTGGTTGGTAGTCCAGCTTTACCCAACAAACCAAACTTAACGTTCTTTAACCAGTCGAGGCTTTAAATGATTTATAATTAACTGCAATTATAACCATTGTATGACTCAAGTGATTACTCAGAGTTACCTAGCGTGGGAATTGATTAAAGATGATTGGAAGTCCGCACTCTTGAGCTTTATAAAAACAGTGAATTCTGGTTCTGTCCATTTATCATCAGATACCTTCCTTTTTTAGAGTTTAAATTGCAATTATTAAACAAACAAACATTTTTAATTGTGAACCTTAAATATGAAAGTGAAAGCTAATTAATTTATTGGATTGAATCAAGAAAACTGTATAAATAGCAATTTACTGTGAAGATGATTTTTCTGGTTAGATGTAAGCTTGACTAAACATAAACTCAGAAAGCGACTTCAAGAGTTTCACATGAAAAATGCTAATTATGATTTTTTTCATTGTTTAACTTTATTGTTGAATTGTTACAATTAAAATAAGTCACTTTCAAATTAATATCAACATTTTAAATCAAATTTCCTCTTGAAGCTTAACCAGGAAAAGACCAAGATTATGTTGGACTTGAGAAGCCAGTTTTATCTAAATTAACCTAAAAATATTTCACACTAATCTTAACCAGGATATTTGATTAACTTGACGATTAAATTCAGCATCAACTTTGGGTTAAATTGTCGTGCAAATCAGATGAAAGTTTAAAAATTTAACCAATAAAATGGCATTATCAATTGACTAAATTTAGCTCACATTAGCACAAGTTCAATATTGAACACTTTCATACTTGGTGTAGTGTTAACCAAACATTAACCAGACTCAAATTGAGTTAAAATTAATTTCATTTACCTAAACTAATAAACCCTGAAAAGTGAACACAAAGTGAATCAAGTGAAAGTATAATTATCATATTATTATAGCAAACGGAATATACACACAAAAGATCAACAATTTGACTTAAAAACACTTAATTGTGATGAACATTACCAACACTTAGGCCATTTTATCGCAGGGTAAACTTAATCCGGTAATGATAGAGTTGATAATCATATCAGTAAAACAGTTATCGACATTTATAATTTGAGTACCAAGTTACTAGAAGGGTTCATCAGCCGACTGGTAAACTATCAACTTTACCATTAATTGTAACCGGACGCAACACCTTTCAGGTTTATCTTTATTTTTCAATTACCTTTTTATGTATTATTATTAGTATTGCTCATGTTGTTGTCTTTTTCAAATAGTTATTTGTTCACTTTTTTGGATATCATGATGATGATGAGTCGTAACAAAAAAAATAACATCAACAAAAAGCTTAATGTTGTCAAAAAGGTTGTAAACGATCTTAAAATGATCTAAGAATAGGCTTTAATATCGCAAACATTTTGTCACTTTCATCAGGAAAGATAATATTATCACTTTGTACCAAGGATATAATGGAATAAATCATAACTATTTAACTAATATATCAATAAATTGATTATCAATTCAACACAAAAAGCACAATAAAAAAAGGTAAACAATAACCGGTATAAGTACAAAAAACATAAAAGAGATGGCGTTTTGTCATTACTTTCCTTTTTTGCATTTGTTTTTATTAATAATAATTTTGATTGTTGTACTGATTGTTTAGCTGGTGGTTATGCTTGTAGTGTTTATTTGATTTTATTGATGATTTACTGAAAGCCTAATAACAATTAAAAAGGTATGTAAAGTTAAATAAAAATGAAAGATGGTTAAATAATAGGAAGAAATAATAACACTATGTTTAGCTAATGAATGTGTTAAGATTGATGAGAAGCCATTAAGCTAAATGTTTATTCCTTCTTGTTCACATTACCGATTAATAAATGATATTAATAATAGAAAGATGGATTTGTGATTTACTTTAATACATTAAACTATTGTTAATAATAACATTGTAATGTAATACGATTGGTGTCTTTAATTGTTGATGTTATTTCGTTGATTTGATAATGATACTTGTGACTATACATTTCGCCTTTCATCTCATGTGTACATATTGGCTTTATATTGTATTCAATATTGTTTTCAATATTTCAACATTAACAGTCATTATCATTTATTATCATGATTGTTATTAATATTGTCATTATTTCAGGTTTAAGATTTATTAATCTTACGGACTGTTGATCATGTTTAGTTTGTAAATGCAAAATTAAGATTAAGGTAGAAAAATGAGACAATGTGATGGATTGTTGATTGTTGAAGGGATAAAAAGAGGTAATTAGGGGAAATTGAAAATAAATTTTCATGGTAAAATTAAGGGTCACAAAAATTGATGATTCAAATCCAAATCTATAATTAAAGTGACTTTGATTAACCACAATATAACTCTGGTGTTGAAGCTATTAACATTAACAATTTGGTCCATCTTTTACGGCTTTTAGTGTGAGACTGCCATTGAGATGTTTAGGGTTTAATAAACTGTAACAGTAAATTGTAAATGGTTACAAAAAAGGTTAATTTTTGACCAAAAAATGAGGATTACGATTGTAAAGATGATGATACTTGATGATGTTTTGATTTTTCATCTTATCTTCCTTGTCATTCCCACTTTTACTTGAATCCGGTTTGTTGGTCAAATTGAAAGTGATCTTGTCAGGTTAAAGTTAATTTGACTTGAGATATTTATAAGTGAAATTACAACTAAAAGATGAGGATGAAAAACGAAAGACAAAAACAAGTTCAAAAGATGTTAAGAAAGAGAAATGAAGAGAGGGAGAAAGGTGGATGAGGATAAAATAGTTTTAGTGGGAGTGAATGAGGGAGACTTAGCGGGATAAATGTTTTGGTTTAAAGTGGCTTTACATTAATTTAAAACTGTTTAGTTGACAAGAATCATCAACAAGTGTAACATTAACATCACTGTTGTTGCTTAATTAATAGTTAGTTAAACAGTAAAACGTTCAAAAATTAAGGAAAGAGGGAAAAATTAGAAAAGCAAAACAATTAAAGTTAAATAGTAAATAATTTTCTGTCCGTTTAGCAAACAAAAACAATATGAACTAAATTAATTTCAACCATTAAAGATAATTGTAACTCTTTTTTGTACTTGTGCATGTTTACAGTTGTTTAAGATCACTTTCAAATCCACTTCCAAATTGATTTGCAGTGTTTGAATAGTTAAGTATCATCATCAGTTCATCATGGCCTTTGGGAAAATCAGTGGCCGACGTTTAGCCGCTGTTATTTTGTCCATCTGTATCTATTTACCAAGTATTCCTGTACTCTGTATAGTCACACCAAATAATGCAACCTCGCCATCAGCGTCCACATTAACATCAACCAAAAGTGCCCCTTCGCCATCTTCCTCCACAACAACAGTAACACCGATAGATAAGTCAGCTCCAGCGTCAGGAATAGCATCTCCTGTGTACAGTGATACCTTAGGTCGAATGATGGCCGCAAGTACATTTATTCAAAACATTCAAAATGTGTCATCATCTTCATCTTCATCTTCATCAGGCTCAAGTCCATCATCATCTGATACCAGTAAAACGGAACAATCTTTTACACCAAATTCTGGCCCTCCATCGGGTGAATCTTCGGGAATTCAAGAGTCATCATTGCATTCACCATCAAACCATGGTCTTACATCGACATCCAATAGCTTTGTAGACATAGTCAAAGACTATGAAAGGTACAAGTTGTCAAAATACAGTGGACCACGAAATGTTCCTCCACCATCTTTGATTTATCAAGGTGATGTACGGTCAATCAGTAATCGTGAACCTTTGCTGAGTCCATCAACCTTGCAAGGATATAGTAACAATCAAAATAACAACAATCATAACATTAACAATAATAAAAACATTAATGGAATCAATGGAGATGGTTATTCATACAGTTTCCTTGGTAATGGTCAAACCACACTCAGAGGACCACATCCAACAAGTTCAACTGGCTCCATATCTGGACACAATGGACCTGAAGATTATTTGGCCTGGTCAGAAGATGAAGTGCCATTCAATATGGTTAAAGGCTATGGAGAGTCGTCTGTCAACAGTGAAAGTTATTTCCCATCAGCCTTGGATTATTCATCTAATTACGATTTTGAGCTTCTTCCTCAAGGAAGTAAAACTCATTTCCATGAACCAGTAGCCAGTTCACAGTCATCTTATAACAGTCGTCCCAATAGCCAAATGAACCCTGATTTAATGGGTGATTCAGGTTTCTTCAATTATCATTCCCTTGTAACCAATATGGATGAGAATGAACAACTGCCCATTCTAATTGAAAGTTATGTTGTCAATTATCCGCCACTCTCAGAGAAACCAGTAGCTCACTCTTTATCAGCATTTACCTTTGACCATAGACCAGGTTTACATTCAGGTCAATCAAGTCACCATCATAGTCCTGTTCATCATCACTCGCATAATCCAGTTGAATCAAACTCAGGTCGACATCGTCCAATGCCTTTAATGAATTCAGCATCCATGACATATCCAATGCTTGCACCTAAGCCATCCTCTGAGCGAGTTTTCATTTCACCCTATCTGTACGCTCGCCCCTGTAAATATGATTGTTTTGCCAACCCACTGCAAGATATGAAATATGGTTTAATGAATTTACTGGAAGGAGCTCATAATCATGGAAGACGCTAGTATTAGTCAACATAAATATCATTAATATCACCACCTAAACCATCATATCATCATCATCACCATCGCAAGGGTAATGATTAACATGGCATAGAGCAACAACAAAAAAAGTCAACGTTCCATGTGAAAGATTATTAACAATCAAACCACTAAGCCCTGTTGTTGAACATTATTTTCAATTTACTTTTTAACTCACTAAAATCATGTTTACTTTTTTACTTTAATTAACTTGTTCTCTCCATTTCTCTTTGGACATTTGATTGTAACAAGAAAACACTTTTTTACCTCATGTTGTTGTGCTTTATTGATACATTAAAAAATATCAACTTTTATTTAACTCACCTGTCTTCAAGTCTTTCAAGTCTTTCCATAAAATATTGGCCATTTATCAGATGATCGGTTATAGTGGATATTGAATAGTACAGCTTTACATCTATGAATCTGTAAGAAATAAGAATGAAATTAAGATTAGAATGGAACACTTTTAATGGTTGAAAAACATTTCGAAAGCTCATTGAGATGGAACATGAAACTCAGTCACCGGCCCTGACCATGGAGTAGAAGCTCAATAAGTGATGATTATTATGACGATAGTTATGATGGTTAGAAATAGTTAGAGTAAAAAATTGCTTTTTACCAGAATGGATCATTGTGTTCACTTAACCTTCACATTGAAGAAACTGCAACAATAATAATTACAAGATAATCGTTTGACGGTAAAATCGGCTTTGCTTGACCAATAGAGAATGGTCATCCTCATAAATAACGTTGCTAAATAACGCTACGGAATCTCATTGGAATACGTTAAAATAACGTTTCCAGTTAACTTTCGGTCTTTTAATTTTTCAATAACTTAAAAAACCATTTGCAATGAAAAATTGACCAAAATTTGATAATGGGTTAAAATCACTATTTTCAGAATGGTAATAATATTTTAATGGTTGGATCTAATTTAAAACCATTAAAGTTCATGTATTTCTTCAATACATGTTGATGCTCTATTTGGTTTGATGAGAAAAGTGTTGCCTATCAAGGTTAATTAGATGCATTGAATCAAAATTTTACACTGAATTTAGACTCCATTTGGTTTGCAGATTGATCAACGGCGAAATGTCAAAGTGTGAATCGAGAAATCGTCAAGTTTAAGATTATCATCAATAATTAAAGCAACAGCATTTGGATGTTCCTGCAAGGGTAAAGAAACAAAAAGCGCATTAATTATACATTCTGATTGCTGAATTTATCTGAAAATTGGCATCTTTTAACTTTTACTTATCGTCACAATTAGAGAGGAAATTGTTGGGAAATATAAAAAATGCAATAATCAATCAACGATTGGGTTTTAATTTTGTTTTGGCAATTGTCTTCCGAAATGAACAACTTTAATTGATTATTGGTTGAAAAATGATGGAAAAGTCTGGAAACAGTTGAAATTGAATATGATATTTCCGTGAATACGTCAATCAACATCAGATTTAAGTTATCTGATGAAATGAAATTGTCGATATTTGATCCTTTTAGATGCCAATTGGTATGCAAGGTATGATTTGAATAAAATACCAAAAAAACGCAAAAATTGTGATAATTGGCATCGTATTTTCAGTAGAAATGTAATTTCAACAAACATGTTTGAGCAGATCAATTCTGGCGTAGCCGTAAGCTTATCTGTTTTCACTTTTCCATGAATCTAATCCTCTTCCTTTTCCCTTCATCAGGCTCAGTTCTTATCATCATTAAATATTTCTTTAATAATTTTTCGTCCTCCATCATATCCATCAAAAGACCATGTGATGAGCTTTCTCGATCGAAGTGCAAGTTGCTATTTTAAAATTGAAATCCCAAAATCGATTAAAACGTAATAACCGCTTTGCTTATTTTGATCCTTACTCTCATCTATTTGCCATTCAATTGGTGTTGATACGGGGATGATCATCAGGCAGTTTTTCAGTTAATTAGTTGATCATCAAACTGAAGCTGTAAACTTTTGCTTTAAGTGAATTTAAGGTGTTGATGGCTCAGTTTACACTTTCTTTGCTTTACAAGCTTTTTGTCTTGTTTTTTGTTCTTCTTCTTGCTCCTTTAATTCAATCCTGTAACATCAATCGGCCAATTATTAAGGCATTATTTACGATAATCAGTAAAAAAGTTGACTTACCAAGTAATCTTTGAGTTTCAGTTTCACCTTCAACCTTTTCTGTTCATCTTTTCATCCAATTGTGGCTTAATTAAAGACCAATCTTGAAATAGAATCTTTAACTTGACTAAAACAAACTTCAATCAGCTTTCAGTTACCATGTGTTGACAAAAAAATAAATAAGTAAAGTTGATTAACATTCGAAACAAACATATTCTAATTCTCAATTCAGCTTCATTGATTAGCATGACATTCAAAGGCAACATCAATTGTTACACCAATCTGACAGTCATTGTAGTTCCATTGTGTTCACACAATCAACAAATATTTCAAGTCTTTCATGATGATCCACATTGACTCATTAGATGATCCATTAATACAATTAGACACATTGTTGTAGCTTTTTGTGTTTACATCAAGGAATGCAAACACCAACTACTAAACTATTTCATTTAATTTATTCAATTTAAAATTTATCTATTATGTTGATTTTCAAACAAAAGCTAATGACTTAAAACAGTAGCAACAAATTAAATTAAAAGTGAAAATTACGGTAATTAGTTGATAAAAATTAAACAAAAGCCTAACAATGTTGAAAAATTTAACCAAAAACGTGGGCTTATCAACCGTTAGTCATCAAAGTATCTTTTAAGATCAGCCTAGATTAGAATCAATTACGTATCTTTTACTAGCAATATGAGTCCTAATCAAAGATTATCTTACTATCCTAATCCATTTTTCGGATACTGTTTACAAATCTAAAAGGGTTGATGTCCTAAAGACTTTAATTTTTTAAATTGATGTTTAGTGACAAAAAATGGTTATCAAATTCAGTCTCTTTTTTATGTTGCTGTTTTGATTGATCTTGGAGATGTTGATGGATTGGTTTAATTCCTGTTGCAGGTTGATGCCATGAGATGAATAAAAATGAATCCGAAACCGTCAACCTAATATTTGGTGGAAAAGTGTAAAAGAAAGTGAAATCTTATTCTTTAAGCGTAAGCCTAATCTTATTTTCTTACTTTATTGGAAGATTTTTCTGGTCAAAGATCATCTATTAAAGACTAATTTAAGGTAAGTTAACCAGATATCATCTAAATAATGATAATAATCCTCATCAAAACTAAGCTAATCATGATCAACAACATCATCACCGCCATCATTTAAACATATAATCTGATTTGTTTTAAGGTTATTCAGCAAGGTGTTCATCAAATTGAAGAGATGAAAATAATGAATTGTCAGCCATTTTGTCTTAAATTAACGCACTTTATTTTAGTTAAGAGTAATTGGTTAAAAATTTTGAAAAACAATCCTCAACTTGATTATGATTACTTAGGATGATTGAAAATTAAAATGATTCTAAATTGTTTGAATACCCAATCATTCAGATTCATAATCATTTTGTTCTTTTTTTCTCTCCCAGTTTGCTCCATTAATTACATTATTGGTACAATTACCATTTATTTAAAGGCTTGATTGTTAAAGATGAGAATTATTTTAATTAGATTCTCCCTGCTTTCTTGATTGATTAGGATTGAATCATTAAAAGTGGCCATTAATGATGCAAATGTAAACCTAACCCGGTCTGTGTAATAACTCAAAACAAAAGTAAGTTCAATCTTTAAATAGCTTTTCATGTTGACTATTTTTTTGATAACTTGATGAACATATTTTAATTTTTCTTATTTTTTTCTTCTTGATATTGCAATTGACTTTTTTCACTGGATCAGACTTGCTCAATGATTGCATGATGGAAAGTTATATGACTATTTGGCTGGAATCGATGAAAAAAATTGAATCTTATGGACAAACAAATTAACAGCACCAACAACAATCAAGCTGAAGCTGGAAACATAAAGGAAAAGCTAATTGATTGGAGCAAAAATCAAAGTGAATAGTTGATTGTCAACTATTGTTTTGTTCACCATTAATGGCATCTTCATCATAATCAAGGGTTGAAATACACTATCAAAAACGAAAAAAGTCAACTCTTCTAATTATAGAGTTGTATGATTAATTTACTGTAATGGTACACAATCATTGCCAGTTGATAACTTGATTATTGTTTTTAGTGTAATTCAATGAAATTACCTTTCTCATGTTTAACAATGTCAATAACACATCTTAATCTATAATTGACAATTACATGGTACAAATGGCAAAGCAATAACAATTAGATGAGAAAGCTCTCAAGGATTAATGGATAAAAAAACAGTAACAAGGAGAAACCAAAAAATCAATCAAACATGGTATAATAAGGAATCAACCGGATTGGCCCTGCATACAAACATTTAATCTGATTAAATAATCAATTGAGATTTAATTTTGACCATCTTGGAGTCATTGTTACCTTTAACATTTGAGCTATTTTCAGTGGTTCATCATCATTACTGGCACAACTCCGTCAACGTGAACGATTCAAAAGGTGGAAGCAATTCTCAGAGAAAGTTGAAGCAATTTAATGCGTTAATTTATATAAATAATACATCGATTGGTTTTAAAGTTATCTTTACATTAGCTGATTGGTTGTTTGCTGAAGGACCAGAAAATTCATGATTGGAAAGTGCATCTCAATTAGTGGAGGAATCATTTTCCCATCATTTGTATTAGCTCGTGCTGAATTATCTCAAGAATTAATTTGGTATCAACAACTGGATTTGAATTATTTCATTTTGATTACCAATCAAGAGGTTAATAAATCCAGGAACATTAATATTGCTCCAATCAAGCCAACACTAAACAAAGCAATACAGATGTCTATTCAGATTAACCCTGTAATGATCAATACACCGGTGGAATAACTGATTCACTTTCAGCTGATTTACCATCTTAATCACGTTACTCGATACCCATCTTTAATAAACCATAACAAACCTAATTAACTTACAGACATAATTAACAGTTTATGAGTTGATTGGTAAAAGTGTCACAAATTGTCTCACAAATGTTAATTAGTAAGCAAATTAGACACTTAATTAATCAATAATTAACAATCTTCAATATACCAAAAATGTAGTTATTAGGTTTTTTGTATTGTAAGTAATAGTGAGTATTGTTTCCTCAATTTGCTTTCACTGTCTTACAATTAACAGGCAACTTGAATGGTTATGCCAATTTTAATTGATTACTGGGACACAAACCAAGTGTTAATCTTGTATTTACGGAAGTTAATCATCGGAAATTTTTCACTTTTTTTCATCGATCAAGTTCATTTGTTGTTGATTAAAAATGATGTCAATCATGGTTGTATTGACAAACAAGATTATCATTGAAATGAACATCTAAATTGTTGCATTGAAATGTAACATAAACCAGAAGGTAATCAGCTACTTGAAACCTAAATCATAAACTATGATTTCAGGTCTTTTGAAATCAATTAGAGTTGAACAATTGAATTGATGTTTGTCACGCAAATTTGATCAATCTGGTAAATTGTTGGATTGGAAATGGTATTCAATTGATAGCCTGCTTTTACTCACCTTTAACTAACCAGCTTTTCAATGAAAAATTTAAAATTGTTGATTAGTTTTTCAATTTATTCAATTTAGTATTAAACATTTGCTTCCTTCAAGTTTCACATGAGAATCAATCAAATATAAAACTGTCATCATTGAGGCAAGTAATGATGATTATAATGAATAATTTTACAGTTGATTGGTTAATTTGTTATTTACACTTTATCACCTTCAATCTTATTGGGTTACATCTGAAAATTTGTCAGACACTTTTGTTAAATCAAATAGTTGACTGAATTGGAGTGAAATGGCTTCTCATTATAATCTGAAATCTATCAATAGATTAACATTTAAGGTTACAGTGTTATTAATGTTCATTCAACATGATTAAATCATAATGAATACTTGGTATGATAGATGTACTTTTTAACTGAGATTGACATTTCAACAAGTCTATAATAACACTTGAATAATTATCACTTGAATTGCCATTAAAATCCTCAACTCTGATTATTTCAGCTTTTTTTGAAAAATATTGTTACATTCATAACACTCATATAATGGTGATTATTGACTGAATATGTTGATGTTGAGATTCATTTCTCAGACCAAACAAGTATTCATTCAAGGATCCAAATTTTTTGTTATTCAGTTGATTTTTCATCAAATCTGATTGTAATTTCAATTGTAAAAATTGCTGATCAATACTCAATCAATTAGACTCAGAGGCTATCCAGAGTTGTTAAGTCTGCAGCTTTTTGCTTTAACATCCCGATGACCACATTACTGAAGCTTGGTCTTGCATGTTATATGCATTGTATATGCTAGTCGATTTAAGGTCCAACAGGGTCAACACATTACCGAACACCCTAATATTTAATCCATTATTAGTTGATTTGGCCTGAAACAAAAGACATCATCGATTGCCTCATAATCTCACAGCTTCAATATGAAGGTTTTTTGTACCAATGATGATTGTGACTTTTGTCATGCGATTTTTGTTTTCTTCAGCTTCTTTATCAAATCAAGGTGATTGAAAGGCATTGATTGATTCAAGCAACCTGAATCCCATTTGATTTTTGATTAAGCAACAGGCTTTTATAATAAAAAAATTAACTATATTCCCTGGGAATCGGTTAATAGTGAAAATAATGTAAAAATTTATATTGAATTGTCGTTAATGAAAACATATTTAACCAATAATCGAAGCAACTCTTTGGGTTTAAGTCTATTCGTACTCATTATGCGTAGGAATAGCGTCTCTTAACCATTTTCATTGTTTTCATGCTTTTGTTTTGTTTTCGTCGCTGTCTTGTAAACTATGTCGTTACTTATCAAGGTTAATTATTTGTTGATTGCCTCGTCTCAGTTACAATTATTGATATTCTTAATGAAAACTAAGCTAACCATGTTAATATTTAATCGGAAATCTCGTGTTAATTGGATGGATGTTTATCGCTGATGAACAAAATTTGAATAATGGAGGAAGCAATTGAGGCTCAACCGACTCAACGAGATTTGGTCAAACGCTTTAAATATTTGATTGGTTTACCTGATGAAATTGATGCTGATGAATATGCTGGTAAAGCGATTACAATTATGGAAAAATGTGCTCGTAGCTTACTCATTACTCGACGAGGATACCACCAGTCACGCCGTGATTACCAGTTTGAAGACTATACTTGGAAAAATAGTTTAGGTCGTGCAATACTCATATTTGTCGGTTTAAGGATAACCATAATTGCTATTGTGCCAGCTGATAATCAACTGGTCACCGTCTTCTTGGGCAATCCATTTCATGGAAAATCATATTCACAAGAAGTCGCCCTTTTGACTTTGTTATTGCTCACAGTGTTGAGTATACTACGTGAAGTAGCCATTTACATTGAAGACGCTGGTTATATCATGGATTTGCAGTTCCTAAGAATCATCCAAATATATGGATTTGACCATAAGCTATTGTTTCTTACACCTAAACAGTGCAAAGCTATGAAGCCTGTATTAATTTTTCACGTTGTTAACTGGACTCGCATGTTGAGGTTCAATAAATTTGCTAATGGCGTCATTATGCTAAGCTTTCGTCTCTTTGATCCGCTCTTCTACTCAAATCCAGTTTATTTTATAACAAGTGTTTTCTGGATCGTTATGGAAACATTTGCTGCTCGGATGTCATTCACGGCTCTACTCAATGTTGGTGGCCATACAATTGTAATGGTTCCCTGGTATATCTTTCGGTTGAGGAGTGTTCATGAAATGGTGGTTAAAGTCAACTCTATGGACAGAATAAGTGAATCTCGCCTCAAGCATCTAACCCGTTCTTTGTTATTCTATTTAAATTGTTATGATAAAATAATGAAAGACTGTAGATATCTATTCTTCTATTGTATATTTTTCGTCTCCTTTTTGGCTGATACAGTCATCTTCATGGCGATTGTCTCATCCTATCCTTCACATATAATTGGTACATTTTATTTCGCTGGTTTCTTTTGTATCACTGCAATTGGATCTGTTATCTACTTTGCCGGTGAATTTGTTGACCGTGTAAGTAATTCAAATTATAATAGCTTGGAACGAATATTAGTTCTAATTTAACCAATCTTTACAGCCAAATATTATTCATGGTCTTTTGACCAAGATCATTCACAAATGTCAAGCCGGTTACGAGGAAAAATTAAATGTAAGTATTGAACTTTTATATTTCAATATGTTTAACAATTTATGAAACAATTTAAACGACAATAGATGCATAAAGTATTGGATCGGATCGCAATTTATGGAACCGGAATCAGAATCGGCGATGTTATTAATAAAATCGAAAGGGATCTGTTTGTTTTCGTAAGTTTTACACCATTGGAATAAAAGAACCTAAATTCCATCATTTAATGTTTATTAATGATTTTCTTACAGTATATTCTGGAAAATGCCAGTACAGTAATGCTACTCATTTGTAATATAAGAACTGCTTAATAATTGTAAATGGACTGAAAAAATTGAAGCTAGTACATAACTAACAACTTGCAAGTAGTCGCATGGACAATGTACATGTTTTTATACTTTTAAGTTATTCATCAACTTTTCATAGCAAGGGTTTGTATTAGCAATTACAAACTGAGAATCGTTGACAATAAAGTTCACCTGCAATACAGCAAAACATAAGCATTCATATATTCAATATGCATGTATTAATAATAATATAACAATTTGGGTTGTAATATTTCAATCAATGTCGAATTTTCTCAGATTGATGGTTGATCTGTGATACAGTAGTTCATTTTTTCCGAGACTGTTGATAACTCGGTGATAAACGGTTGACTAGGTGAATTTTTGGCTGAAACTCTGGATTCAATTGAATTGAATCAAAATACAACAAAGTTGAAACTTTCAACTTGAAAGAATAAACTATGCACTAGTGACATCTAGTGATTGCAAATACCACTAAACGTGAAAAACTTAAATACAAACTGTATTTAATTCAAAATTAATTCAAACTAGCTTGCAAATAATTGTTGTAATTTGACGCAATTACTCAGCATTTTCATGAATATGTGATTCAAAGACGACTATTCAGAAGGTCAAAAATAAAATATGATTTAATAGCAATCAAATTTTTGTTGCTGATTAAACTGTTTATGAGAAAATTAGTTAAGTTTAAAAATTGATGGATAAATGGTTCAAAATTTAAATCGTATTCATAAGATGAATAGTGAAAACTTGATTAAAAATATGACACGTATTCAGTCCATGTTATACTTTGAAAAACGGATAAACTTGCCGCAGACAATTAGTAATACAAAATCAATAGTGGAAAATTAAATCAATATTTTGAACTCTATAAAACTGTATTTTGAAGAGTCGATATCAAGATAACTGTGAATGACCAGCGTGATAAACAATTTTCAATTTTCTTAACATGCAGAAGACATGAAGATAAACAGATTTGAGCAAACATATTTATCAAGCTCTAATTGACAAATTTCCTAATCAACAAACCACGATCTTTAATATTGAGATTAATCATGGTTAATTCAATCACCTTACTAAAGCCAACAAACTCGGAATCGTTGAAAAATTAGCAAATCACTCAATGCTTGTTTTGAAATTTTGTTTTGAAACAAAAGAGCAATCCAAATTGATGAGTAAATGCGGCCGTCACGATCTCAGGATTTAAGTGAAAGAAACATCATCAACAGCATAGCTGAATAATACCTGGTATACAAAGGATTTATATCTCAACATTATTTTTGACTAATAATGAATAATAAACATGATCTCGGGTAAAAATTGAGACACAAGCCTGTAATTAGATAAAAGAAGAGAAACAGGTTAAAGAGAAGCGTAAAGTTGATGTAAAGAGTCAAAGGAAAACTAACCTCTTACCTTTTAACCTGGCCAGCAACAGGAATAAATTTTCCTCGGGAGATAAAGATGTAGGCTTTTATCAATTACCTGGTCTGGGTTACATCTTTGCATTCCTAAGATTTTCAAACGAAAGAAATCATTGCCTTCACACGATGACGCATACTTAAAGGTGTGTCTTTCAAGAAAAATCAAAACAAAAATATCACATATCATTGTTGGATATCGGATACTTTGTTTGAGGCTTATCCTTTTGTTTGCTGATTTTAATCTTTCAAGTTGTTTGTGCCAAGTTAATTAAAAGTTCAACCCTAAATTAATCATTGTGTCCAAGTAAAATTTAATTAAAAAGTGACTGTTTGATAAGTTGAAGTCTCAACGAAAAAGATAGCTATCCAAAAGTATCCGATTCTCAGTATCTTGAATGGGATCAGGATTTCACTGTTGCTTGCAACTTTGTTGAAACAAACTTACTTGACTTCTAGTAAACACTACAAGAGCTTTGACTATTTACTTATTGTTATTTTTCACTCGATTGCTGGTTTCGCCATTTAAATGACCAATTATGATCTTCAACCTTACTCCAGTATCTTCTCTATTAATATACTCTGTTTTATTTAGTTATTGTCTGGTATATTTTGACTCTGATCAAAGATAATAACAAGCAAACAAAAGTTTATACCCGTTACCAATCATCATCTTCATCATATCATTTTAACCATCACCAGCAACATTACCAACACCATCATCATCAACTTACTGCTCTCGATGTAATCTTGAAAGTTATAATTCTCAAGGCTTTAAGGAAAAGCTTTCCATTACTTTGTTTTTACGTTTAATGTGTCTCTGCTTGTGCCGTGATCATAATTATTTCATTTTGTTGAATTGAGCTTTTCTATTTTTTTTCTCCATTGATTGGAGAAGAAAAAAGAAGCCAACCTTTATTTTTTATTGTTAATCATGTTTGACCATCACCATGTTCATTGTTCACCTATCATCAATTTTATACTAAGGCTTTCTCAAAACTTTTGTTCCAAGAAAGTCACCATCTTTCTAGTTTTATTAATTATTTCATGTTTGTCAGAGTTTAATCATGCACAGATTCACAAAGAAAACATCGGTGAATCAGATGTCAAATATTTAAGTGTTGATTTTGAAACATCTATCCAGAAATTACTTTTAACCACGTCTAATCAATTATTTGTTGGTGCTCGAAATAAATTTATCAAAGTTGATGTTGATAACTTGAAAATTATTCAAGAATTTAAAATTCAAATCTTAAAGGATTCTCCAGAGTGTCCACCTGATCCTGAGCCATGTCCTTCAAACAAAGCTCGTTCTATCATGCAAGCTGACTGTAAAAATTTGTTTCCATTCAATGTTAGCTCTGAAACAACTATATTTGCCTGTTACTCAACCAATCAAGGAATGTGCTATATTTTTCGACAATCTGATCTAACGAAAGGTCGACTTATTGGTTCACCTAGCCAAGTATCAAATTACGTTGCCTCTCGATCAAGTAGTTTTGTTGTTCCTGTGTCTGCTGGCAACACAACTCATATTTTTGTAGCTCACGCCTATGATGGTCGTCCAGTCAATCTAAGTCCACCAACTTTGTCCAATCGAAAATTAGTCAGTTCACTTCGACAAATCAATTTGGATTATTCTGTAAATACCAAATCTGCATTTACCGCCATCGATTTAAGAAACAACTACAAAACCTCGTTTCCATTGAATTACATATATGGATTTCAAGATGGAGATTACGTATTTTTTGTGAAAACGGAACCTAACTCTTTAAAAGGAGATCGAATTGTAACGAAAGTGGCTCGTGTGTGTACAAATGATTACTATTTTGGCTCCTATAGTGAGATTGAAGTTAAATGCTCTGAGCAAACTAAAGCAACCACAGCAGTTATTGGTAAAATGGATACCTATTTACGGAACACTTTTGCTGATTCTGTGACCTCTCACCAGTCACCAAATGCCCTATTTATCTCTTTTGAAAATCATAGAGTAAAAAGCCAATCTATTAATGGGCATCAAGAAACGCGGGTTTGTGCATTTGGCATTTCCAAGTTGTCATCTCTGTTTGATGAAGCTAAACGTAAATGTTATTCTACTCGAGACGGATCCATGATTGAATCATTATCTGAACCTGGTTCTCGATGTACTGAAAATCAATTAGAAACATGTAGCACTGTTATCAACAAATTCATCAAAGTGCCTGAACCATTGGATGGGCTTCTTGTTTACGGTGATAGACATCGATTAACTAGTTTAGTCTCAGTGTTACAAGGTCCAACTACTCCTCTTAGGCAAGCTTTATTTGTTGGAACAGAAAATGGATTTATAAAAAAGATTGTCAGTGGTCGTGATATTTTCTCAGTTGGTATAAGCAAATCTTCCATCGAACCTGGTGCTGTGGTTGACGCTAGTGAAGAAAACATTTTTTTCGCCTCTGATAAATCGCTGATCAAACTTCCCATAAAAACATGTTTATTCTATCAGGATTGTGGATCTTGTATTGAATCACTAGGTAAGGACACCGTCAGATGTGTTTGGGATGGTAAAAAGTGTGTTCTCGATGATGGTAAAATTGCTGGTAAAAATTATTGTGAACCGAGAATAACTTCATTCTCACCTCGGAAAGGGCCAACTGCTGGAGGAACTGTCGTCAAAGTTAAAGGAATAGACTTGGGTTTTCATGATGAAACTCAAAATACTGAGAATGAAATAAAAGTCGCAGGATTAAAATGTTCAATAAGATCCTGGAATTATACAGAAATCATATGTGCCATAAGTGGATCTACAGAAGTCGCTAAATCAGGTCCAATAGAGTTGAAAGTCAAAGACATTTCCTCTCGAAAACCCTATGATATCCAAGGAAGTGCAACTAGCTCAGAAAAATTCGAATTTTTGACTCCAAGTGTGAAAAATGTTGAGCCCAAATATTCTCCTTTAGCTGGTGGGGTCGATGTATTCATTCATGGAGAAAATTTGGATATTGGGTCAAACATATCAATAGCTTTGGCAAATTTTCCATGTACATCTATTCAAATCATTGACAGCTCAGTTATACATTGTGTTGCAGGTCCAGCCATAGCTTCAGACCAGCTGACTGGTCCAGTTAAAATTAAAATTGATTCTGCATTAATAGTACCAGAAATTAATTTTTCCTACCTTCTTGATCCATCTTTTTCATCCATTTCTCCTAATGTAACCAGTGCAACCTCCGGTGTTAATATTTCAGTCTTTGGAGACCATTTTGATAGTTTATTCAAACCTCGCCTTGTTATCAATGCCATTGTTCCCAGAGCATCATCACCTCTCATCCTTGAAAGTGATTGTACACTAATCAATGCTTCTTGCCTTATCTGTCCTAGTCCAATAATGCCATCTGATATTTCCTTTGAAGCTTCAATACCAGCAACAATAGCCTTTGCCAATGGTGGATCTGATAGATTTATACAAACTGATTTTATTTTAGTCTACCATCCAGATCCTAAATTTTCAAATAAAATTGTTACCACTCAAGGTAATGATGGCGGTCGTACTCTCGAAATTATGGGCCAACATCTGAGTACAGGTTATGGAATGAGAGTTTTACTCGTAAACCAACTGGATGGAGCAACTTTGGAATGTGGAAATTTACGATCCATTGATAATAGTCTAATTACATGTGATATTCCTTTAAATGATTATCCCGGTGATCCAACCTCTTCCCTCTGGAATATATCGGTAATTGCTGGAAGCAAACAAGCTCTCATCGGAATGGTTCCCATTGAACCAGAAGATTCATCGAGCACAACCATCGCAGGATTTATTGTTGGTTTGATTGCTATTTTAGTGGTGATCGCATTAATAATGATGTATCTTCTTAAACGCAATGGTTACCTGTTGAGTAAAAAAGGACCTCCACCTTCCCTAGGAGTTACTTTCAGATCTGAAAATGGTCAATTTCAAAGACAAGGCTCACAAAATGGTAAATTATTACCTCATTTTTTAATCCTTCTTAACTATCTTATAAATCTTGTTAAATCCAATTTCAAGTTATGTTTATTTCCCTAGAAAATGTAAAACCATTGAAATACAAGGTTTATCTAACTTTCTGTTATTAATCTTGTTCAAATGCTAACTTACACTTGACTATTACGTTACCATGAAACAATATCAAATTAACTGATCAATCTTATGAAAGTCTAGGGTGGTTTATAAAAGCCACTTGAGATATCACTTCCGACTTTGTAGCTTACAATTTCTTCCCTCTCACCAGATTAACCAGTTTTCATTTTCATTGGAAATTAACCCTGTGAACAAACTTGTTTCCAATAAGATGAAGATGACAATCTGGTAAATCAATTTATACCCTGAAATTGTTAATTACATTGTCAACATTTACCCAACCAAATTTTATCATATGTTTTAGCTAAATCAGCAACTTCTGACAATTCACCATGTTTACTGTTAGTTTATTTCAACCAAACTAACTAACAATAATAGCAATCTATGATTTGCAGAAACAAATAATTTAATTAATTTACATTCGTAACAATTACCTAAAAATAGGCAAAAAACCATTAACTGATCTAGTTTGGTTGAACCATAGAAGATATTTTCACTTCTTTTAAAAACACAATTATCATTTCGATTAATTTAAAACAATTTAAACATTTTGTGGCTAAATTTTACCGATTAATTCAACAATTTGTTGAAGAGGTTAATTTAAGGTTATTACCCTTATTTTAATATAATTTACCCGAGTTGGGTTCAATGGTTAAATCTTAATTGATTGCTTTTCCTCTGTAATATCTTCAAATTGAAAACCTGCAATTTTCAACTCATTGAGCTTGTATTGAGCTTCAGCTTCAAACATATTTATATTGACTTGATCACTATCCAGTCGTAAATACAACAATTTGTCAAACTTGTCTCCAACCAAGGCCAACTTGTCCGTTCTGCCGTGAAAAACTTGATTAACCTCGCCTAATTATAATTCATTGTAAGTCAAGTCTATAAATAAATGAGTTTACAAAACACACATTTGTCTATTGAGTCAGGCCTAAACTCATTATAATGTACCTTTTGTCATTCTTTGTCTATTTTTGGCCTCTCTCATAACCCACAATTGGTCTTCCCCAAAAAGACTGTTATTAGGCTTTTGTTAAACAACTTATTTCCGTTAATCATCGTAAACCCAAAACACATTATTTAGGAATCATTTTTGGTTCCTCTCTTTATCCGCTTTTCTGGTTCACTTTCATTGATATTGTTTCCATTAATTGTTAGTCATCTAATCATTTAATAACTTCTAAAAATGTTTACTTCATTGCATGTGTGTTACCAGGATTCAATTTATTGTTAACCAGAATGGTACCAGAACTTTAACAGTCTCATTTAAATCATGGCCATGTTTAGTCTTTTTTTGTGTTTGCTTTTCACAATTTTTATTTTATTGTATTCACCTAATCTAGTTAAATTGCATTAATAACTATCATTTGATTATCTTAAATTATCCCATGTAAATATCTTTTTTTCTTGATTTTGTTTCACTCAAAATTTAATGTTGATTGTTATTACACTCATTGACGTTCAGCTATTAACTGTATTATGGTAAATATTGAAATATTGAATGCAATTCGAATTCGTGGAAAATGTTGCTTCTCATTTGAAATTATCAAAAATATGGACATCAACCAACCTTTGAAGAATCATTTGATTAATGAAACTTTCAATTACTGACACTCTACTGACTGTCAAATTAGAGCAAATATTTTCAAATTAACAAAATAGTTTACAATTTAATGATACTTGAAGATTTTTACAGCTATTCTCATCATTATGAATCTGCATTAATTAATTTAAATGTACTAGACTAAATAATTGATTTCAACATGTCTTCATGTGTTCAAACCTTATTAGGAATCCTTTAATTGTCTATTAATAATTACACTCTTCTTTGAAGGTTAACCAATGTTTATGATGATTTACTTGATCTCATGCAAATTTAATTATGCACAGATTTAGATTAACATTTTTCACTTTTCTCTTAACTTTACAAATTTGATTTTGTTTTATCGGTTGTACTTTGAGTTATGTTCAAGTATCAAAGCCAATAATGAACTTGAAATTTGCCCATTTTATCTAATTATTTAATGATTAATTTACTTATTTTTGTTTTTTATGTTTTAATTTACAGAGTATCATGGACCTGATGGAAGGATTTCTGGTCAACCTTTGTTGTTTGATCGACAATCAGAGGAGATCAAATTTGTTATTGAACCTCAAAAACAGGCTGAATTACAAGCTGATGGCATATTATTTAGTCGAGACTATTTAACCAGAGAAAAGGTCATTGGTCAAGGAAACTTTGGCCTTGTTTTTAAGGGTTACCTTCAGCTACCAAATAAAGAGGATAAAATCAAAGTTGCCATAAAAACACTAAAAACAGATCGTAAGTTTGAAAGTGAATCTGTAATATTTTGGCAACTTTTCAATCAACAATCACTTTGCTAAATCAATCGTCAACCATTAACCAAAACATGATAGGAAACACATTTTTACAACTTTCTGTAATCATTTCTCGGATTCTGCTATTTTGATTATAATGTAAATAACAGGGTTAGACATTTCAAGACTACTCCTTGGTTAATCGTATTTTCATTTAAATTGTTACAGCTAAAATCAGCTTGTTTGATGGCTTGCAATTTTATGGCTTTTTAGCTTTTCAAGTTTTCCATCAAACTGGTTAAATTGATTGGTTGGAAATGATGAACATTACCTTACATTAATTTATTTTAATTCTGTCATCAGTGTTGGTAAAAAATCCTTGAATACAATCTGACATGTTGTCTGAAAGTTGGAAACATTTTCTTCTAACCATACAATTTGAATTCATTTTTAGCGAAACGATTTTTGATTGAATTGTAAAAATATTGATTTACTCAAATTAACTTATCAAAAAAGTAATTGACAAATCGACTGTTAATAGTAATGTTAATAATAATGTTTTTTGTTCATCTTTTTTTTCAGGAGGTATTTTATCACAAGATAAAGGTGAAGCGTTCCTTGCTGAAGGTCTCATTATGAAAGAGTTTTGCCATGAAAATGTATTGTCTTTGATTGGTGTTTCAATTGATTTTGATGGTTCACCGATGATAATCACTCCATTCATGGAACATGGTGATTTAAGATCATACATTCAACGGGAAGACCTGGAATTCACTGTTATTGATTTAATTCAATTTGGCGTTCAAGTTGCTCAAGGAATGGTTTATTTAGCTTCACTTAAATTTGTCCATAGAGACTTAGCAGCTCGTAATTGCATGGTTGATGAACATCATACTGTTAAAGTTGCTGATTTTGGCTTATCTCGAGACGTTTATACTACCAGTTATTATTCAGATGCTGATAATTTTAGAAAACCTTTACCTCGAAAATGGATGGCCATTGAGAGTCTGGAAAGAGGCAATTATGACACTAAAAGCGATGTCTGGTCTTATGGAGTTTTACTTTGGGAATTATTGACTCGAGGTGACATTCCATATCCTGATGTTGATGATTGGAAGATGAAAGATTATCTCAAAGTTGGTTATCGATTACCTAGGCCTGAGCATTGTCCACCTGAAGTGTATTCCGTTATGAAAGAGTGTTGGGTTGAGGATCCAAAAAGTCGACCAACCTTTGAAGAGATCTTGAAATTAATTGAAGTTGCCATTGAAAGCAATGAGAAAAAATATCTGGAACAAAAAACTAACCGAAATATTCGTTATATCAATGATCCCTCAATCTTTACCAATCCTCATTATGATGGATCATTAGTTACCAACAGTTAATTTACCTCACTTTTAAATGGTCCTGGTTGAATTAACAATTTGTGATCAGTTTAAATCTCATTGTCATCGGAGAGAAATCAATTATCTTTCAGATCAAATGATCCAGCTTTTTGCTTTCAAGGCTGATTTTGTTTCGGTTACAGCGATGGAAAGAATCGAATCATTTGAACCATCTGCTATTGGAGATAAGGTGATTAATCATGAACACTATTTTCGAAGAAACAAGCGTCAGTTATTTGTGATCAACTCAATATGACAGCTACCGCCTTTGAATATTTTCCCGTTCACTGTTAAGTTTGAAATACATAAACTAACAATTTGAGTTCATTAAGTCTGATTACATTTATCAAATGACTTATATCTACTTGTTGGTTCAGTCTCAGTTTATTTTGTTCTTGTTAAGATGAAAATATGATCGAAAGCATTTATTGTATTTTGTTATTTGTACACAGAATTGTGAAGCTTTTGTTAGCTAATTTTGTATTTTGTGATGAGTTTATTGTAAGAACAGTCCATCACTAACTTCGTCATCATACTTGTTATGTTGTAAAATATGGATACCTTGAAATGAGGTACATCATAAAATTATTCATACTTTTTTAACTTAATCATCTACTAACCATCTTCAGGAAAACCTTTGGATATCTTAAGTCAAACAATTTATAATTCTGTCTGCTTCCATCTAATCAATTGTAATAATTTGCCAAATTTTGTTCATCTATGTAAATAATGCAAATTTTAATCAAATGCAACGATGTCTCGTTTGGATTGAATAAATTTGAAATGAAGATTTCATAAAAATCAATCATCAATATATTCCTCTGAATTTAATTTTCAATTATTAAATATCTAGTAATTCTATGGAAGAAAATATTATCTAAAGAAGATATTTTCTAATTAAAAGAGTAACATTAGTTTTGATCATAACAAAACTCATTGAAGTAAAGTAAATAAGGAGTTCACATTAATCAGTCAATTTTTATTGCACTTTTCAATATAAAGTCCGCGGAAGCTTAAGTTGGTCAACAGGCGTTGAAATATTATACAAGCTGGTCATTTGGGTCTATTCGGATCAGAATTGTCATTGATTTTAAAGTCACCAAGTTAAATATCGATTTTTCAATTGATGATTCGGGATTCATGCTGGTTGGGATTAGATCAGTTGATCGAGTTGTAGTTGAGCTTGTTCCAAGTTCTTGAGATGAAGTTTTAAGTTTGGTAGTTGCTGGCTCATAAGGCTTCAAAGTTGATCCTAAAGTAGCTACCTTTGGTTAAATGACTAATCAAAATATGTTAATAGTTATCTTTAAATTAATATGCTATTAGTTCGGATGATTGCTTTTATTCAATAATATAATAGTTTATTTAACATCGAAGCAAGATAGCTGAGATCGCATGTTCGCTTCATGTTCATGTTCATGTTCAGATACAAGTTCGCTGGATTAAATTGAACCAACAGATGGCAGCATGATAGAATTTTTACATGTGAGCGGATCTATGCCAATCTTATGGTCAACATCGAGAAAAATCAAGAACTTCTGGTTATTGAGTCAATAATATTGACTGTGTTTTGTCGTCTGTTTTTTTTGCATTAATTTGATCGACCAAACGACTAATTAATACTACTAATTCGGTGAGATGAGTGAACCACTGATGGTAAACGTAAGTATCTTAAAGCTAACGGGTTCAATTATCTGCTTTTATTTTTGTCTCTGTATTTTTATTTTTTTGTTAGGAATTGCAAGTCTTTTGTTGCGTTACCCAACTAATAATCTTTTTCTCTTCTTTATTATTCAGATTGAACTTGACTATTCTGAGATTAAAAATATCTTGGACAACCATGCCTCTAGAGAGTCAACCAAAAGATTGTTACGTACTGAATTGTCAAGATTGGAAGCTCTCAAGAAATCTTTTACAAATAAAGCTACAAAAACTATCCCGACTGAAGCAGAATTGATTCCTTTGTCGAACTTTGCCTGGGATCAGACTGACAAATTTGTCAAAATTTACCTTTCTTTGGACGATGTTAAAGAACCATTTGAGGATCACTCAATCAAATTAATATTTCCTGATGAAAGTTCTTTCCGAATTGTTCTCGGCCGTTACAAATTCACTTTAACTAAACTCCATGAAAAAATTAACACCCAAGAAAGCTACTTTAAGCGAACAAAGTCAAAGATTGTTATTTATCTGAAGAAAAAGAGAGAAGCCAACTGGAGTAACATTCAGTATAGCAAGCCCACCACTGTTTACGACGAGAAGGACAAAGAAGATCCTGACGCTGATCCAAGTACAGCTTTGATGAGCTTGATGAAGAAAATGTATCAAGAAGGAGATGATGAAATGAAAAGAACAATCGCAAAATCATGGTATGAGGCTCAACATAAAAAGGAACCAGAAATTGATTTGCCTTAAAATGGTTTGTTAATCTGTTTAGAAAACCTTCTTCTAACTTAATTCCAGCCTTTTCTACTATTTTTGTGTTTCGATTTAATGTCTTTATCTTGTAAAATGAAGATAAAAAATATCCTGTACTATTTCTTTATTCAGTTGAATAAATGCTAAATAAAGCTAGAAAACATCAGAAACCAATTGTGTAAAATCCTCTTTAGATCTCCTCTTAAATAAGACTTAATTTCTCCCGCGAAATCTAAAACCCTTTCTTCTGATCCATTAACAACTCAATATTAATAGTTACAAAGTTATGAAAATAATGGTAGTTAGAATGACTACGACTCCGGCTAGCAGTTGAAAGTCGATTCGTTTTCGCTGCTTTTAGGTTTTATTTTATAAAAAATCAAAAATTTCAATTCTTGATTTTGTTCTTTTTGCAGGGCAAAATCAGTTTTTTTATCAGGCATAACTATCAACTGTCTTGGACAAATGTTGATATTGAAACTCAAAACAGTAGAGTTCCTGAAACTGTACGTCTAATTTTTCAGTTAAACTTGAAGAAATCTATTGATTATTCAAAGATCTCAAATTTTTAATTAGTAAACAAAGAGTGAACTCATATCCATCAACTTCAGTGTTGTATGAGTTTCACAACACTTGATAAGTTAAAATTATCATTTCCAGAAAATAGCAAATCTAAAAGGGAAGGGATTCTATTATTGTATCAATGACAACATTACATGTATCAATTGGATGATACATTAGATAAGCAAAGTGAAATCAAATCAAATCAACAATCTCACTCGAATCAATGAAATCAAGGAATGTTTTGACTGTTATCAGTGCGGAAAAAGTTGCAATAGAATTGAAATTTTTCATGTTTTTTGAGGCCGATATTGAGCAAATCTGAAGTACTGATTAGATAAGGATAACATTTAAAACTGTTACATCAAGCAAAGTTATTGGAAAGCTTCTCATTCCAATAACAATTATAAATCTCCAGATAAGTTGACCAAACAAGGTAAGTTATTCACTAAACATATGATGAGGTAAAGAAACACATTAAGTTAGAAATTCAAAATATCATTGTTTTAGATCGACTAAATTAAAACATCGAACAACAAAATTAATTTCGAGAAAATTTAGCATTTCGATTATTAGACACAGAAAAGATTAATAATTTAAGAAATATTGAGCTACAGAAATAAATTAAAAGTTCAAAATTTACATAAAATTTTAAGAGTCGTATGAATAGACAAATTTTTATTTTCACGAATACTAAAAAGACTTAGATATTTTATATCGGATACTTTTGGATCAAATATCTGTATTTTGTTTTTGTACTGTTTACAAAATTTTAATGTAATTAATTGTTTAAATTAATTAAATCTAAAGAAATATAATATTACGTGTAATTATTATATTTAATCTAACGACCTTAAGATCCAAAAAGATCAAGGTAATTATACATACTAAATAAACTTACTAATTCATACTCAAAAACACATGGCCTATTACCTGCTTTACAATAAGCACATGTCTATGATTTTAGTTTAACACAAATAAAGTATTTTATTTGTACTCAGTGCCCAATTTACACAACCCATCTAAATTACCTAAAAACTAACTCATATAAAATTGTTCCGTCTTATCTTATTTGTTCACAGCTCTTTTTAATAAAGTCCGAAAAACACCCCATAAACGGAAGTGGAAATACCTTTTGACCCACTCCCTAGATCTCCATAAAACCAACGTGAGATTCAGGACTTCACTCACTTTCACATTGTTACTCAAATCGTCCACTCATCTTTACTCGTTTTTTACCTTTTTATCTAGTGAACAGAACTTGCTCCCTATTAATGAAGATTGCAAGATGTCCTCAGATAAAAACAAGATAGACAAAAAGACAATTGAGCCCCTGGTTAAACTCATTTCGAGTTTATTTATTAATGAACCTGCCCACGAAGATCTTAAAACCACAGTCAACACTCTCAACCCACTCGGTGTTAAAGCAACAAACCTGTTTCAAATGATGAGAACTGTCGTTTTCCGACAAGAAACTAAGAAAGAAATACTGGTGGATGAATTTATGATCCCACAAATAAAACAAGTTATTGCGATCATACAAGCTAGACAAGCAGCGGTCAACAATAGAAACTCTACTGCTAGTACTAATAATGATACTACAACCAACCCAATTGTTCCTGACCATGATAAATCTAATGATGTCGACCCTGATAAAAATAAAGAAGATGATTTGTCCTCTGAACATGATAATTCAATAACCAATGATGGTTCTGTTGTCTCTCAATCTGACATCCATACATCGACTCTAGCTGCAAAACGCAAAAGAGCCCTGGAGATATACGATATCGTAAAACCAAAAAATATACGTCTCCACAAGCCAACAACTCCGAACAACGTTTACAATTGGGAACCAATTGCGAGAAAATTTGTAGTTTACGTCTCTGGTAAAGACTATCAAGAAGGTATGCTCTTCTCAATTGTAGAAGAAGCAAAAGAGAGTTTTGGTACAATAATATCGTTAGAGGAACAGAAGTCTCATGCGGTTTTGATTCTGGAAGATGAACCTAAACGTAAAATTGCTATTGAGGTACTCAAAAGCTCAAACTTACAATTGGAAGTCAGCGAAGCACAGTATCGTCGCCCCATCATCAAATTTGAAATAAATTTTCCAATCACTGAAGATGAAATCAATCCTCTACTACAAGAAATCAAAAACTTCAATCTCAAGAATTTCACTGACCTATGGTTCAAGCTTTTCAAATTCTATAAGATAAAAGGAACTCAATACACAGTTATCTGTGTTTCAGTTGATCCTAAAATTCGAGATTACATCGCTGACGAAGGAAAAGCGAGATTCTGGTGTAGAAAAAAGAATCTAATAATTGCTGACTATTTTGACACTCGGAAATGCTATGTCTGTGGTCAATGTGGCCACTGGAAATGTAAAGCTCGTCAACGAATATGTTTGAAATGCTCGGGCCTACACAAGAAAGCGTCTTGTAAAAGCAATTATACTCTATGCCCTTCATGCAGAGGTCCTCATGAAGCCTTTGACATTTCATGCCCGAAATTTAAAGAAGAAGTGAACAGAGACATGAACAATGTAGACTATGTCTACTACAACATAATGTGGACACCATTATTCTAACCTTTTTAAGGCTCGTATGCTCCTAATAAATGATAATTACATACTCGCCAGTCAGAATTGTCTCAGTCTCAAAGAAAATGTAACCTTAACACTTGGCAGTTAAACAATTCTTATTAAACATATCTATTCAATATCACCTCTAATATCTTTCATTGTAACACTGTATTTTCTGATTTATAAAGATTAAAATAAACAATTTTAAACATATATCTTACTTTCAATATCTAAATTATTTAACGCTTATCACCATGCCTACCATTCAAACTATCAGAAGATTTATCGTATGCACTCAACACTTTGAAAAGAGCATGTGCCTTCACTAACAAACGTAACTCATCATGGAAGACGTTATTTTCTTTCTCAAAACTAGTAAAATAATTGATCAATTAACAAATGATTTTATCATAGACTGTGTGAAAAATTGGGAAACACACAAACCACTTTTTGATACTGTGATTAATCAAACACCTTTACAAATTATTACCCAGAAAGGAATCACCTCTAAAACACTACGCGGCATTGCTCTGATATTCAATCTAATTATGGATATACTTCATGGATGGGATATGAAAATTCTGGTGTATCTTAAAAAGACAATTGATGCGTTGTACATCCTTGAATCGTCATGTTGTGCTGCCTCAGAATTAATACAAATGGAAGACGATAACAAATTAACTGTTTCAACCAACACACAACTCCTCGAGATCAAATTTGCGATTTTGGTGAGACACACAAGCTGGACTATACCTGACAATTTACAACCGTTTGTACAAGACATAATCCATATCAACACGAACAAATACAAAAAGCAAGTGATCATAAACTCCCCAATTCCTACTCACATCAAGCAATCGCTTGAAAATATAATGGATCAAAGAGTACAAATAGTAGTTTTAGATTGGTATGTATTATACCAAACTGGTACAAATGACTCTGAATCACAACTAATACTTGAATCCTGGTATAAAAACAACTCAACAAACAAATCATTGATAAAAACTCAAAATAATGATGAAATAAAAAATTTCTTATACCTTGAATCCTCAGAAGACTATAACCAGATAAAAGCAAATGGTTTTAAGATAACAGTTGAACAAAAAATTTTTCAATTCACCTCACAATGTAAACACAAACAATGTAAGCAATGTAAACGCGTCTACTCTACATCACACCCTAAATCCCAATGTACGAAACCTTAGAGATCAAAAGTACCTTCATAAATGAGAATTAACTCTTTCTCCATAAACACCAAGCTTATTGTTTCATCATAAATGAGAATCACAACTTACTTGTACTAAAATAAAGTTTCATATAATTTTAATAAACTAAATACAACAAGATTACAAATAAACTCTTTTTATTCTCTCTATTTATATCAATAATGTGGATTCAAATATACATGATCAATATTAATATTTGACAGATAAACACCATACTCTTTTCTTTGAAAGAAATGAATTGAACCAGCGGTTATTCGCTGAAACAGTCGAGTATCTAAAGTAAATAACATACCGTTATTAATCTCATAAAATCCTTTGGTAGTCTTCATTGTAACATACGTATGACCACCGGTTAGCTTGTCGCCTTCTTCATACTCGTGATAAAAAGCGCCATAATCCTTATCATTTTTGGATTTCCAACAATTAAAACAGTTGCTACTGGCCAACCTTTCATAATAAATTTTCTCGCCATCAACTGTCAGATATATCTCTTCAGGTATCTTTATATTTTCAAAATTTAGTCCCTCTGGAGCACTTAAACAAATCACTTTTGGCTTGTTTGTTATAAATCCAGTAGTAACCTTTCGAATTGCTCCACCACATTGAAAACCATTCAATTCCTTAGTACAAATGATTTCCTGACACGATAGTAAAGCTTCAACTACGTCCAACAGCTCTTGCACCTCGTAAAAAGGACACAAATTTATAACTGGTACTCTGAAACGTTGATCAGGACAAACTGAGGTACAACGCCTACAATAATAAGTACATTTAAATTGAAGAAAGAATTCTTCCTGCCATATTACATCCTCGGAGCTCAATTTAAACATTATATCGGAGAAAGCTGTCTTCTCAAATCCTCCAGGCTCGTTATAAAAATTATTACAATAATCACGAAGTGATGAACACAAACCACTAATTAATAGGCGATCTAGCTCTACAACACCTTTATCACCGATATATGGTAAAAATACCACCGGAGCTTTCATCAGCCTCATAGCCAAACGATTGGCGTTTTCCAAATTTAACACCCCAGAAATTGAAACCTTATGGTACTTCAAATACAAATTGAATAATAAATTAGTCCAGTAATATGGAACCTCAATCTCATCTCTTTGATCCGGAGGCGTAATCTGTTCACCATGATTTCGTCGAAGTGACAGCTTTCCAAATACTTCAATAAGATTATGAACGAATGGGAAGGAATGAAACAAAGGCAAAATCGCTGAAATTAAAAAACAATGCCCTCTTATATTGGGAAATCCAATAATATGAGATGGCTGGAAAGAAAAGATTTATTAGGTAATCATCATTTATTGAAAAACCGAAATAAATCTTACTTACCAGAATAAATCGAGCAAATCGCTCATTTAAATACTTGTAGAGTCTATATGAACTAGTATCTAAAGCACGACTTCGACTAGTACCAACACCATATTCACGAAAATAACGAACTTGGGTTTTAACTCGAATACAAATTATCCAGTAGGTTGTCAATCCAACTCCAAAAGATCTTTCCTCAACTTTAATCGACTTGTTCCACCTTTTATTAAAACGTAAAATATTATTCCGAAAATGATGGTAGAAATTAACTGGTACACTGTCATCGAGATAATTTCTCCATGAATCACCACTAATAATATGAGAAAAAACATCTTCAATTAGAGCCATGTTTAACAGACAAATTACAATCAATAAATGATGAAATAACACTAAAATGATGCAATTTTGATTTAAACTTCAAAAAGCACGCCAATTTAAACAAGCTATATCTCCATGGTAAATTGTTACCGTGGATAAGACTGTAAGGAGTCCAAGCTAACTAATGAATGATAGCGTGCTATTATCCCCACTTTTAAAACAATAACATCAAATTATGTATTTCTATCATATTAATTTAAACAAAAGATCTCAACCTACCGAAGATCTATTACAGCTAGTGTCGAGAAGACCCAATTTTTGTATTTCCATGAATGAACCTAATCCTCGTGCCATATTGAACTCATATACTGAAGTCAAAAAATTCCAAAATGATGGAGCTGCAATAGTCATTTCATCCAATATACAAGTCAGACGAATCAACGTTGATATCAAGGATCTCGTCATAATAAAACTTTTACGAACAAATACTCTAGTGATTTCCATGTACCTAAGACCAAAAAGCAATAGACGGGACCTGAGAAAGGACAGAATAGCAGACAACAACCAGATATTAAGTCATGTACACAAAATAATAACAGACAATGAAAATACTAACCTGATAATCATGGGAGACGTAAATCTAAAAGACCCATCATGGTCAACTAATCCTGACGCTCACCCTGGTCCATGGCGTGGTATGCTGAAACAGTTAATAAAAGACAATAACTTAAAACTTGTAAATAACAAAAAACTTCCAACATCAAAAAACTGCGTGGGTACAATTGACTTAATGCTAATTTCCAACAATCTTAAACCTCAAAAAGCCTCGACCATACCATTCTGGGACTCTGACCACAATGCTCTTTTTGCGGATATCAGACTCAAAAGAAATGCCACGCTCACTCGAAGAAAAAGAAGAATAATAATAACAAACTGGATTCTAAAGAATGAAAACGTACAAGAAGAAAAGACCATATGGACAAAACAGTCACCGATAATTAAAAACTGTTTAAACATAATTCTACATCCTGAAAAAAATGGCGTTTGGTCATCAAGAATATCAAAGCTCTGGAAAAGAAAGAAAATAAAAACCAATAATAAACTGAACAAACCAACTAAATCCATGATAGCCTTACTAAAATCACAAAATGAAAATTTCTGGTCTATTCTACACAAATATTTCATCAAAGAAAGGAAACAAATCGACTGGAAAAACCCAATCACTCTAGCTTCCAAAGATAAATGGCTCTCAGAATTTTCAAAAACTAAGCCTATTTACATGGACGAACCGTCAAACATTCCTGGAGGCCTTACACAAAGAGAAATCCATCAAATAAGCAAACTTAAATTTAAAAAATCCAGCTTAACAGCAGATAACTTCACATCGAAGACATGGACAAGATTTTTTACCACAAATATCACTGAAATCATAAGCTGCATTGAAGAAATTTTCAAGTACTCCCATGTACCTCAACGTGTTGTATCACTTGGGTGTGGTTTCGTGCCTAAACCTGATGAAACTATTCGGATGGTGAAGACACCAAGCTATTTCTACTCAATTATTGATAAAATTTTAAAGAACCGTCTATTGGACAACATTGAAAACCTAATAGATCTTAACTATCAATTTGCTTTTCTCCCAAACACAAGCAGATTTGACATGATAGCTCAGATCTTAAAAAGTAAAAATTTCAATGAAATGGAAGAAATCATTCAGCTAGATATTTCGAAAGCTTTCGATACGGTGAACGCAAATGCAGCTCTAAAGAAAATACAAGCGAAAATGGACTCATCAACAACATCTCTTATAAAATCAACACTTAGCCAGAGATACATCATATATGATCAAAATAAGCAAAGGCTATACAAAAAAGAAACAGAAGGAGTTCCTCAAGGCACATCGTTAGGCCCAATATTATTTATAATAGCCCTAGATGATGCTTTAAAAAGAATAAATAACTTAGGAATCTCCATCTGGTCCTACGCAGATGATATGGTGGTAATTCTTAACTTTCAACAATCAAAAGAAAAACATATTCACCTGGAAAACATTCGAAGAATACTATCTGACTATGGACTATCATTAAACCTCACAAAAACACAATTTACTACATTAAAGGACATGAATAAAAAGGGAATTACGATTCTTGGAGAACACATCTTTTCACACAAGATGAAATTTGTGAAATCCAAAATTGAAAAATATTTGATGGAGTCAACAAACAAGATTATAAAAGAAGATTTCACTATCCAATTATCGATACTGAAATATCTTCCTTACAAGACACAAATAATAATATTCAATCAACTAATCAGACCTCGAATTGACAATTGCTCGTTCTCAATATTATTTCAACATACATCCGAACAAGACCTGAAAAACAGAGTGACTGAACTCATTAATATATGGGGCTCAATTATTAACAAGGTCAAAGGAATTATCTCGACCAAAACCCTAAATTATCTACAAATGACCCCACACTTAATCAAGCAATTGGAAGCCGTTGCCCGTATCACACCATTAAATTATGGGACGACGGGTAGACCTCCATTCCCTCGATTCCTGCCCTCAATGAGACTAACAACTCAACAAAGAAAACATTTTGGCACAGTACACAAATACATCTACACCATGAGACAATTGAATAATTACTCTATAATTCGCATCGTGGAAAAGGATGAGAGAGGATGGTCAATAAAACTAGAACATGAGTGTGAAGGTAGCCGGTATGAGAAACAACTTATGATCCTGGATTACATACTTGCGAGATTCGCCATGGAAGCCGTCGTAATAATAAGAACGAAAGAAATGACCCAATATGGTAATGGTGATTCGACCTTTGCAAAATCATTCCAACTAACAATGATGAAGTATAACTATGGAAACTGGACCTGGATGGAGTACAAAGAGATGGCAAACACAAGTTATCATACAAGTGAAACAGACCAGGTAATTAGTAGAAAAAATCTACTTACGATCAGGAGAGAATTACGGAAGACATGCCAATCAATCCATCAAGAAGCTTGGATATCAATGGACTCAATCTGGCCTCTATTTTATCCATCAGCAACGATCATCAAAACACATAGACATTTCTCATTGATTGGAACGATAGGAAGAATGAAGACAAACATGGCCTGTTGCAACAAAAAAGAAAAAACGAAATCATTTTACAAACATTTTTTGACAGATTGCGAATTAACCAAAAGTTGGAGAGACACTTACCTGAACAACAACAAGCTAAAAATAGATGATATGCCTCAAAAATGGTTTGATAAACTTCTGGAATTTATTGAAAACATCCAACTAATGATGGAAGCTCACGATATGCTAAAGGAACAGGTGGACCTCATTCATGGCGAACCATAACACCAAAAGAAATTCATCAGGAGAAAATGAAATTTAATAAACAAGCTAAAATTTCTTCTGTCATTATAATAAATATATGTATTATCTAGAGCTGGCCAAGCCATATATGGTAGTGAGGGGTAGTTTATAAATTACTCAGCCATATTTCGGCTCTGTTTTCTGTACCAGCCGTTCAGATACAAATAAATTTAACGCAGGGAAAATCTATAAGGCAATGTGAAGCCATTTTTTTCAACAATTTTTTTTTGAATTTTTGTGACTCGAATTATCTTATTTAAGTTTAACCACAATTATAATTAATGACCAGTGTCTTTTTTAAGGAAAATGTTTTTTCTTTGTGTCTAACTGTAAACTATGGGAACAGTTTAACTGTTAAATGTAAAAACATAAATAAAACATGTCTGGATATGACTCATTGAGAAGTCGTACACCAAAGGAGACTCTTTTAGAAGGCTTCATAAAAGGCCTGAAGAGTAAAAATGAAGATACAAGGTATAAAACAGCGCGCGAACTTCACCATTATGTGTCTACGGAGCTTCAAGAAATGTCAGTGGAAGAAATTCACGATTTTATGGAAAAGTTTAACATCAAAGTTCAATTAATGATGTCTAATGGAGATATTAATGAAAAGAAAGGTGGTATTTTAGCGATAATTGTTCTCATTGGTGTTGATGTTGGTAACCAGAGTACAAGAGTATCTCGGTTTGCCAATTATGTGAGAACCTTAGCACCAACTGATGTTGGTTTAATGGAATTGGTTGCTTATGCTGTTGCTCGCATTGCTGTAGCCAGTGGTACACCAACATTAACCTATGTTGATTATGAAGTTCGTCGGGCTATTGAATGGTTATCCGGAGAAAGGAATGAGGCTAAACGGCATGGAGCGGTAAGTTTACATGGCCTTATTACCCCATCCCTTAAGTTGTCAGGAATTTCAGGAATGTTGAACCGGTTGGTTTCAGAAAGAGAAAGAGATAAACCGTTAACCTGACCGGTACTCTGAGTATTCAGAAAATGCCGTCATTCCAGTTGCCTCATGTTGGAGTAACTTTAAGGAATGAACTCTCTCACTCTTACCTCTCCCCCTCTTACCTCTTTTTCCCTTTCTATTTCTCTTTCTTTTTTTCTAATATTTTCAACCGGCTCATTCTCCTGAATTTCTTCTTGATGATCTTTTCTATATTTATTCACCCCTCCAATTCATCCTACCTGTTTGTTCACTTTTATCCTTCATTTTTCTTTCTGGTCCTCATCTCTTGGATCCTTTTCCCGCTTATTTTAACATTTTTTATGAATGAACCTGATTTAATCTTATTTCCAGTTTTTATTTAGTCTTACTACATTCATTCATACTAATTATTCAGCTGTAGTATAGTAAGAATAGTAAAGTAGAACTTGAAATTTTTTCAATCAACCTACTCATTTTGATTGTTTTTGATTTGCACTTCACAGGTTCTCATCCTTCGCGAGCTAGCTACTTCAACTCCTGCTTGTTTTTTTCAACAAGTTCAACAATTTTTTGAATGTATTTTCACGGCTATTCGCGATAAGGAGAAGAAAATTCGTGAAGGAGCTGTTGGTGCTTTACGGGCTGCATTGGCGGTCACTGCTTCTCGCGAAACTAAAGAAACACCTAACCCTCCTTGGTATGCACATTGTTATAAGGAAGCTTTGAAAGGATTTGATGAAAGCTTTCAGGTGATGATGACGAAAGAAAAAGTAACTAAAGACGATATTATCCATAGTTCATTATTGGTTCTCAACGAATTACTTCGTTGTAGCAATATTGAAAGAGAAAAAATCCGACAAGAGTTGGAGGAAATGAGTTTCAAACCTTCTCAAGAAACTATGAATCCACTCGAAAAATATCAAGGCCTGAAAGAAAAGACTTCTTCTTTTACACGGAGTCTTCGAGTTCTTTCTTCTTCCAGTAATCAACAATTTTATACACCCGGACATGGATTGAAAGGACTCTCAGCTATCGTACAATATCATAAATCAACTGGAGTAACTCCAGGTTCAGCGCCTCAATCTCGTAAACTTCCACTCTATGAAAGTCCTACTTGCCGTAAATTGATTAGTGAAAATTTCAACAACATTTGTCAAATTGTGTTGAAACAACGAAGCTCTCGTAACGTTTATGTACATCATGTTCTATTTTTACTCATTCCTCGTTTAGCTGCTTTTGATCCGATCACATTTTCCTCCCATTATTTGAGTGAAACAATGGGTTACCTCTTAAAATCACTTAACAACAATCGAGAACGCTCTCAAGCATTTTTGGCTCTTGGTTTATTAGCAATTGCTGTCAGTAATAGCGTTAAATCTTATTTACCTAAGATTCTGGAAGCTATCAGAATGAACCTACCCTCCAAAGAATCTTCATCTAGAAAACGAGGACAGCTAACTGAGCCAGCAGTTTTTTCTTGTATCAGTCTGCTTGGACAAGCAAACAGCCTTCTAGAAAAAGATGATGTTAAAGAGCTACTTGAACCTATGATTGGAAGTGGTTTTAGTCCAGCTCTGGTCAGTGCCTTACATGATTTAACCATCCAAATGCCAGATCTTAAGAAAGATATTCAAGATGGTCTTCTTAAAATGTTATCTTACGTTTTAATGCAGAAACCGTATCGTCATCCAGGTGCACCTAAAAGATTTCAACTAACCTCTAATTCATTTCCTCCTCCTTATAATTTATCTGATGGTTCAGACATTTCCAGTATCATTTTGGGTTTAAAAATTTTGGGTACTTTCGATTTTCAATCTAAATCACTTATGCAATTTGCTCGACACTGTGCGGACAATTACTTGACAAGTGATTTTACTGAAATCCGCCTTGAAGCCGTTAAAACTTGTTGCCATCTCCTCTCCCCTGCTCTTCATAAAATTACTCAACAGTACAGTCCAAGTCTTATGGTTACTATTCAAGACGTGTTGAGTAAATTATTGATTGCTGCTGTAACTGATCTCGATCCTCAAGTTCGTTATTCTATTCTCTCACTGTTGGACGAAAGATTTGATGGTCATCTTGCTCAAGCTGAAAATCTCAGCGCTCTTTTTATTTGTCTGAATGACGAGATTTTTGAGATAAGTGAACTTACCTTGTGTACTATCGGACGCCTAAGTAGCCTTAACCCTGCATATGTGATGCCTTCTCTTCGTAAAGTTTTATTACAACTCCTAACTGATTTAGAATTTTCCGGTGTCAAACGGAACAAGGAAAGAAGCTCCAAAATGCTTGGTCACCTTATTGCGAATGCACCAAGGCTGATTCGTCCGTATACACAGTCAATTATTACAATTTTCTTGTCAAAACTACGTGAACCAGAACAATATTCAAGTGTAGTTATCAGTGTACTTTCAGCAATCGGAGCTCAGTGTCAAGTCAGTGGAATCGAAATGCGGATTTGGATCGATGAACTATTTCCTATTATTTTAGATTTCGTTCAAGATTCATCATCAATACCCAAAAGAGAAGTTGGCCTTTGGACATTAGGTCATCTTGTCGATAGTACAGGTTATGTAGTTGAGCCTTATTGGAAATATCCAAATTTATTGGATATCCTTTTAAATTTCCTTAAAACTGAACAATCGCCTGCTACAAGGAGGGAAGTTATTAGGGTTTTGGGTCTTTTAGGGGCTATTGACCCTTACAAGCTTAAAGTTAACCTTGGTATGATCGATCAAGCCGGTGATACTCTTATTTTTGTAGCGGACTCTAGTCAAGAGATGCAAGGTATGTTGTTATTTTCCTGATAAAGTATTTATTGAATTTAAAATTAATAATTTTTTTCTTTTTACCACTCTCTAAAAACTCAGAATTAAGTGCCAGTGAAATGTTAGTCAACTTTTCTGGTACATATGACGATTTTTATCCTGCCATTGCAATTGCAACTCTCATTCGTGTTTTGAGGGATCCTGCCTTATTTCAACACCATTGTACCGCCGTTGGAGCGGTCACTTATATATTCACTTGTCTGGGTACAAGATGTGTTCCATATATCCAACAAATTTTACCTGTTTTCATATCTATTATTAAATCTTCGGAGTCTAGGGAGGTTAGTATCGTAAACAACATTGTTTTTTTAAAACTTATCGGTTGCATCTTATCTCTGTTTTATTGCAACATTTGATCTCACTATTTTCTATCTTTTCCTTTTTCTTATCTTAAATTTCCAATTTTATAGTATTTGTTTCAAGAGTTGGGCAATTTGATTGCAGTTGTTGGTCAGCACATTAGGAATTATCTAGATGATATCTTTTCATTGATAAAAGAATTTTGGACCGTCACAAGTTCAATGCAGAGTACGTTAATACAGTTATTAGAGAAAATAGCGAAAGCTTTGGGAGGAGAGTTTAAAATATATTTGCCACAAATAATACCAAATATTCTTCACGTTTTTAACCACGATGATTCAAAAAACCGAATGGTCACCGAAAAACTGCTCAATGCTCTTCAACAATTTGGTACTAGTCTAGAAGATTATCTTCACCTCATACTGCCTCCGATAGTTAAACTTTTTGATGCTCGTGATTCACCACAAAGAGTGAGAGAAGCAGCGTTAAAAACAATTGAATCTTTAGCAGAACATTTAGAAATATCTGATTTTGCATCCAGAATAATTCACCCTTTAATCCGGGTCTTGGAATTGTCTCCCGAGCTTAGAGAGTCAGCTATGAACACCCTCTGTGCACTTGTTGTGCAGATGGGTCGAAAGTATCAAATATTTATTCCTATGACTCAAAAAATTATCTCAAAATATTCAATTGAGCATCAAAGATATCAACTGTTGGTGGATGGTATTATGCAAGGGCACCCACTAGGTGAAGATGATAAAGATCCCATGATGAGTGGAAGAAAGCATGGTAAACAAAGATCCTCTCACGTTACTGCTCCTGCAGCTGCCTCTAATTCCGCTCCAAAAGACATTACTTTAGATAAATCTAGACTAGCGTCATCTTGGAAAACAGATAAACGAGTATCTAAAGATGATTGGTTAAACTGGTTACAAACACTTAGCATTGGACTTATTGAACAATCTGCATCACACGCCTTACGCTCATGCCTCTTAATGGCTCAAGCATACCAACCTTTAGCTCGTGATTTATTTAATGCTTCCTTCCTTTCTTGTTGGAGTCAACTTGATGACGGACATCGAGAAAATTTCATTGACAACATAAGAGCAGCTTTAACTGCCCAAGATATTCCTGAAGTAACTCAAACTTTACTCAACTTGGCGGAATTCATGGAACATTGTGATGATATTGGGCCTCTTCCATTAGAAGCTGAATTACTTGCCGAAAGAGCTTTGAAGTGTAGAGCTTTTGCTAAAGCACTTCACTATAAAGAAATTGAATTCCGCAATCACAAGAACGGACCAACTACAAGTATTTTAGAATCATTAATTAGCATCAATAATAAACTACAACAACCTGAAGCTGCAGCTGGAGCTTTAGTTTATGCAAAGAAACACCATGAAGCTGATCTGAAAATCAAAGAAAGGTGGTATGAGAAACTTAATGACTGGGAAAATGCTCTTAAAGCCTATAGACACAAACGAGACTGCAATCCTGAAGACATGGAATCAATTATCGGTCAAATGAGGTGTTTGGAAGCTCTAGGAGAATGGGTTGATCTGCATCATTTGGCAAGTGAAATATGGCCTCAAGTTGATAGTGAAAATAAACAAATGATGGCTCGAATGGCTTCCACAGCTGCTTGGGGACTTGAAAAATGGGATGCTTTAGAAGAGTATAGTGATCATATCAAAAAAGACACAACTGATGCAGCTTTTTATAAAGCTGTTATTGCTGTACATAAAGAAGATTATCAGGTTGCGCAACGTCTTATTGACAAAGCTCGTGATCAAATTGATACCGATTTAACTGCTATGGCTGGTGAGAGTCAAATACGAGCTTATGGAGCCATGGTTCAAGTTATGATGTTTTCTGAACTTGAAGAAGTAATACAATATAAATTAGTTCAAGAGCGTCGTGAAATCATCAAACAGAAGTGGTGGGAACGTATTCAGGGCTGTCAGAGGGTTGTTGAGGACTGGCAAAAAATATTAATGGTCCATCAATTGGTTTTAAAGCCCGAAAAAGATGAAAAAACTTGGCTTAAATTTGCCAGCTTGTGCCAAAAAAATGGTCGATTGAACCTGTCTCACAAAACGTTAACCATGCTTCTCAAATATGATCCAACCAAAGATGAAACTGTTAAACAACTGCCAACCGACCGTCCTCATGTAACTTTTGGATATATTAAACATATGTGGGATAGTGGTCAGAAAGATCATGCATTGAATCAATTACAACATTTTGTCCACCATGTCTCTTCTTTTGGCACTGGTATTCCAGGAACAGTCGAAGAAGCGAGTAAAAGGCTCGAGTTGGATAAACTTCTTTCAAGGTGTTATCTTAAACTTGGTAATTGGCAAGAAAATTTAAAAGGGATTAATGAAAACTCCATTCCAAATATCATAAAATATTATGCTTTAGCTACTGAAAAAGATAGAGATTGGTATAAAGCTTGGCATGCCTACGCTTATATGAATTTCGAAGCTGTTCTGTATTATAAACAAGCCGCCTCTCATCATCATTTAGATGGTGATGAAAGTTTTTTTAATCATTCATTTGAAACTGCTCGCAATACGCCCGCCGCATCCGTTGCTAAACCCACTACTGAAAGGCTTAACATTATTCGCAATTATTCAATTCCTGCTGTTCGTGGCTTCTTCCGTTCCATTGCTCTCTCTCATGGCAACTCCCTCCAAGACACATTAAGATTACTTACTCTTTGGTTTGACGATGGTCAATATGCAGATGTTTTCGAAGCTCTTTCCGAAGGATTAAAAACAGTTCCTATTCAAACTTGGTTACAAGTAATACCTCAATTAATAGCTCGTATTGACACGTCACGACACTTTGTTGGACGCCTTATTCATCAACTTTTAGTGGACATTGGAAAATGTCATCCTCAAGCTTTAATCTATCCATTAACAGTCGCATCTAAATCAACAGTTGAATCTCGCCAATCAGCTGCCAATAAAGTTCTTGAAAGCATGAAAAAACACAGTGGTAATCTTGTCCAAGAAGCTATATCAGTCAGTGAAGAGCTTATCAGAGTTGCAATTCTTTGGCATGAATTATGGCACGAAGGATTAGAGGAAGCATCTCGTCTTTACTTTGGTGAGCACAATGTTCAAGGAATGTTTGACACTTTAGAACCATTACATGCAATGATGAAACGAGGACCTCAAACCATGAAAGAAGAATCATTCTATCAAGCTTATGGAGCTGATTTAGCAGAAGCCCAAGAATGGTGTCGAAAGTATCAAAAATCTCATAAAGTTAAAGACTTGACCAATGCATGGGACCTTTATTATGTCGTTTTCCGCCGCATATGTAAACAGCTTCCTGCACTTACCTCTCTCGAGCTTCGTTATGTTTCTCCCAGATTATTGAAATGTCGAGATCTAGAACTTGCTGTTCCAGGAAGTTATAATCCAAATCAACCCGTCATACGAATCGCTCAAGTTGACAGTGCCCTTCAAGTGATTACAAGTAAACAAAGACCTAGGAAACTTTGTATCAGAGGAAGCGATGGAAAAAATTACATTTTCTTATTGAAGGGTCACGAAGATTTAAGACAGGATGAACGTGTAATGCAACTTTTTGGTCTTGTTAATACTTTATTGGTTAAAAACCCTGAAACATCCCGCCGTAATCTTGCTATCCAAAGATATGCAGTAATACCTTTAGCTCCCAATAGCGGTTTAATTGGTTGGGTCCCTCATTGTGATACTTTACACACGTTAATCAAAGATTATCGTGAAAAGCGAAATGTTCTTCCGAACCTGGAATATCATATAATGAAAGTTATGGCTCGTGAATATGAAAGGTTGACGCTTATGCAAAAGGTTGAAGTTTTTGAACATGCCATGAATAACTCTCAAGGTGATGACTTGGTTAAACTTCTGTGGCTTAAAAGTCCGAGTTCAGAAGTTTGGTTTGATCGTCGAACAAATTATACCCGTTCCTTGGCTGTAATGTCAATGGTTGGCTACGTTTTAGGACTAGGGGATCGTCACCCGTCAAATCTTATGTTAGATCGATTAAGTGGCAAAATTTTACATATTGATTTCGGAGACTGTTTCGAAGTTGCCAAAACTCGAGAAAAATTTCCAGAAAAAATACCATTCCGGTTAACGCGGATGTTAATAAATGCCATGGAAGTTACTGGTATCGAAGGAACTTACAGGATAACTTGTGAAAAAGTGATGACAGTTCTAAGGAACAACAAAGATAGTTTAATGGCTGTTTTAGAGGCGTTCGTTTATGATCCATTGTTAAATTGGAGACTTGTTGATGGTAAGTCAACTCAAATCAATCTCTTTCTGCATTAATTATCCTATCAATAATTTTTTGTATCATATGATTAATAATATTTATATTTTTTTATTTAGCTCAACCAAATAAAACTAAACCAAATCAAGCGATGGGTCAAGAAGCTGAGACAGCTGAAAATCCGGAATCAGAAACTGTCGATCAATCAGATGCCGCTAAAAAAGCAGTGATTAGACCTGTAGCCGTAAGTCATGTCACTAATGGTATGGCGACTGATAATAAAGAACCAAGCATCACGCCAACGGGTACAGCAGAAACTATGCCATCAACATTTTTGGGTATCAATGGTTATGAAGAGACAACTGGTCAACCCGAAGCTCTCAATAAAAAAGCTTTGTCTGTGATAAATAGAGTTAGAGACAAATTAACTGGTCGAGATTTCAACCCAAATGAAAAACTTGCCGTTCCTCAGCAAGTCGACCTTTTGATTAAACAAGCAACTTCTAAAGAAAATCTTTGTCAATGTTATATTGGTTGGTGTCCATTTTGGTGATGACCATAATTCAACTATGCACCGATACATGTAATCTACATTTCATTAATCATAAATCTTCTACTTGATCAATCAACTACAATCTTGAATCCCTACTCACTAATCTCAGATAATTAATTATCAATAGAGAAGGAATATAATATCAGCTTAAATGAAAAATACATGAAATCCGAGGCAATTTGTATAAAAGTATAAAATTTACTCATATATATTATGTATTAATTTGAGAGAATTTGTAAAAAAACTTATAAAAATAATAATGGTTGTTAATATAATATAAACTGTTTCCAATTATTTATTTAAATAATACTAATCGCTGTCATCAACTAACGTAAAATTGAAAAATTAATTAACGAAAAGTTCGATGGAATCAATTGCGGACAGAAAAAGCAACAAAATTTGACAATTTGCTTGAGCTTTGCTCATGCGTCTTTAATCAGTCGTTTTTGAGACGAGGCGAGAATCAATCGATTTCTCAGTCCAAATCTCCAAGTGTTCACACCTTAAAAAAGCTTTTTTTCTGTGCGTGTTTTTAAGGTGGGCAAAATTTCGGTCAAAATTGGTCCTCTCTCGAGCTGGTGCTCAAAAATGGGCTGTGCTATGAGTGCAGAGGAACGAGCTGCCCTAGCCCGGTCCAAACAGATTGAAAAAAATTTAAAAGAAGATGGTATTCAAGCTGCTAAAGATATAAAACTGTTACTATTAGGTGAGTAGACATCATTGTTTTGATCTTGAAAATATCATTCCCTATTAATCTGACCATTCAATTAGTATAATTTTGAACAATTTACACAATTTCGAGTAATGATATTTTCACGATAACTTTAAATTACTATTTAACATTTATTATTTACATACTCATTTTGCTTCTCTCTTTGCTTCTCTCAACAGGGGCCGGAGAATCTGGTAAAAGCACAATCGTTAAACAAATGAAGTAAGTTCTAATTGCTTGCCCATCATAATCATCTATTGTGTGTCAATCGAGGTTTATCCGTTTGCCTGTGTTTATATTGAACTAATCAGTTATTAACTAACCTGTTAAGTGATTATCTGTGCTGATTCTTATACCAAACCATAGCTTTTCTTTTGGGTTTATGTATATATATTTATACCAGAACCCAAAATGATTGGTCTCAATAAGGTTTCTTGGTTCTGTTGTCTACCTTTGTTGTCAAACAATTTAACATCCACCAGTAAACCTTGATTGTTGGTATCAATTTTTCATCAATCCACATAATCATAGAGACACACAGGAAGAATAAATGTTTCCGCCATTTTTTGATTTTACCTATTTCCATTTCATTTTTGAACTATTTTCATTCCATCAATCTCGTCATCATATTATGCATATTTTCAATGTAAAATCATAGTGCATTAGAAGCGAGACTTTTTTTACTCTATCTGTCTTGACTGAACTGAGATTGTCAATTGCCTTTTCAATGTTGAATCATTTAGTCCAACAAGTAAACATTTTCTGTTTTCTTTTTCAATCCAAGTTAATTAACTTCTGTTTCATGTTCACTATGAATTACTTGTTTTCCCACTGTCATTATCACTGTCTGTAAATCAAATTATTTTTACCACATTAGTTATTGTTTCCAGTCAATATATTCATCCCTCTGAACCATTCAATTACCCACTTACACCAAATTTTAAGAATTCATCTTTTCAAATTGCCTTTTTTATGTATTTTTACTTCAAATAAGATTGAACTTGCATAATGCATCTTGTCTAAACCTGTAACATTGACCATCAGCATCGTAATTAGTAATTTTTCATCTAACAAGCTTCTGCGGGAAGCTCAATCTAGGTAATAATTTGACTGCAAGTTAAATTAATATTTTGTTACCTCTCATTTTCATTCTCCTGTTGATGTCCTCGTCTTTTTTCTGGCTTTCCTGCCTCTCGTCAGAATCACCTCTTCTCTTCAGATTCTGAGAGACCCATGATTGATTGAAATTTATAGAAATATCATGGCGCATGACTTTCTTTTCAACATTTTATCCTCATCTTTTCTCTTTTTTCCATTTTCTTCTCTCCTCATCACCAATCTTCTTTTGATTCCTACATGATCATTTACGTCTCTCTTCATCTTCATCCTCAAATATCCTTTTTGCACACTCAATTCCCCTCCTCTCTCCCACTGTCAGTCTCTTTCGTTTTCCTTTCAATTTTTCTCTTTCTCTCCTTTTAACCCTCATAATACCAATTCACATTTTAATTTCAATCCTCAGTTGATCTCCTTGTTGATTTCCTTCCTTGTTTTTTCTCCTTTCTCTCTCATTTCATGTTATTATTGATCCAAGAATTAACACAATCTTATGATAACGATCAATCCGATAGTAAATATGACAAAAAGCTAATTTGTACAATGCATATTGACAATTTGTTGCTTTTATGCATAACAGTAATTAGTAATAAGAGGCAAAAATGGATATCTCTAAGGTTCCAGAATATCTAAAGCTGAAATAACGGTTTGTGAACCAAAATTTCGATTCAATTTTAAATTATTTACAAGGTCTCCCACTGTATTTGCATGGTTTCTGCCAGAGATTATTAACCAACTTATCTACTTGTCTTTAAATTTTGCATAAATACATTGATTATTACCATATTTTGCAGGCTAAATCAGCAATTTAAAAGTAGCATTGCCTTTTCACAATCCCAAGGTTTTACCATCTTATAACCTGGAGTGATAGTCATTTAAATTCGTGTGTTAATGTTTTGTAAACAAACCTTGAGTAACTATTAATTTAAACAGAACAGTATTTAAACAAAATAAATTTAAAAACTGTGGGCCAAAATAAACCCAAAATAGCCCTAATCAAGCTGACATTTAGAAGATTATCAGCCAGCATTAATGTAAATTTTAATCTATCAACCAAGATGCTCTCTGTTTTGATCTGAACCAAATTTCTTTCATCCAATGCATTCTATGTTGATCAAATGTATTACATTTTGACAATCAAGATATTAATGTCTATGATTTATATTGTCTAGAATTGTTTATGAATGTATTTTCAGCTTGTAGCTTTGAGTTAGTTTGCAGTATAATAACGCAACATAGCTTTTTTCCTCTATCCTGAGCTATAGCTGTTTCGATATTTACAATTTACTGCTGAGATTGTTCTTTAAAATATTTGATTAAATTAACTAATCAATTTCTTTTTTTGCTTGTGACCCAGAATTATCCATGATAGTGGTTTCACCCAAGAGGATTTCAAACAATACAAACCGGTTGTCTATTCCAATACCATCCAATCCATGGTAGCCATTTTACGAGCCATGCCTAATTTAGGAATATCATTTGGTTCCTCGGAACGTGAATCGGATGCTAAAATGGTGTTTGATGTCGTTTCCCGAATGGAAGATACTGAACCTTTTAGTGAAGAATTACTTGCTGCAATGAAACGCCTTTGGGTCGATGCAGGAGTCCAGGAATGCTTTGGTCGGTCCAATGAATATCAGCTCAATGATTCGGCAAAATATTTTCTTGATGATCTAGATCGATTGGGACAAAAGGATTACATGCCAACGGAACAAGATATTTTACGGACTCGGGTAAAGACAACTGGTATTGTTGAGGTCCACTTTTCTTTTAAAAACCTCAATTTCAAGCTATTCGATGTGGGTGGACAGAGGTCAGAGAGAAAAAAATGGATCCATTGTTTTGAAGATGTAACCGCTATTATATTTTGTGTTGCCATGTCTGAATACGACCAGGTTTTACATGAAGATGAGACAACCAATCGGATGCAGGAATCTGTTAAACTATTTGATTCTATATGTAACAACAAATGGTTCACTGATACCTCAATAATATTGTTTCTCAACAAAAAAGATCTTTTCGAGGAAAAGATTAAAAAATCACCTTTAACAATATGCTTTCCAGAGTATACGGGAGCCCAAGAGTATGGTGAAGCTGCGGCCTACATTCAAGCCCAATTTGAGGCTAAAAACAAGTCAACCACTAAAGAAATTTATTGCCATATGACCTGTGCTACGGATACTTCCAACATTCAATTTGTTTTTGATGCTGTTACCGATGTCATTATAGCCAATAACTTGAGAGGATGTGGTCTATACTAGTTCAAAAGACGTCTTTAAAAGCAAGAGCAACAACAACAACAAAGCATGATGAAGGAAAACAAAATCAAGTCAGAATGTTCGTGAAACAAATGAAATAACCAACATAAAATGTTCTGTTTACCAAAGAGGAGGACAGAGACGAAAAGAGGGAAGAAGTATCAAAGAAGAAGAACCCTTAAAAGATGATAATGATAATGATAATTTTTGGTTGACGATTATAAAAAAAGAAGAAGAAGGAATAGGAAAAGCAAGAGTCAAAGGATAGAGGTGAGGATGGAAATAGAGATGAAGATTAAGGTGAAGGTGAACAAAAAAAGCAGGGAAGAAGAAACATGAAGGTGATGCTGTTTATTATATTTGTGATGGTTGTAGGAGAGGTGAGGAGAGTGAAAAAAGGACCAAGAAAAGAAGAAAAGGTTGGACATTAAAAGAAACGGTATAAACTGTGTGGATGATAATGAAAAAGAAAGTAAGAAATGAGTAAAATGAGGTTGAAAATACGAAAAAAAACAAAACAAATAGGAATCAACAAAAGACATGCACAGTCTTATTCGAACACCTCCTCCTTCTTCTGTTTCGTCTCCATCTCTTATCATCATCTCTTGGTTTCCTCTTCTTTCTCCTTCTTCGACCTTCTTTCTTTTCTTTCTTTCTATCCTATTTTCCCATAAAGCACACAACACACACTCAACCAACAAACACACATTCTCATCCTTAAAGACTCACGACTCATATAAACAAAATCATTTAAAGCACCACAAACTTTCCCTCAATCTAACCCATTCCTTTTACCATGACAAATTAATCTACTATTATCTATATTTTTGCTTTATTCCTTCCCTGAGTTCACTTTGCCATTGGTCATACAATTCCCATCCATTTCGCTCCATTCTTGATTAAACTTTGATTCAGGTTTCTCATTTCTGCTTTTCTCAAACATGATCAACAATTATTAATACTGTTATCGTTGCCTCTACAACAAGTGAGAGAAATCTGTGAGATTTTTTTTTCTATCTCACAACCCTGTCCCATCCCTGAATACTGGATTCCTGGTCTCATTTCAGTTATCTGATCTCACTCTTTTCCCTTTCTTCTCCTGATACCAATATTTAATAGTATATTAAATATAAATGTCTATTTACTCTTTCTCGCTTTCTCCAAACATGGACCAGCATGGAAACTAAATTCCGATTAATTTGTCTGAAAGTAAATTCAGACAGTATATGTTGAGTCATTAACTCTCTCTCTCTCTTTCCCTTTTTTTTCATCGGCATCATCCTCATCTTTGTCAATGTCATTGTCATCTTCATCGTCTTCATCATCCACCATCTTGATCATCATTACCGTCACCATCACCATTTTATAATCATCAGTAAAATCATTTTAAATCATTCTTCTCTTTGCTCTTACTTCAATCAAACCAAAAAAATCAACCAAAGTCAATGTCTAAAAAGTCTATGAACCAACCTCAACAAAACCACGACGATTTGGGAAAGACTTTCTCATCAATATCATCGTTTCATGATAAATATATATAAAAACACTCGAAATCAACAAAGAAACAAAATGATACTAACAACATTCTCTCTCTTCTTTCTTCCTTTGTGTCCATCTCTCTTTCTATCTTTCTCTCTCGCTCTCTCTTCACTCAACAACAAATTCACAACAAACATACAGCCACACACACAAAAAAACAACAAACAACAGCATACCAAGAAGCAAATCATTCACAATATATACTATAGTATATACACTGTTTTGGAAACTCTGTCGATTCAATCTTCTCTATCGGTCTTCATCTCTTGCTTATCATCTCTTCAATTTTTAAACTGATCTCTTTTTGAAATATTACTCTTTCACTCTCTCACACTCTGTCTTTGTCTCTCTTTCTCCTTTCTCTCCTTCCCACTCCCAGTCTCTCACTGATTGCAAATTCCTAATTAATTCTAATTATTTCTTTTATTCTTTGTGCTTTGTGAATCAATTCATTTCTTTGCTTTCAAATGGTTTCCCTTTTATTTATTATCATCTATTTATTTTCCGTTAAATCTGCTTTCCTTTCATTACCTCTTATCCAGTAATTAATCCTTTTTTATCTTCGTCATCTCTCTTTGTTGCATTCAGAACGTTTCTTCTAACTTTTTTGTTTCCATCATCAACCTTTAACACTTTTGCTTTTTTACTTCGACATCTTTTTGCTTATTTCTCCCTTTACCGTAACGAACAGTTCTATTGAACTTCGTTTTTCATTATTATTTATTTATTTATTATCATTTCTCCGTGAAATTATTTTATTCTGAGAATTTGTTTTCAGTTTGTCAATAAAAACACACGATTCTGTTTCTGTGCAAACTCATCATTCCATCGTCTCCCATTACTCTGTGGTATCTCCTTTAAATTGCAAAATCTTTCACTTCTTCTTCTTCTCCATCATCATCTTCTTCTTTCTTTCTTCCTCTTCCTCCTCTTCTCTATCTTCTTCTCTAATATACATAAACAACACTAAAAATAACTAAAAAATTGTACTCTCGATTTTCCAATAAAATATCGACAGAATAAAAACAGTGTTATCATTCAATTGTTTGTTTTATATTAAACTGGCCATCTTGTCATCATTGAGAAATTTGATTTAACCCGGATTCCTAGTAAATCATATTTTTGAAAGGAAATGAAGTTAAATGGACTCAATGCTAAAATCTTGGTTTATTTGATGAACAAAAATATGTATAAACATACGGCGCTAGAATATTCGATAGTCGATCCAGAAAAATTAAATTGCTCCATTTGATGGTGCGACTGCTTAAAATCAATATCAAATCTCTTATTCTAGGAATTCTGGACCGAAGGAAATTAATTCTAAATGACTGGATTGTTCGAAGTACGCTAATACCGATAACATTTTGCTAGGATACATTTCTGGTTTAAATTCATCTACTCCAGAAAACTCATTGAAATTATTAGCGATATCAAAGGCTTGGTAATTTATATCAGCATACTCAAACTACTAAATACAGGAAACCAGTGAGTTGGTTGCTGTCTCTAAGAAACTGGTATATGGTGGGGAGGGAAAACCAAATAAAAATAGAACACCTCGATTTTATCGTCTTTTTCTTTCATCGCCATCTATCAAAGATAAATTTCATTGTACAAATTAATAAAAGCTCAACATTAATTTATCAACAATTTATAAATAGTGAATCAAACAGAATTAGATGATAATTTTAAAAAAAACTGCCAGTTTTGACATCAGTATGGTTAAAGATTTGAAATTAAATTGACTGATTTAATATTCGGAATCAATGGAAACAAATTTTTAAATGTAGTAACATTAATGCACCTTTTACAAGCCACATAAACTTGTTTAGGGAATCAATTGAAAAAAGAGAAAAAAACAGCCAATTACAGTGACATCAATGATTAATGCAGGGATATAAAATAAATTGAAGTAGGGAAAAAGAAAGAGTTAAAAGTTCTTTACAATATCTTAATCGGTGTTATGTTATAATACCTTTAGAAAGGTGTGTTTTTGTTTACATTTCTCTCGTTTTAAAGTATATATTTTATGGTAATATTTTAAAGCTTTTCAACTTTCTGTTACCCAATCGTTTTCCGCGAGAAAAGTATCAATCACTTCTTTCATGGCAAGATTGGGTATCAGTTGCTCAGCAGTTAGCGGAGTTCTTGTTATTGGATCAAAGTGTCCAACGCGTTGTAGGTGCTCTTCAATCACCTTTCGATCATATGTTATACCACTTGGTGTTATTACAGGATCCATCATGACTTCAAAGCTGATTTTACCACATAAATAATCTGGAATATCTCTTTTTCTTCGTCTTGCATCGAGCTGCGAGAATAAAGCATTCAGTTCTGTCAGATACTGATGACTTTTAGATTCGATTTGGTTCTCAACTATTGACAATTTTTCACCATCTTTGGTAGAAGTACGAGCTTCTTCTAATTGACGCTCTTTGTCCTTCTTAATGAGATCGTTTAGATAAGTTTGTAGTTCAATTTCTTCTTTAATTCGCCTCTCTTCTAACTGATTCCATCGTTTCTTGCGAGCTAGCCTCAATTGGGAAGCAATTTCATCGCCAAAATTTTTCTTCTGCTCTCGAGCTAAATCAGAAGCTCTCGTTAAATGTTTAATTGCATCATCATATTGTTCAATTTCTAGTAATGCTGAACCAATGAAAAAGTGACCCTTGATTGAATTAGGCTCCAAATCAAGAGCTCGTCGAGCATCTTTCAATGACAGATCCCATTGTTGTAATTTAAGGTAACACAATGCACGATTGGTGAAATACTTGGAATCAGCTGGATCACAGGAGATGGCACGGGAATAATATTCTAGGGCTTCTTGATACTTCTGATGACTGAATAATTTGTTGCCTTGTTCCTTCAATTCTAAAGCACTTGTGTCCTTGCTTATTGGCATTAGGCTGGTTAGTGAATTAGGCCTTGAGAATCGAAAAATGTTGAGAATTTAAACAATAATAAATGACAGATAAAGTAAAAGGCATAAAAGATAAGAGTGAATATATAATAGGACAATGGGATCAATGATTATTGTAGCACAATAATCTATTTAGTATCAACTTAGTGAAAATTTAATTTAAATAATTAAATGTGCAACTGGTATAATAATCAAGAAAGAAAAACAATCAAGTCAATGAAACAAAAACATTAATAAAAGATACAGTAAACCAAAGAATCTTTGCACAAACAACAACAGATACCTGTCTCCCGTAGTAAAACAGTAAAGCATTGATAATATTTCTACTTTTAGCTCCATCTATTGAATCTAATTTGATTGACATTTGATTGGCATCTAATTGCATCTTTCAAATGAATTTCTGGTGGATTTAAGCAGAGAATTACTTGATTAAGGCAAAAGCTGGTCGGATTGATTGTTAACTGAAAGATGAATTGTTACTAGGAAGTGATTAAGATGATACTGGTGGGGAAATCATTAAAAATGAAGCTGTTGAAGAAGAGAATGGAGTGACCGAAAGCAAACATGATACTTTTTACGTTGTTGCTGGAAATCAGGATAATATTAGGCGCGCTTCTTCACCTTCATTGTTTTCAGGTCCTGCTTCGGTAAAAATGTCTAAATCAACTTCTCTAGCTACTATTATGGTAACTTCACCAGCAAGTAATCGTGATAAAAGATCACCTTCCAGAGGCGAGGAGACTTTTGGTCAAACTGGTGAATCCGAGGGAGATGGAATCTCAAATGGATGAACGAAAAAGAAAAATGAGAGAAAACGTCTTCGCGACACTAAAAATAAGTTGATTAATCTTAAATCAAAAGCACTAGAATCTTTTCCATCCATTTCGACTCTGAAAAGTCGGGTCAAGGAAATACTGCCTGTTCGCAGTGGAGCGAGTGGTCCAGATGAAAGTGGTCAAGGGCAAGGGGAAATAGATCGAAGATATTACATTCATCGAGAGTAAACGGTTCTTTCTCAATACCTTAAACGACTCTGAATCTAAATTAAAAGCCATTTCACTTGATTTGAACCAATATCTGGTGGAATATAATATAATGTAATAGAGACATCAACCGAAGATTCCGCCATTGCCTACTCCAAGATTTCGATCTGATAGGCATAGTCCGATGTCAAAATCATAAATTAGTACTTTGCATCGACTTTAACAGCAGAAAAAACAGCAAAACCGTTTGATCCAACAAGATTATCTATTATCAGTTGATAGAGCAAATTTAGCAACAGATGGACTTTACTGGAAACCTTTTTCATGGAAAACGGGTCGATGTAGATCATTGACTGAGCTTTATGTAAGAAAACGATCTCAACCACCTATCATCATTGACTGTAAGTCTTCTGAGGCAGGATCAGATCATTCACTGAATCAAGAGCCTGTGGAAAAATTCCTTTCATATCGATTGATGTCCCAAAATTGTTTCCCCCGATAATCCTCCATGAATCTATAAGACCAACATCGACGATTGTAGATAGCAATTGCGATACGGATTCTGAATGGCTATTTCAATCACATCTAATTTATTTGTACTGATTAACTCAATCTGTTCATCTCCCAAAAGTTTACACAAAATATTGAATAACTCACAAAAATAGATGGTGAATTAATGTTTACATATGCAAAAGAAAAAGACGTTACAAAAATGTTAGGGTGTTTGTTTTTGTTTATCTCCGTTTAATTTCACAGAAACTTTCATATTCTAGTCTTAAGTTCTTCAATATACCAAACAATATTAAAGCTCATCGTGTTTAGGTCCAGTAAACTCTTTATGAGAAATGAACCCATTCCTATCTTTATCTTCATTTTGGAAAATCTCCTCAATCAAATTGTCATGGTCAGGAAGATCTTTCAATGTTGAGTCTGGAACATTTGGTAATTGCTTGGTAAGGTATTCACTAATCTGTTGTAAAATGAGAAAAATGCAAGCGAAAATTGGGTAAGTTGTTATTGAATCATTGAGTAAATATAAAAAAGATAGAATAGCAAGAGTAAAACAGATAAATCAATAACTGTAATGAAAGCAAATAGACTCAGATAAATGCAGATAATCTAAAGAAATAAATAACTTACTTCTTCTCTAGAAAGTTGGTTGTCATCGTTGGCATCGATTTCTTTGAAAACGTTAACCGGTGGTGGACCATCTTCGATAGCGACACATTCAACCTCAAAGACTAAAGTAGATTTAGGAGGGATTTTATCACCAGCACCATTATCACCATAACCAAGATGTGATGGAATTGTTAATTTACGCTTTTCTCCAACACACATATCAAGTAACCCTTGGTCCCAACCTTGGATAACTTGATTTATACCCAATTGAAATTGGAAAGGTTCATTACGAGAGTAACTGTAGACAGAAGGAAGCAAGTAAGCATGTTAATGAGGATTAACAGATGAAGAACAATGTTTGAATTTAAATTACTTACCTTGAATCAAATTCAGTTCCATCCAATAGAGTTCCTCTGTAATGCATTTTGAGCATATCACCTTTCCTGGTTTTACGCTCACATTTATCTGGCTTGTGGGTAACATCAATTTTCAATTCACCATCCTCAGAATCACAGTGGACAACTGTGGATAGTAATAATAGATATACTGGTAAACCAGTAGACCAACTCAATCTGGTCATCATATTTAGTACAAATAGAATTTGATTGAAAAAAATTAATAAAATTAAACAAGCAAATAATATAAGTAATCACAGGTATGAACTGGTAATTTTTAAGCTGAGACACGTCAATTTTGCAATTGCCACAGTGGAGCTTGATTTTGATGCAGCGGGTGAGATGAAAAAACAGGTTGTCACAAGTTGCCCACAGTTGGCAAAGGAAATGATGAAGTCCCTTTCTTTCTTACTGATCCTGACTCAGATAGTGATATTTTTGATATTAATGATGTTACCTTCATTTCATTGATTAATATGAATTATTGGAAAGAAGTAACATGATCACTTTTATCATCAAATCAACGATAAACATTTTACATGTATTATAGAAAACAAGATTGCTATTGCTTTGTTCCAGCAATTTCGGTCGCAAAAATTTGATTGATCGCTTTATATCTATACGTTTAATTCAACTCAATATTGATTTATTCCATTTTATTTAACAATCAAAGGAATAACAATAATTAATTTGCTCTTTTCATGGTAAATAAGAATAATCAGACAAGTTTTTATGTACAGACATTCCCTTTCCAAGTGAATTAAAGTCACTGACTTCAAATTGAAAGCTTCAATGGTTAAAAATACCAAGGCGAATCCAAATCTTGTGTTGACAATTAAACCGTATATTTTAATCACTAGAAATCGGACATTGTTGAAACCAAATTAGTTTCGGTTAAAATATCTACAATAAGCTGCCAGACAGTGGGACTAATTTTTATACAACCCCTTGAATGAAGCACATGATGTAGCCTGGAAAGTTTGCGGTTCAATCACTATGTTCATTGAACAGATAATGTACACTAATCGTCAGTAACAAGATTGGACAATGTTCAATCTTTAGTGATTGTTGTAACTGGATTACTGATTAGCTGATTTAGCTCTAGAAATAAAGAAAAGTAGTGAAAATAAGCTATTTTCAGTGAGTCTGGTAGGTTACTGTAAATGTAACATTTTACATTTGGCCTTGGACTGTAATATTTAATTAGCCTTTATTATGTTACTTTTAGCTGTTTAAACAAGTTTATGCGGCTTGTAAAAGGTGCATTAATGTTACTACATTTAAAAATTTGTTTCCATTGATTCCGAATATTAAATCAGTCAATTTAATTTCAAATCTTTAACAATACTGATGTCAAAACTGACAGTTTTTTTAAAAATTATCATCTAATTCTGTTTGATTCACTATTTATAAATTGTTGATAAATTAATGTTGAGCTTTTATTAATTTGTACAATGAAATTTATCTTTGATAGATGGCGATGAAAGAAAAAGACGATAAAATCGAGGTGTTCTATTTTTATTTGGTTTTCCCTCCCCACCATATACCAGTTTCTTAGAGACAGCAACCAACTCACTGGTTTCCTGTATTTAGTAGTTCTTGTTATGGTGGGTAAGCTGTTAAGATTGAATATGACTGATGATTTGAAACTAGTTGTACCTCATTATTCGGATTTTGTTTTCGACCAGAACCATATTAAAGATGATGCTCGTCGTTTGATGGAGAAATTGCGTCCCCATTGGGATGCATCAACAATTGAAATTAAACAGTTTACTGAAGGTATTACCAACTGGCTCATTGGTTGTTTTCCTCTCGATTTTGATTCTGATAAAAGTGAGAAGGATGATGTGGTACTTATTCGAGTTTATGGTCGTAAAACGGAATTATTTATTGATCGCCAAAAAGAAATTGCTAATATGTTGTTAATGTATCAAAATGGACTGAGTCCGCCCGTCTTTTGTTCTTTTGCCAATGGTATGGCTTATGGTTATTCTGCCGGCAAAGTTGTCGATAGTACTATGGTTCGACAGGAATATATTTATAATTTAATTTGTCATCAAATGGTCAAGATGCACTCGATTTCCTACAAAAAGCAGTCTATCACTTTACCAATTTGTGATTCATCCAATAACGACGATAACAATAATAATAGTGGTGAGATGAAAAATGAAGCAAAAGCTTGCCTTAGCCGTTTATTCAACAAATATTTAACTTTAATTGCTGAATCAATTACCCCCGATGATCCAGTGAGTGTTTTTTTAAACAACGAAGGTATAACCCTTGATGATCTCACGAAAGAGGCTGATTATTTGGTGGAAAATTTGTCGAAACTTGGATCTCCATTGGTTTTCTGTCACAATGATCTCTTGCTCAACAACATTATCTACGATGAACGTAAACCATCTATCAGTTTCATCGATTTTGAGTATGCTGATATAAATTACCAAGCCTTTGATATTGCTAATCATTTCAACGAGTTTTCTGGAGTGGATGAATATATACCCGAAATGTATCCTAGCAAAGAGTTTCAATTGAAATGGTTATCCTGTTACTTAAAACATTGGAATCAGTTAGTCGAATCAGATGAAGGTGATATTCATGTTAATAGACAATTTGACCTGAGAGTCGAAGATTTATACGTTCAAGTTTCAAAGTTTTCACTGGCATCTAACCTTCTTTGGGGTATTTGGGCACTTCTCCAAACAATCCATTCAACAATTGACTTTAATTTCTTCGCTTATGGAGTTCCTAGAATAAGAGAGTATTTTAAAAGAAAACACTCTTTGCTCAGTCTCTCATCGCCTATCAAAAAACACGTTTCATAATGAATTGCAAGCAACTACATTCCTTCACTTTTTAAATATTCCAGGAGATCAATTATATGGATGAAATTCAACTTGATTTTAAGCAGTCGCGCCATCAAATGGAGCAATTTAATTTTTCTGGATCGACTATCGAATATTCTAGCGGCGTATGTTTATACATATTTTTGTTCATCAAATAAACCAAGATTTTAGCATTGAGTCCATTTAACTTCATTTCCTTTCAAAAATATGATTAACTAGAAATCCAGGTTAAATCAAACTTCTAAATGATGATAAGATGGTCAGCATGCTATAAAACAAACAATTGAATGATAACACTGTTTTTATTCTGTCGATATTTTATTGGAAAATCGAGAGCACGTCTTTACTACAATTTTTTAGTTATTTTTAGTGTTGTTTATGTATATTAGAGAAGAAGATAGAGAAGAGGAGGAAGAGGAAGAAAGAAAGAAGAAGAAGATGATGATGGAGAAGAAGAAGAAGAAGAAGTGAAAGATTTTGCAATTTAAAGGAGATACCACAGAGTAATGGGAGACGATGGAATGATGAGTTTGCACAGAAACAGAATCGTGTGTTTTTATTGACAAACTGAAAACAAATTCTCAGAATAAAATAATTTCACGGAGAAATGATAATAAATAAATAAATAATAATGAAAAACGATGTTCAATAGAACTGTTCGTTGCGGTAAAGGGAGAGAAATAAGCAAAAAGATGTCGAAGTAAAAAAGCAAAAGTGATAAAGGTTGATGATGGAAACAAAAAAGTTAGAAGAAACGTTCTGAATGCAGCAAAGAGAGATGACGAAGATAAAAAAGTATTAATTACTGGATAAGAGGTAATAAAAGGAAAGCAGATTTAACGGAAAATAAATAGGTGATAATAAATAAAAGGGAAACCATTTGAAAGCAAAGAAATGAATTGATTCACAAAGCAAAAAAGAATTAATTAGAATCAATTAGGAACTTCAATCAGTAAGACACCGGTAATAGGAAGTGAAGAACGGCAGAGAGTCAAAGTCTATCATAGAGTGAAATAGTAATGTTTCAAAAAATGGCTCAAATCAATGAAAATATTTCAATCAGTTTAAAAATTCAAGAGATAGACCGATAGAGATTGAAATGACAGAGTTTCCAAACAGTGTATACTTACAGTTATTGTGTAACAATTGGTTAGGATTACCTGGTTTCTGGTAGTCTCACCGGTAACGGCACTGGTAACTTCTCGGGTAATCTTACTGGTAATGAGGATTTGCTGCGGTATTTCTGTATTTGTCCGGTATCTGTTTATAAAGACCTGCCGTTATGCTGGGATTTGGTTACTTTGTTAATACAGTCAGCTCACAATAAATGCTGTGGAAAAGATAGATGACGAATTTTTGTACAATAGATGGCAGTTTAATGATACTAAAAGTAACCAAATCCTAGCAATCTGTATTTGTTTTTTATTCCGGCCCGTAGTTTTTTTAATTTATTTGTTGAATACTTCTACAAATGTAATTAAAATTAAATTCTGTGATATAAACACTTCTTTCAGTACCTTACTAATTTATGCAACAAAAAATTCAGCTTTTTACTCATTTTCTTATGTGTAAACAATTTATAACAATATTTTTTCTTCATTTGTTTTTATTGCAACTCTGAAGGTTTGAAGAGATATCAAATCTCATGACTGTTGTCAATGTCTTTAGTAATTGTTTTTTCTATCAACTTTATTGGCTACGTGCATCGTCATAATTAGCATAATCATCATTTCATTGAAGTCCTCTTAAAGTCAAAAATCCTGTTTAAAACTACCGATCTACCTTTTTAAAGACAACTGGGAATCTTGTCAACCTGTCATCATGGTTCATAGTCATGACATCCATAAGGTCAACATGTCAGCCTTAAGTGAAGAAGAAAGAAATCACATTCTATTCCACGAGAAACACAGAGGTCATGAAGGAATGCACGCTATGATGTTATTAGTCTTGATTGTAGCCACCTTCTCTGTTCAAATTGGTTTAATAGCATGGAAAAAGCGTAGCATGAAAAGCTATCAGAATGTTTCTATGTTTGCCATGTGGCTATTTCCAATTGCTATTTCTATTCACAATTCATGGTGGAGATTTGTTGGCATATGGGCCTCATTAACTATATTGACGATCGCATTCATTTGGAAACCCTTGGTTAATAATAAATTGAGTGGATCCACTCCACGTATGATATATAAATGGTTCTACTATTTATACTCTATTTCATCAGTTTTAGCCGTTTCTGGCTACATCATTGTTATGTGTACTTTTTTAGGTTAGTATTGTTTGCTCCATGAACCTTTTTCATGCTTATTCTGCTGTTTGAACTACCTAAGATTAATCTAGCAGTCATTTAATGTCTTATCTATTTGATTCCTTTTTTGAAATTGTCTAATACCAATTTTCCAAAATTTCTTTTCCAGGTTTAAATTTAATGTTTGGGTTAAAGCCTCAAATACCATTGGACATCGGTATAATGTTCTTATTTTATGGAATATATTGGGGAGTATTAACACGAGATTTCACCGATTTCTTGGTTGACATATTGACTGCCAATATTGGTTATTACCAGTCTTCATCATCACTTCCCTCTAAACAATTGAAAAGCTCAATTTGTGCGATTTGTGGCCGAAGTCATGATGGACTGATTGATGCTATAGATTCTTCACTTAGTTATGATGAAACTTCTGAGTCTGAAAGATGTTTCACTCTCTCATGCGGCCATAAATATCACGAATACTGTATTTATGGTTGGTGTCTTGTTGGTAAAAAACAAGTATGTCCATTTTGTCGTGAGAAAGTGGACACACAGAAACTATTTTCTTCATTACCATTTCAAAAGCCACATTATTTATATGGTAATTTATTAGATTTTATTCGTTACCTTGTAGCGTGGCAGCCCTTAATTCTTCTTGCAGTACAAGGTATAAACTATTTCCTCGGGCTTGAATAAACATAATATTGCAAGCCGTGTAACAGTCAGACTCCACAGTAAATTTTGTACACATAAAAAATTGTTCATACACCTGAGTACAATAAGACAAAAAGACTTGTTTAAAAGGAGAGCAATTCTGAATATATATCTCAATCCTGGGTCACTTTATACATCGTTCAACAAATTTGATGTAAATTAGTGCAATTTAAGAAAATTTAATTTTGTAATTATATTTCATTCTTTTTTCTAAACTACTGGTTTACCTATTTCATTTCATTGCAATAATTTTCACATTCTAGCCTTCGAACATAAATTTTGATCAAAGCTTTTAATCAAATCTCGTAACAACGGTTCTGCATTAAAGGATGGATTTTGCTTCGCGTTCCAACTCATTGAATTACTTGAAAGAATTTGCCTGTTTGCTTTATGACATTGCTGTATTTGGTAACCGTCAGCTCAGAATTTAGACTGATAACAACAACAAAAACCTTAACATTTTTGTCAGCTCTTTTTTTCTTTAACATATGTAAACATTGATTCATCTTCTATTTTAGTGAATTTTTAATTGGAATATAAGATGAAAATAAGCATCATTAGATACGTTAGTTGAGTAGTGGTTGATGTATTTTTCGATTAATATTGCACGAAATGTTTAAATATCTGGAATCGATGGTTGGATCTCACTAGCATTTTTTGTTTCTATTTTCAATTTTTTTTTCGTAAAATCCAACCAATTGGATACTTTGCGATGATGAGTAATGGTGGAAATGATTCATGATTGAGATGGCGTTTTTGTGCTCGCTTGTTGCTATTGATGTGATGGTTGGTGAAAAACCGGGATAAAATGACGAGAGAGTAAAGTAGGACTTGCGACACAAAAGGTGGGTCATACGAATAAGCGATGAAATGTCACAGGGATTTACTGATGGTAACTGGATCGCTACGATGCATTAACTTTATTATGGAGTTGCTAAGGTGTCCATTGGGATAACATAGCCTTCACGGTGCAGGTGGTAGAGTCTCTTTTCAACAGCATCCTTATATCGACTAAGAAGTCCCTTATCATCAATGATACTTGATTGTTGAGATAAACTGTGTAACAGTATTTGAGCTGTTTGGTATTTTCGTAAACACTGAAAACAAAAGAGTGAAAGAATAAGATAAGAGCAATTCGGTCGAGTAAATAGAGGAAAATAAACGGGAAAATTGAAATTTTCTCGGAAGAGGAAAAGAATTTGTTAGGAAAAAATATTTGAATTATGTAATAGTTGAAAAAATCTTACCAATTCCATGTCACCAATCAATTCTTCAGTGGCTGCTGATTTAGCCACTTGAATAGCATGATCATAGATTAAACTGTCAGCAGAAATATTGTCCAAATCTTGACGATTCATGGAAGCTATTAGTGCATCCTGAGTTAAAACTCTGCAATTCTCAAGGCATTCGTTAAAGACTGATTTCAAGGTAGAAAGGACTGTAAAAACAATTGAGAGAAAAAAAGGAATCAATTACAACATGTAAACAAGCAAAGCACATCGATTAAAAAAAGCTGAAAATTAGAAAAAAGGAAGGAAAAGGAGGAGAGATAGAAGGGAGAATCGAACAAGGTTGAATGATTAAAGAAGAAATAGTATTCTTTAAGTTGAGTGTTTATGTCAACAGTGATTATGCCAAATAAATCAAGCCAAAAATATGGTGAGAGTGAAGGAAAAAGCCAGTAGGGAAATTGGGAAAGTTGGATATTAAGAAGCAAGAGAAAGAAAGTTAACCTTGTCGAACTGATGATGATGGTTTGAGCCTTCCAGAGGTAATCTCAGACCTTGAGAGTTGTAAAGCAGATGAAACAAACTGCAGAGCTCGAACATAAAGAACAAGTTTCTCTGCTTGCCTTTGGCTTGGTGGCGTTATCTGAATAAAATTAACAAAGCAAAAAAATATTAATAAAGAAAAAAAAGTGTGTTGAGAAAAAAAGATATTTTGAAATACTTGAAGATTGGCTTGATAAAAAATCAATGTTATAAAAAACGTTGAAATGAATTGAACCAGCTATTGATAAGTACGATAACTGAACAATAGTTGAGTTTTTTGCCAATCTAATGCTATTTCGAAAGAATAATTAAATAATGATCTTACCTCTGGTACAGAGCTTTCAATCAAGTAATTCAATGTATTTTCACGATGCTCTGCTAACCTTATAATACATTCAACTAATGTAATGACAAAATTAAGCCGAGCGAGTGTTTCGTTATGTTCTTTGTCAAGTAAAGTTTCCTCTGGTAATTCAGGTGCATCAAAGCGGTGAAAACCTTCGATAAAGCGTGGAGATGATTCAATAGAGTTTCGATTAGGGAATTGGGGGACAACTGGGTAACAGCATTGATGTCCAGATGATCCTGAAGGATGGTTGTGACGCGTTAATGCATTTGAACTATTCAGTCTATAAATATCGTTGAGTAAAATGGCAGCCTTATGACCACTTGAGTGTGATCCAAAACCAAAGCTATGTGGATGATATTGATGAGTACTGTGAGGATGGTATGGGTGATGTCCACGTCCTGGTTTTTCACCCATAGGATTATCATGAAAGGTAAATTTCATGGGAGATGAGTTACACCGGGAAACTAGAGCGTTACTGGCCACTTGATGGTGCAAGTGATGATGTGGATGATGAACAAATGGCCGATGATGATGGTCTGGGGAACAAAGGCCAGGCATGTAGGTTAGCTCGGCCGTACCACTTTGAAGACCTTGTAGATGAAGTGGTGGAGTTAATTGTCTCATCATTGGAGAGGCTAAGCAGTTTGATGCATTGAGAAGAGGTGCACTACAACGGCGATTAGCCGAAAATGAACCAGAAGCTATTCCTGGTGGTGTACCAATGATGAATTGTACTGCTGGTGGTGAGAGTTGACTGATATCGTGGATGAAACGATTACTCGTGTTAGAGCTTCCAGAAGAATTTGAATCTGATTGTTGACCGGATTTTTCTTCTGACGAAACAGGTAATAATTCCTGTTTATCTGATGAGCTTCCAGGTGATTCACCTTTTACACTATTGTTAGGATTACTATTTGCGGTGGTACTGGCCCAGGGAAGGTCAGATCCACCATCGGACGTAACAGTTCCTGATGATCTTCCTATTGATTGATCACTTCTACGAATACGATCGTAAACATTTTTGTGACTTGGAACAGGGCTGGCTGATTTAAATTGGCCAACATAAGTATACAAATCGGTCGGGCTTATGGCTGGGCTACCCACAGATCCTCCAGAAGGTTTGGTTGGTATGGGTTTCGAATGACGAGTTTCAACAGGTTTATCGTCCTTACCCATGAATGGAACGAAAACAAAATCATCAACTTCCTCTGGTTCGTCCAAAGATGATCGAGCAGGAATTTTTGGCTCACTTTTAATTGGAGATCTTGAGCCAGTCGGTAATCCTGAAGGTCTAGGATGGCTTGGAGGAGTTTTATTTGGTGATGAAGGAATTGAAGATTTAACTTCAACTTGTGGATTTGCAGAGGAATGTCTTATAAATTCATGGTTAAAAAATGCATCAAAATCCATACGATCATTGGGGTCACGTTTAAGCAGGCCATTGAGAAGATCTGTCAAATGTTTAGAAGTTCCAAGAGGAATTCTGATTCAAAGAAAAATAAAAAGAAAAATTTTCACCATAAGAACAAAGAAATTTGGTTTGCTAAATTTTAACACTTAAAAGTGGATAATATTATGGAAACATTATATTACATAATATAATAGAGCAGTCAAGATGTTTGACAAAAGTCAATGACATTCAAAATAAGTTTGAGCATCTTTGACTTTATTGAGCTACCACTCAATCTCTGTGCTCGGTAATTTTATCAAAATGGTTTACTAAATAGCAGTAAATATCATTAAACTCCAAACCAAAACAGGAAAATAGTGGGAATAACAAAATAAAATCACAGCTAAACTATGTATAAATCAATATGTTGGATCATAATTAGTATCAAATAATTGAGTTACAATAGCAGTTAAAGATAAAATTAAAACAATGTCAAAGAACTAAGAGAAAAGCTTTTGCTTCAATTTTAGAGCTTTGTAATTAGAGATGCTACAATCAACAGTAACAGATAAAACATTTTTTTAACAAATGCGTAGCAAAGTATTCCATCATGTTACTAACAAAAAGACTGATCATTTCAATTGTTGCGTCATCTGAGCAATGAGATCAAATCAAAAAAACCTTAAAAAGTTAGTTATTATTAGTTCAAAGTTAATATCTGTAACTGTTCATTTCTGGTTCCTCAAGTCAAGCTCTTAAGGTTTTCAGATTAAAAAGAGAGCACAACTTGAAGCTATTTGCAATCCTGTCACTCTTTTGCGTAATTCTTTAAATTAATTTGACCCAACAAAAGATGTAGGATTGTTTAGATAATGGGTTAAACAATAAAAAGTATAACTTACTTTGGTGCCAAATTAACATTTTTCTCGTAAAAATGCTTTAAAGCAGGAGGTGATTGGGCATTGAAAGGGGCCTTTCCAGTTAAACATTGAAAAACGATAGTACCGATACTCCAAAGATCAGCTTTGGCACCGTATTGAAGGGACATGATTACCTCAGGAGCCATATACATGGGAGATCCACACAATGTAGCAGCCATTGATCCTTCAACTAGAAATCTAGCAAACCCAAAGTCAGCAATTTTCAGGGTAATCTCGTGAGGGTTTGGGCTAGGTTCCTTGGAACAGAGGAGAATATTTTGAGGTTTAAGATCACGATGAACTATTCCTTTTTGGTGGAGAGCTTTCATCGCCTCAGCAATTTGTTTAAGAAAGAATTTAATGGTATCTTCACACAGGGAACCCATTTTATGAAGATATTCAGCCAGATCAGAACGGTTACAATATTCCATGACCAGATAAACATGTTCAACTGTTTCATTGTAGCCCAATAAGGCTACCACATTCTCATGGTGTAGTTGAGTCAATTCTTCAAGAATATTGATTTCCTTGGTTAAAAGATTTTGGCTTTTCTGGAGATTCTTTTTAGCAATGGTTTTAATTGCCACTGGAAAATCCTTAGTCCTATGTTTACCTTTGTAAACAACTGCAAAAGCTCCATGTCCAATGAGATCACTTGATTGATAGAAATATTCACCAACATTAATGACTGTTTCCTTATTGTTTCCCATGTTGGTAACAAGTTCTTAAATTAAATTGAAGAGTAGAGTGATTAAATAAATCACAAGTGTTTAAAAAAACAAAAAAAAATATTAATAAAAATCAAAACATTTGGATTTGGAATCTTTCTTCTGTCTCTGATGAAAACAAAGAAAGAAAGAAATGAAGTAACCTTTAAATGAAGTTAAGCAAAATCAACTTACTCCTGAGTGTGATCAAACGAGGCTTGATTCCATGGTAACCAGATTTTACCACGCAATTTAAATCGGGCATTTTAACAACAACAACAATTAACCTTTCTCTTTCTCTTTCTTTTTACACTCACTTAGACAAGGTTACAATTAAACTGAAAATGTGAAAGACGATCATCAAGTCAACTTTTGTAAATTACAAGTGTAAGCAATTAAAGCAACAAAAATATGTGAGCAACGATAAAACTGGTATTTTGGTTTTTGATACAACTCTACCGGTTAAACCAGAGTTTATGGATTGGTGAAACAAGGGTTTGACGAAGAGTTAATTGTCTCTGATTGTTGATCAACAATTGTTAACCTCTTTTTTTATTGTGTATCACAAATCTTGTGAGTTACTGAATCATCAACCTACTATGATTGTTTCTCGGTTCAACTTGAAGATAACCTGAAATAAATGAAACAAGTGAACAAGTATAACAAATGAAGTCTTTTTCAAAGATAAAGATAGTTGATAGGAATACAATAATAATAACTATTAAGATGAGGATGAGAAAAGTATGCCGTGAATTGTGTTGTGAAATTGATGATGAAAATTGTGTTCTTATTAGTCTTATAACTTCACTTTATTCAGATTGATAAAGATGCTGATCATGTTGGAAGGTATAATCATATGATTTGTGAAAAAAAGAGTCTTATTTGCTAGTGCTATTAGACTTGATTCATGTGACAAAAGTGTTATTAATGAAACCAGTTTAAATTGGCATTAATAATGTTTCAAACAGTGTAATACAAATAGTAATGTTCATCTAATAACCCCGTGATCATCATAATTATAAACCTAAATCAACAACAACAGTGAATAAAAAAGCTACCAATTGTAACAACAATACATAATGAAGCATAATTAATTTCAATAGTGAAATGAAACTTGCCAAAAACCTAACAATAGAAACCTGTTAATATTGAATTTTATTGTTAACAAATGTTGACTCTAAAACAATTGATGTTACATTTGATTAATAAACAAACATTATGATCATACCAATCAACATCTTCATCAATTTCATCTTTTTACATTTTCATCTCCCAAGTAAATCTGGTTAGGCTATAAGCAACCAATCTTTCAACCTAACAGAGTCCCTCTTTTCCCATCAGATATCGTTTACAATGAGGCCTATCTATAAGCCAAATAATTACCATTTTTATCATCATTACCATCATGATGATGATCATAGCCAACATGAGCATCATCATAAGCATCATCATGATGATGATCATCATCGTCTTCAACATTATTTTAACTTCAAAGTGAGGCCTAGTTAGGCCTTACATCACACGATTTTTCAACCTAACAGAGTCACTCTTTTCCCATTAGGAAGGGCTATCATTGGGGTCTTTTGTGGGGCAAAAATTGTTATCAAGCAACACGCATCTTTATCATCAAATAGTCAGCCTCATCAACTAATCAAACCTTAATTTGTCCAATCTTACCAATAAGTCTGGTTAGGGCCTTGAAACATGAATTTTGTAACCCACAAGAGTCGCTCTTTTCCCATTAAAAGGTGCTTCCTTTTGACTCTTCACACGCACACTAATCTTCATTTTCAGCATAAATAATGATTTGTTGCTTGTTTTGTGTTACAGTTTTAAACTGTAAAATGTAAACTTTTTTTTCTCAAAAAAAGTGTTTTTATTTTCAAGTGAGTGTGTATTTCAAGGTTTTTCAATGGCAGCTTTAAATACACTATCACTTGACTTGTTAATGAAGTTTAGCAAGGATAACGAACCAGTAAGTTTTGTTTTTGCTTTAGTGTCAAGGTGTTTATTAATGCTAATGTTAGCTTATGATGATGATGGTTACAGTTTCAACAAAACTTTCAATTGTTATTTAACTAAAAAAAGCTTTGACAATTTTCACTACTATTTACTTTTGGTAAAAACATCAACATCAATGAATGATAAAATGAAAACATTTGCTCACATCTTTTTTTATGTACATCAAAACAAAAAGGTCAGTGAAAAAATGAGCCCCATGAACATTCATTGTCCAACCATAAAGCAAACATCAATAGACACCAATAATAATGGCCTTGCAACAGAATGTAAAGTTACAAAGAAAATTTGATTTTCTGTTTCAGATGAAATGAATTGAAAATGTTAATGATAAATTTGACCTTCCAAACTATTCCCAATCTGTAGTCTGTGCTCATGAAATTAGATAAGGTCATTTTGGTGTAAAAAAATATGATGACTTGAAAATGAAAATAGCAAAAAGATTAATTAACCAAAAACAAAAACAAAAGTTATTACAAGATAATGATGAATGATGAATTGATAGCAACTTCATCCTACAACAATAACAGTAAACATTGGATGAACCCAAAAAGGTGTGAGTTACTTCCTTGTGTTAACCTAAAGTCGCCTTTAATTGCACGAGCCAAGTCGATGTCAGAAAAAAGATGAAACCCAAAAATTGTTTCCTAATCTCAATGTTATCCATTTACCCAATCATTGTCATGATGATCAACCCAATCAGACTGATCAATCAACATTTGAATAAGGTTAAACTGGAAATTGAACCAAAATCAATGGCAACTTCACGTGCTGCCAGATTCAGGTTTTCAATTACATGTGTTTGTATCCATTAGTTTACCATGAGACAGGTTATAACTGTTTATCACTCTATCAGTCTGCTTGGTGCCTCGGATGAAACTTTTTTTTTCTTCTTCTTCTCATCATAATTTCCATCATTATAATCATTATTTTTGCAGCTCACTCAACTCTTTCATTGCTATTCAACAAGTGAGTGACTCTTTTCTGCTCCTGCCTCTTGCCTCGATCGCCTGATTTTCAGTTGTACTTGGCATCATCTTGAATTGCCTATTATCATTACCAAGAACCCAGTAACCTTGAAAATACAAGCGCAACGCAAAAAAAAGTGAAAACCTGTTTGAATTACAATAATTATTGTTGTTATCAAATAGTTGAAAGAATGATTAAAATTGAGAAACTCGTAAAAATGATAATTTAATCATCAGGAGATGGTCGATATGAAATTCATTTCAACATTAAATGCTTTCAGCCTAGGACTTCACTTCCAACAGCAATTTCATTTCTTTCAATAATTTTATTCACTTTGTTCAACATTTCAGGTTTCGCTCGACTTTGCCTTTCAATCCTTGAATATTCAAATTTCTGGTTCTTTGGTATTTCGTTTTATCTCGTCAATATAAGTCCACTTTTGGTTCTTTTGAAACATTTACCAATCGTTTTTCAAATCTTGGTTTCATTTTTCGGGTTTACCAGTTTTTACCAGATTTTGTTTCACTTTTCTTTGATTCTTGTTTAGTATTTTTTCAACTCTTCAACCAATCGAAATGATAGTTTTTTCCTCTTCAAAAAGCTTAGGCGTTCATGATTGTCCTAAAAAGACTAGAATCGTTCCAAATTTACCTACACATTTAAACTTGATTGTTACCATTAAATGATTGTTCAATTGTTGATTCAAGCATTTTTGGGCAAAGAAAAGAAATAAAAGTTTTCTCTCTTCATCCGTATCATCCTAAAGACTCTAAGTAAAGATTAAAAGATTCATTCCATTGTATTACAATAGCATGATAAATCTAGTGTAATATTGAATGAAAAAAACAAATGAGTTGAACTCATCTTGATAAACTCGAACAGAACATTTGAAACTTGGATTTCATTTTCTCTCATAACACCAGTCACTTAGTAACTCCAAGTACATCCAAAGTTCTTGATGAATCAATGTTTCTGTTTTCATTGAAGTTAACAGAGTTATCACTGTGAATAGATTGAATGATAAATGTATTATTAGCTCACATCAACTTTTGCCAAATTTACACAAAATCGAGCTTCGATTATTCAATTCAATATCTTGATCAACCAATAATTTCGCTTCAATTTACGTTTAGAAGAGAAAAAAATTGAGAAAAAAATCTTTAATAAAACAAGTTATTCCGAAACACTAATGGCATCATTTGCACACACTTGGACCCTCAAAACGTGCCTCAACAATGAAAGTTCAGTAAACTCAGTAAAGTCTAAACGAAACATTTCATAAGATTAATCCATCACCAGAACACGAGATCAATAAATAACATTATTGGCTTTATCATAACGTCTATTTTATCACCAATTTTATCATGAAAAGCTTTATTTACTCAACTTGTTTCCTGATCTTCATGTCGACTTCATTTTCCATTCCTTATTACATTAAATCTAAAATGAAATTAGCATCAATCTAATCTCTGATAATCTTAACAACTTCATCACCTCATCATTAAACCTCATTCTCGAGCCTTCATCAAATATTCATCAACCCTTTATGTTGAAAAACACAAATAGGAAGTTGTATAATTCACCATGAAATTAGATTGTCTGATAAAGATATGGAAGGTGAGAAAGAAAAGGATAAAAAAATGAATTTTCTTTGTTTCCATCCAGTTGTTTCCATGTGAATAACACTTTTTGTTACTTGTTTTGCTTTTCAAGGTAAAATTTGTCAAATTGTCATCATGTGATCAACTCAACTGAATAATCTGTTTCACTGTAAACATTGCACGATAATCGAGTGAACAACTGATGATGATAACAGGATAATCTTGGATAATGAATTATGTATCGAGAGAGAGAAACAAAAAGATCATGAAATGTTCAAGTCACTGTAAACTTTTTTGTAACATTTTTCACCGTCAACCTTGAAAAGATTGCAAACATTTATCAAAACTGTGATAAACTGAAATCATGCAAAGTTACCTGAAAAATCAGCTGAAGTTAAAGGTGACAATGAGGAAAACAAAATGCCGATGAAAAACGGGAAAACGCGTGATTCTTCAACTAATCAGTTTCTCCATGTTGACACTTTTTCCAAATTATATTGTTTTTCAGTAACCAAGCATCTGTTAATGACGTTCATTGAGTAAAATTATCACAACCATAACCAACAACCCAAACATAATCACTCACACAATCATCAACATAATCAACAAGATAACAAGCGTAATTGCTTCAATTGATACAATTGAAATCGAAGAAAGTAAAAAAAGAATTTTCTTGTTCTTTGTTTTTTTTGAAACTTTATTCCAATATTTACCATGATGTAACATCAACTAATCATTTAGGATGCAATTGCACTCATCTTTCAACGCAAATAGATATTGTAAGTAAACATTGAACTTAATGATAGTTTGTACTCAACAGAACCAATGAAAGGTACTTTTACGAGATTAACTTGACTTTGGATGTTTCCTTCGTTGGCTGTTTCGACCAACCTCGAGTAAACTCGGAAATTCAATTTCAACTGTTTATCTGTTTAAATGAAAACCAATTGTCAACTTGCCAAGTTGGCCCATTAAAGTAATCTTTTTGCATTGAAAAGCATTTCAAGTAAACATTTTTGTTGTATCAACATGCAACTAGAACATGATTTTAGACGGAAGTTTAATATTTTTTATTCCCTTTCCTTGACAATATTCAGGTAATGAGTGATTAATTGACTTATTTCTGGTTCATTTGGTGTTTGTCACCATCAAGTGAACCTGAACAAGTAAGCTCAGGAAATTACCCACAGATGCAAATCTCTCTGCCAAAGGGTTGAAAGAAGCAAAGAAATTTCTTATTCAAAGTTGATTATCAAAAGTTGACATTTTCTTGGCACACAATCGGATAATTATTCATGAAAGTCAAATGATTTTCATCATGAGTTTCATCTTGCTGATTAATAAGTCAACATTCCATGGTTTATTGGTTATCAATTCTTACTTGATTAATCTCTATTTCAGAATAAATGTGAAACTTTAAATGAAACAAAAAAACAAAGTAAATCCCATTTTCAATTTGTTTATTTTGATGGTTAAATGAGCTTTTGTTATTGCATCAAGTTGTTCAACTGGATAGTTAATCTGTATTATCAAATGGGTAACTAGTTAATGATTAACTTGATATTAGTCTCGTTGGGAATTAACTCGTGTATTACAGTTTATTGGCCTTACGTCAACGAACGTTTGTCAAAAGTTTGTCGACTTGTTATCATTTCCTTCATGTTTAACTTTAATATTATTTTTCATAAGTACAATTGTTCAATCAACTGTCAATCAGTGAAGAGTTGAATCACTCCATTAGCCTACGCTCATTCAATTCTTGGTTTTTTTCTTTCATGTGTTCGTCCATTTTTTTCTGATTATTTCAATATTGATTCGAATCTATAGTCATGATGTTTATGCGATTTTGAAATATGTTTTGAAACTGATAACATAAATCATTTGAATCTTGGTGTTCACAACTCGAAATTATCAAGTTTTTATGTTCAATTAAAAACTTGATTTCAAACTTGAATATCAAACTGACTTTGTTATTATTTTGTTACCAGTTTTATTGCACAGGTTAGTGTTAGTTACAGTGTAAGTGTTTATGAGATGGAATGCAGACAAGCTCAATTACATATTTGTAATTGCCATTTTTTATTGTTTATTGCTATTAGTATTTACTATTGACTAAAGCTGGACAGCAATATAATGAAGTCTCGCCAGAATCTTGATGGAAATGAATAACATCTTTAGAAGGTTCGATGGTTCGTGTTTAAGGCGTCAAATTTTCAGTTTCATTAGGAAAGATGGAAATTTGTTTTCCAATAAAACTCAGCCTTTTTCAAAATTTTTGGAACCTTTTATGAAGACGATCTAAAAGCTAACTTAAGTGCAAATGTATGCGACTGATCTCAACTTTTAAGTTTGTTTTGTGCTTGTAACCATTATATCAAGTTTAGTCATAAAAGTAATCAGATGACTCAGAATAATGAAGTAAAGAGTTTAACGACACTTGCGTCATTATTAATGATTCATTGGTGGTCATTATCAAAATAATAACCGGTAATTGTAGATTAACTTGATATTTTTTTCGGTAGGAATTAACTTGACTCGTGTATGACAGTTTATTGGCCTTAAAGACAAAGGGAACCCGATTTATGAAGATATTCAGCCAGATTAAAACGGTTACAATATTCCATGACAAGGTAAACATGTTCAACTGTTTCAATGTAGCCTGAATTTCAAAGCATTGATTTCATTGGTCAAGGAATTTTGGCTTTCTGGAGATTCTTTTTAGCAATGGTTTTAATTGCCACTGGAAAATCCTTAGTCCTATGTTTACCTTTGTAAACAACTGCAAAAGCTCCATGTCCAATGAGATCACTTGATTGATAGAAATATTCACCAACATTAATGACTGTTTCTTTATTGTTTCCCATGTTGGTAACAAGTTCTTAAATTAAATTGAAGAGTAAGAGTGATTAAATAAATCACAAGTGTCAAAAAACAAAAAAAAATAATGAAAGTCAAAACATTTGAATTTGGAATCTTTCTTCTGTCTCTGATTGAAAGAACGAAATGAAACTTTAAATGAAGTTGAAAAAATCAAATTACTCCTGAGTGTGACCAAACGAGGCTTGATTCCATGGTAACCAGATTTTACCACGCAATTCAAATCAGAGTTTTAACAACAACAACAATTAACCTTCTTTTTACACTCATTTAGAAAAGGTTAGAATTAAACGGAAAATGTGAAAGACGATCATCAAGTCAACTTTTAAATTACAAGTGTAAGCAATTAAAGAAACAAAAAATATTTAAACAGCCATTGAACCAAAGAATAGGATAACTACTCTTTGGATTAAACTGATATTGGTTTGATACAACTTTACCGGTTAAACCAGAGTTTATTGATGGTGAAACAAGAGTTTGACGAAAATTTAGTGGCCTCTGATTGTTGATTAACAATTGTTTACTTCTTTTTATTGTGTATCACAAATCTTGTGAGTTACTGAATCTGTGTTTTGTCTTGGATCTTCTCATTCACCTTTTTGCTGACGGATTCTAGAGCACCCGCTATAATTACATGATGTGCGAAAAAGTCTTTTTTGCTAGTGCTATTAGACTTGATTCATGTGACAAAAGTGTTATTAATGAAACCAGTTTAAATTGGCATTGATAATGTTTCAAATAGTGTAATACAAATCGTAATGTTCATCTAATAACCTCTTGATCATCATAATTATAAACCTAAATCAACAACAACAGTGAATAAAAAGCTACCAATTGTAACAACAATACATAATGAAGCATAATTTCAACAGTGAGTTAATTAGTACAAATAAATTAGCTGTGATTGAAATCACCATTCAGAGTCCGAGGCATCCATTGAGTCTGGTCTCATTCGTCGTCGAGACATATAAGCTCTCATCTCACTGGGTGATGCAACTCGTGGTTGAAGCATATCATCATCCGAATCTTCATCTATGGTAACATGTTCAGCAATCAGCGGAATTGTCCTAGACGAAGATGATGCCAATTCATTCATCATATCCCCGCTTATGGTTGATTCAGCTGTTGGTGGTTGTGGTGCAGGATCTTCTGGTGGGGTTGGAATCTCCATGGTTTTACTACTAGCCTGATCAGTATCGTAATGACTTACTGCACCTGTTATTGATGATGATATTGTTTGTGGTTCAGATAAAACTGAATGGAATTGAGAGGAAGCTGTTAATGTTTGAGTTGCCTCGGTGGACAAAGAGTCAAGATCGGCAAATGTATCCATATCAGTGTCACATTCCTCGGCATCATAATAATGGGTTATTGTTTTACTTGAAGCTTCATCATTTGCTGGACGTATATTAAGACTACCACTACTTGCTGTTACCAAAGGAGGAGATGATTCCTTTGAGGATGACGATGAAAGTCTTGTCCTCTTAAGCTGACTTAAATTTAAATCATTATTCTTATAACCATCCACATTTACTTCACGTTCTGATGATACCGCAATTGCTATCTGTGCTACAGTAGTTGGTGTTGGTGTTATAGATTCACGGCCATCATCAGTATAACCAACCTCTTCAGTACAATCTAAATGAACATATGATTCTTTCATATCTTTTAGTTGTCTCAAAGTTTGATCGTTCGATTGGGTAAAATTTGTTTTTAATTGATTATTCGTTAAATCTTCGAGGGAAGTCTGACACCCTTTCGACTCCAATGAACGTGGGTAGTCAACTAATTGAGATCCTGTTTCGACGGAAACATCAACCATTCCAACTATTGGATAAGGTGAAACTGGTCTAATAAATGTTGCCTCGGGTCTATTTAAGTCTACTGAAGAACCTGCTAAACTTAAATAAGGTGAATTTGATCGAGATCGAGAAAGTGAATTTTTACGTTTACTTCGAGGTGGTAAAGGAGGAGCTGGTAGAGGTCGACTTTGGATAATTTCACCAACCAAGACTGGCATGTTCTCAAGATCTCGCTTTAATTTTTTACTTCGATCAATGGTTGAGTAAATGGGTTCAGTGTCTGCCAGTCTATCTTTCAAGTCTTCTGGAGGCGGATCTGTTGTAATCGTTGGTGGCGGAGGCCTTGGCGGCGAACAATATTGGGACATCAATCGATATGAAAGGGATTTTTCCACAGGCTCTTGATTCAGTGAATGATCTGATCCTGCCTCAGAAGGCTTACAGTCAATGATGATTGGTGGTTGAGATCGTTTTCTTACATAAAGCTCAGTCAATGATCTACATCGACCCGTTTTCCATGAAAAAGGTTTCCAGTAAAGTCCATCTGTTGCTAAATTTGCTCTATCAACTGATAATAGATAATCTTGTTGGATCAAACGTGTTTGCTGTTGTCTCTGCTGTTGTTTCTGTTGTTGTAGCCGATGCAAAGTACTGTAAGGTGATTTTGACATCGGAGTGTGCCTATCAGATCGATATCTTGGAGGAGGTAATGGCGGAAGGCCTGAACTAGCTGTTAATGGATGAATGTCTCTTTTTTCAAGAACTTCATATCCGTCAATATTTTCTTTACTGATTGCTGCCTCTTCAGCTTGCTGTTGACCTCAGTATACTTCCTCTCGATTCTCTTCTTCTTGGTATCGGTTGTGGTCTAGAATGAGTTCCAGATATTGGATGAGGAGGGATTCGTGGTGGAGGTCGTCCTGATCTTGGTGGTCTTTGATATACCTCCAAGTTGGGCGATGAAGCTGAGATCAATTCATCTATTCTTTTATTATGTCTTTCTTGCCAATCACGAACAACGTTGCGATAATAAATTGAAGCTGGAATTCTGTCGGATTCGTTCCTCACCAAAGTCGGAGTTGTTAAATCACGATTAGAACTATTCAAATCAATATCTTCTAATGCCCCTAATGACGTTGCTGTTGATCCTTCCCTTGACAGATCAAGTCCACTACTGCTAAGCAAATAAATATCAACTTCAGGTGGTGGTGGCCTCGGAGGAGGTGCTCTTTTGGGTTTCTTTGGTGTTCCAGTTCTACTTATATTTGGCTCTGAAGCATGAAACGATGAATTAGCTCCATAATTAGACCTTCTTGGTGGCCGTAATGGGCTATTTATTGGAGATAGCAATAATTGAACACGATCTTCGGTTGATATCTCTATTTCATCATACATTCCACCAGGTACTTGTTCCAAATCAGGGGAAATGGCTTTTAATGTAGATTTACGTGATTCAACTAATTCGGAGTCAGAGAAAAATTCATTCTCAGAGTCAGGATAGCGTTTACGATATTCAGAAAAAATCTTTTGCTCTCGATGAATGGAATATCTTCGATCCATTTCCCCTTGCCCACTTTCATCTGGACCACTCGCTCCACTGCGAACAGGCAGTATTTCCTTGACCCGAATTTTCAGAGTCGAAATGGATGGAAAGGATTCTAGTGCTTTTGATTTAAGGTTAATCAACTTATTTTTAGTGTCGCGAAGACGTTTTTTCATCTTCTTTCTTTTTCGTCCATCCATTTGTGGGTCAACATCTCCCTCGGATTCACCTGTTTGACCAAAAGTCTCCTCGCCTCTGGAAGGTGATCTTTTATCACGATTACTTGCTGGTGAAGTTACCATAATAGTAGCTAGAGAAGTTGATTTAGACATTGTTACCGAAGCAGGACCTGAAACCAATGAAGGTGAAGAAGCGCGTCTACTATCCTGCTTTCCATCGACCATGTAAAAAGGTTCATCTTGTTCGCTTTTAATTGCTCCATTCTCTTCACCGCCAGCTTCATTTTTAATAATGTCCCCGTCATCACCATCTTTACCACCTCCAGTCAACAATCCTTCTTCCAGTTTACGTTTCAATGTTTCTCGTAAATTAGCACTTTCCTCTTTAATCAGTCGCTTTTGCTCCTTCTCTTCTTCTTGCCGCTTTCGTCTTCGTTCTTCCTCTTCCTCCAATTGTCTTATTCGTCGTTCCTCCTCTTCAGCCTGTTTTCGCCTTTTTTCTTCGTTTTCTCGTATTTTTCTCCTTTCCTCTTCCTCCCCCTTCAATCGACGTTGCTCCTCTTCTTCCTTCATCTTCCGAATCCTTTCCTCTTCCTTTCGTCGTTTTTCGTCTCTCTTCTTCTGTCTTTCCCTTTCCTTGGCAGCTTCGAGTTCAGCTTTCTTCTCCATCTCGTAAACCATTCTCTCATATTCTCTCTCCATTTCTTCATCTCTCCGTTTTTTTTCTTCTTCTGCTTTTCGTCGCTTCTCCTCTTCTTTTCGAGCCTTTTCCTCCTCTTTCCTCAATCTTTCTTCTTCTTCTTTCATCCTTTTTTCTTCCTTCTTCTTTCGTCTTTCTATCTCCTTAGCAGCTTCGAGCTCAGCTTTCTTCTCCATTTCGTAAACCATTCTTTCATATTCTCTCTCCAATTCATCATCTCTCCGTTTTTTCTCTGCCTCATCTTTTCGTCTCTTCTCCTCTTCTTTTCGAGCAATTTCCTCCATCTTTCGTTTTTTCTCGGCTTCTTTTTCCTCTTCTTTTCGACGTCTCTTTTCCTCTTCAATATCTATATATTCACCTACTGGAGAAGGAGCCGGGCTAACTTCAGGTGTGGTACTTCGTTTAAAAATATCCTTCACTTTGGATCCGAATCTCCGCACCTTGAACTTCAATGATGATGCTCTACCTTTCAGGGTACCTTGAGCTGAATTACCATCTTCAGGAATCTCGTCACCTTCACTTCCAGTTCCATCCCGAAGTGTAGCTTCTGAAATTATAACACTTGAATCATCCAACTGATCCTCAGTAATCGTTATAGTCGGTATTTCAATTGTTGAAATATCAGTTGAGGCTCTTGAATCAGTAGAATTTTCATTCCTTAATCCTGGTCGAATCTTGAAAATGCCACTTCCTCGCACCGATAAATCATCCGCATCATTAATGTCACTTCTCACTTTTTCCATAACCTGGTCACAAGTTACTTGTACAAATCGTTCAATGTCCGTTAATGACATTGCTTTATCTGGTTCATTCATTGTTTGTTTATTCTCGTTTGAACCAGTCGTTTGATCGCCGATATTCTCATCAATCGTCGCCTCACCACCTTTAGAGTTATTGTTTTCCTCAACTATTTCAGTTGAATTATCTTGTTTGCTATCAAGTTTCTCGTCCAATTTAAATTTCCTTTTCCATTTTGAACCTTCACTTTTTATTGTTGAATCTTCTTGATTATTATTTTTCTCTATTTCACTATTTAACTGGTTTGTTTCTTGAAAAGCAGCTGTCTCTTTATCGGGCTCCTCAGGAATCACCAAATCAGACATGTAAACTCGTTTAAATGATTCAAGATCAACATCCTCTGGTCCACTGGCTGTTTCGTCTTCACCAAACTCTTCTGTATCGGTTGACAATCTTTCCAAGCCTCGAAGTGTTGTTGGTCTATCAGCATCTTTACCACGTCTTTTCAATGGATCACCAACTTCAGAGCGTAAATCACCATCCTCATCATATTCAAATGAACATTCTGTTGCTGGATCATCTTCAGATTCAATTGATATCGTAGGATCTTGATTACCTATTGCATGTCTCTGCTCAACTGATGAATTGTTATCCGAACTAGTAATACGATTTCGAGTTGCCCTGTAAATAGGATAAACATCAATAACACAGGTTATAATTGGTAAACAAGTACATCTTAATTTAACTTTGATTCTAGCTAATTGGGGTGATTGTGAGGTATAACCACCAAAAGGTGAAGCCAAGCATTGATCTGGTCCAATCATAAATTTACATTTGTCATAATTTATGAACACAAGGAAAATTGTCTCTAATCAATATCAAGAATCCTTATCAAGTATAAATATTTTCATCTTCATCTGCCAAACTCACTCAAATTGTCATCTTCTTTGCCTCTTTCAAACCATCTTTTATACGGTTTTATCATTGATAGTAAAAACAAAGGCAAACATTATTAAAGTTGAACAAAAATTATAAGCTATTCAACTTTAATATCATTTACTCAAGACAACTTGTTGGTCATAAAATTTTAATAATTTCAGATTAAGATCAAGAACAGGTTGAATCTTCAGCAAATCAGTAGAATCACTTTTCGCTATCAAAAAGTGAAACAATTTAGTCTACAAAAGCTTAAGAATGGACAAGTTGGAGTTGATTAGAATCATTAACTGATTTTGTCAAATCTGGTTACATAAAGACAAATCAAATGAAGATAAATATTAACTTGCTTGGTTAATCATGCACTGGACTCAATTTTTGTTGAATATCGGTTTATCAATACATTTAAATATGTTTAACTCCCTTCATTCAATTGATTTAGCTTTTGACAAACACAGTCAGACAATTTTAAAGAAAGGATTTGTTTAATTTTAATCGTTTAATCTTTCTAACCGTACCTTGGAAGAGCTTTTCTTGCTCCTTCCCAAGCTTTTTTATACACCTTCAGAGCCATATTAGTGCAACAAACACGATCCTCTATGGATGATGATCCAGTTCCTGAAGCAGCTACAGCAAATTGTTGTCTCATAACACTTAACCTTTCATTTGATGGTTCATTTGTAATATTATCACCATCTTGATTAGCTTCACTATCAACATTGACTTTTTCACTATCCCATTGAACCGAGTTAACTTTCTTATTTTGGCTACCATCGTCAACAATTGATTCAACGGTTTCCGATTTCAGTGACCTGACAATGTAAACAAATAAAATATGATTATACAAATTAACACACAAAAGCATCAACCGTCAATGGCCTCGAATCGACCTGTAGTCTTATTGCAATTAGTGCGATCAAAAACTACAAAGCAGCAGCATTTTTCAACAAATGGTTTAGGTGGTCATTGAATTAAGTTGACTGTCAATTATTGTTAAAATAGCTGTTGAAAGCAATTGTTGAAAATGTTTTGTTAAACGGCTTTTGATCAGTTGATCATTGAATCACCATTTTTCAAGTCAAAAATTGACATTGATTTATGGATCCAAGCTTTTGTAATTTGGTTATTACGCTGTCAATCAGGCTTGTAGGTTGATAAGAGAGGTTAATTTGTATTTTAATTTCATGCAATCTTAAGCACATAAATAACACAATTGTTTTACCTTTGAGCTACATTCACAGAGTTGACTGTTAAAGCAAAATGGATATGATATTCAATGGTATACAGATTGACTGCTGGCAAAGTAATCTGTGACAGCAAAAATGGTGTTATAACACTTGACGGTCACAATTAATTGGGTATCTTGTCTTAAAATTCAACAATACAATCAAAAATTGGATCACAATTGATAGAGACTGGATAGTCGATCAGCAACTCAACTTGAAAAGTGAAATGACAAGACTGGTAAAGGTTTTTGTTGATCCTAATTCATTTTTCTCATCGCATCAACCTTTAAATAACATAATAGAGTTTACCTGAATAAAACAATTAACCCAACAAACATGCAAATCTGGTTACTCAACTAAAGTTATAAACATGCAACCGGAATCTCTTGGTTTAATCATTTCCGAAGAAAGCTCTTTCTGTCTACCATTTTGATTGAAAGCCTTGAAATTAAATTGGTACAGAGGATAAATTGATCAAATCTAAATAATGTCTTAAGATGATGAAAAATAAATGCAAATAAATGAACCGAGATATATTTTATAGATTAAATAACAGATCACATAAATTGCTACCAATGTTGGGTAAACTGTAAGATATAAATGTTACTTTAAGAAACCATAAGAATCATTAGATTGACCAGCAAATAATTTCTGTTTAATATTCTTCAATTCAAATATAACTCTGCTTTTATATACTATTTTAGTTTTATTTATGCCTATTAAACACTGATTGATCACAATTTAATTTAAACTCCAAATTTTGACGCTTAAAAATCATAATTACTTTTCTTGGTAACCGACGACCCATTTTTAAATTGACCGCTAGAGTAAAATCCCAGATGTAAATGTTTTAGCAAGTTAGTTGTTTTGGTACCAACCTGTTTTGATGTACAAGATCCATCTCAATGGAAGTTGCTAATTATTTGTTTGTTTGTTTCTTGAAGGTAATTTAGCTTAATTGTAACCTTAAACTGATAATTTTATTTTAATTTTTACCAATCCTTGTTCTCTAGCAAGAAAACATCAGATGACATTAATGTTAGAGTGTCGAAGGATTGGTTCTGAAGGAAACCTGCACGATGGCCAATGAAAGCTCCAATTAGACAACCATTCAAGGGATTCTGTGATTTATTGTGATAATTTAATATATAATTATGATCAAACTTCAAGGCAAGTCAAAGGATAGACTGACATAGATAAAAGACGCAACAGAAAAAAATCTTGAAGCTATAAGATGAGCAAAGAGCTAAGAATAAAGATGACAAGATATTTTTGGCAAGTCAATTGCGATTTGCATTTCCCATTCTCAACGCAGCAATCTGGATCTTATTTTTTCTGAAGACTATTTGTTAGATTCAAAAATATCTGGTGATCACATTAAAATGGAACATGAAATATATCGTTACAATACAATGCTCGTGATCTAAGAACCCAATCATCAAAAAGATTTCGATTTCTGGTTGATACATTTAAGTCTGTAAACTTTTCTTTTCAAGAAATGACGATGAAACAAAATTCTGGTTATTCTTGTGATACATAATCGTATGTATGTATATTTATAATCTTTGATCAAAGATGATCTGAATTGCTTCACAGAATCTTATTTTTGGTTGAATTTAAAACAAAGTGACAAGCAAATTGAAGGATGGCCAAGTAATGTTATTACCTTATAAATATTAGTTGTGGTAGTTACACAGGGATAAAGCATAGGAAAACAAACAGCAACCCAGAGGCAAAGTTTAATTGAATCCAAGCCGATTAATCAACTGACCTTTGCATGATGAAATCTTGTATTTTGTATAATCAATTGCACCGAATGAAACAATCACAATAATAAAACCAATGGAACTTGATTTAAATTAATCCATAGAATATTTCGAAGCATTTGTCTCAGGCAATATCGTTTCTGTTGAATTACTTGTTAAAAGTTGAGTGTCTGAAGATAATCCCGGTGAAAGGTTAAAGCAGAAAACACTTAAGTTTACTTCAAGAATGACGATGTTTACATGAAGGGTGTAATATTAATTTGATGAGAAACCTTGTGTTACAGGAACTTTGATTGGAGCTGTTAACAGAAAACAATTAAAATTTAGTCTTGAATTGAAATAGAATGAGCTATTCAAATTATGGATGAGTGAGAAGAGGATAATGGCGAGGAAGTAGCTGTTTGTTTATCGAGAGACTTTTAGTTTTGGCTAAGATCTTTCGAGTTACTAATTTAACCAAACATCTTTTTACCTCTTTTCATATCTCTCTCTTTCTCTCGTCTCTTTCATCCTCCTCTCTCTTCCTCTAACTTATCGTCTTAGACAATTTTTGGGTTGTTGTCAAAGAGACTCTTCCCTTAAAGATGAGTCTCTTCAATGTAGGCCAAACTTTCATCAACTGTGTTCTGCCACTAAACCATCCTCAGTTTTCAACCAACCTTGTTACGATAAGTTAATTCTGATTAGCTAGCATTTCCAGATAAATAGTCAGCTCTTCTCACACATTTATGTACCAAAATTAACACTTTAATTTAATCAATGGCTTGCGAAAACAAAAGCGTTGTTAAATCAAGCGTTTCTCTACAAACGTTGTTCCAAAAAAGTATAATTTATTTGATTACAATTATATAAAATTAGGTACATTTATTATTGATTTGGGAAAGATTTTAGTCGAATTATCTTGCGTGATATTTCTCACTCTTTTCAATAATTGTTAGACACAATGTTCGCTTTTTACATAACTGAATTTACCACTGCTTATATCTTCGATGTCACCATGTGTTATCTTATGATGTGCTCGAACTTTATCCATTGATTCACTGATAAAGGAACAGATTAAACACCGATACACCATCTCACCAATAATGATGCCACTTTCATCACATATCAAAGATCGAAAGTTTTTCATTTCATTTTGATTGATATGCACTCTAGGTTTAGCTTGACGTTTGTTCGAGGTTTCAGATTTATCCATATTGACAGGGCACGAATGAAAATGGGACGACTAAAGCTCACAGAGTTGATCTAATGCAATACAATAAAATTGGTAGGTAGGCCTGGAAATAGAAAGGAGAAGATATTAGAATTAGAACAATTGAAACAAAGGTAAAGGAAAGAGTAAGAAATACAAACCAAAGCAATAGCAAGAGAGAGCACGCCAACGAGACCTACAGATGAGAGCGATAAAAAGTTAAGAGGAGCAGAGGAAGAGGGAGCTGCAGCTTAAAAGATATGGAAACTTTCCTAAGAATTGTTAAGATACCCAGTAACCACCAAATAACACACCCGTAGTTATACTGACCAAGTAATCGCCGGTTACTTTTTCAAAGCAACACTTGTAAACAAGCGTCAAATTATCAGACAAAATTTATCCGAGTGACATCTATTGGTAGATTTAAAAACTTCATTTGAAATCTATTCCTCTTTAAACTTCTTATAAGCTTCTTGTGAGACGGTTAAGTTAACCATTCATCTCGACTCTAAGCAAGAGCCTTTTGACCAAAGATTAAGGAACCTTGAGAGCCTTTTGACATTTTTTTCAAAAAATCTCATAAAAAACTTATTAAATTGTTTTTTTTAATAATTCCCATCTAGAAGCAGCAATTAGCTCGTAGCTTGAGCTGACTTTGGTGTTGAAAAAATAATCTAAATAAAATTATTTTTGGTATTAAATTATGTATATTTACTGGTAAAACATTAGATTTATGAAAATAAATAGAAGCTACAATCAATTATAAAGAAATAATTTACCTAATATTTGTTAATAATTACAGAATTGTGCATTTTTCGCAGTTCTACTAATGAGGCCTCTAAATTTCCGCACAATTGTATAAAAGCCTGGTGTTCTTGGATCATCGCACTCATCGAAAGCACCCGAGACTAAACCCACGGCGAAATATCTTCCCCCACTCTTGTACATTAAGGCACCACCCGAATCACCGCGACACGCATCTCCACCTGTCTTTGTGTCAACGCAGCACATATGAGTTTCATGAACTTTAGGTACATCATAATCCTTGGGCGATTGGGCTATATTTGGATTGGTACGCATGAAATAATCTTTGATCATTTGATTGCATTTATTATCTGGGAAAGAAGAAGAGAAATAAAATTAAATAAAACATTACAGTATTGATTCACACTGATCATTTTCATGTTCATTTTGAGGAGAATATGTGTTTTCTATTTACTCACCTTTTATATATTCAACCTGAACATGCATTAAAACTTTTGAAGGATTTGAATTGGCCCCAAGTCGTCCAAAACCAGCAACTTGCAGTACTTTATAAGGTTCATCGTCACTCTTAGGCAAACAAATTGGACTGACAGTTCTTGTGAAATTGACTGGCTCAGCTAGTTCAAGAACAGCGATATCATTCAATAAATTACGCCTTTTGTAGGTTGTTGGGTAAAAAAATTTGGCCACTTTATGAGCTGTGTTGAGATTGGTTAAATCACGAACACCAAGATATACTTCAGTTGCCTCGATACTTCGTAGTTTTTGGTTTCCATCATGAATACAATGAGCAGCAGTTACCACATGTTTAGAGTCAACCAAGAATCCACCACACAGTCCGAACCTATCTCCTCCAGGTTTCTCAAAAAACCTAATACACGATAACAATTTAACGATCCATTCACGGTTGAAACAGCATTGATGGTGATCCAAATGGCACAATTAGCATTTACACAATTGATTCGGTATAATTAAAATTAAACCATAACATGTGTAAAGGTATATTGAAAGACGAATATTAGAAATATTTAAACAATCTATTAACATTATGGTTAGGGATATTTAAAGTAAGCATTTCAATCTTACTAAGCAACTAATTAATCTAGCAATTTGCTTCAATCTATTGATTGACACTAGCTAAATTAAATAAAAATTGCTCACTTGTATCTCCATAACCATTTAAGTTACCGAGAGTTAATTTCAACAGCTGTGAAAAAACCTGTATGTATACAGTAAAATCAACTCTTAGTAACCGTTTTTGGGTTTTGTGTTTGATTAGACAATATTGTACGGTAAAACTAAACAAGTGATAACATTATATTCAAGATTTGAATAGCAATAATGAATCACATAAATGGTTGTAATCAACCAAGCAATCAAAACAAATAGCTATTAAACTTGAACTGAAAAAATATCATGTCAACAGGTTATTTAAATTGCTAATAATAAAAATGGCTGTGCCTACCTAAACTATATCAAGGTTAATCTAAATATTTGAATTGATTGGTTGAATTTGATAAAGAAAACCAAATTAAACTAACAATTAACAGGTTAACCGTAGTTTCAATGGTAATAATAGTAATAGGTAAATAAAGAGATTGATTGATGGTAATGAAGGAGTAATGTAAGTTGGGTGTTTGGAAAGAATCGTGTTTAAAGAGGTGGAGAGGTTCAATGGTTTACAAACAAACGCATTAAATCTTACCTTGATTACTTTTATTTACGAGAGATAATTAAATCATTTTCCATTAAATGCAACCCGAAAGCGACCTGCGCCTTTGGATGATATATTATGTTTGTCGGCCTCATGTAATCACATGTATTTAGTGTTGATGGTCATGTTCATCTATATCTAAAGTGGAATCGGGTATTTTGATAGGATAAAAGTCATGCGACATCATGCAAACTTTATTATGGTCATGCATCGCCATGCACACCGTCAGGTTACCTAAATTAGGTGCTAACAGGTTCAGCGATATTGTATATTGGAAAGCACACATTGGCATTTCCCTGAATAGATAACTTGACTTACCTAAGATGAGCCATCCAAGGATATTCATAAGATGTTACTGCTGATCCACCGTAAATACGAGATCCAACATAACTTTCACTGTATCCACAATCTGGTCATTTAACAACAATACAATATTAATCAATAGCAACCAGAAATTTGATAAAAACTGGATTCTTTTCAAATTTTTGGATTCAGAAAAGCAATTGTAAACACACAACTAGACAATTAAATTTCAATACTTTAAATAATAAATCAATTTTGTGCCTTAAAACTGTGTTAATTTGTAATTCAAATTGATTAATGTGTCGTTTTGATGCATCTTGACTTGAGAAGTTATTTTCAGATTCAATAGCTAATTCATATGTTTTTAAACATTTTAAGCTGGCAACAGACTTAATTGTCTGAAAATTGATTTCCAATTTAATTTTAAATCTTAATGTAACTAAATTTAAATGTAAAATCAATTAAAAAAGAGACTAATACAGACTGCAATTGAATAGCCTTTACTCGTCTACAATGTATCCTTTTTTGGGTTGTTTTTCAGTATAAGTGATTAGCTTTTGCCAAATCTTGATTGCATCAAGGATTAATCTGCTGAGCTTGAATTTAACGGTTAAAATGGCTAACCCATGAGTCTGAGTTTCAAATGTATGATTATTATGAGAATAGGTTCCAGTGGAAATTGATAATTCCATTAACTCACCACAGCGTTCACAGTTTATTGAGCTGATTGAATATATGACAATTAGAATGGTAAACAACATCTTTATTGATAAATCCAAATAACTGATGGCTTATTGAAATGATTTGAACTGTTGATCCTCACTGGTTGGCTATTAATCCACTTTGAGGTTTAAGCACACATGATGGATGATGAGTAAAGGTGAAAATAAGATATCCTGATTCAGATTCAGTGTATGTAAATATCAATAAACAAGATGAAAATTGAATAGAGAAGTGAGTTAAAACAAATCAAACATCGAACTGGAAATGAATAAAATGAAAGGTATTTGGTTAGAGTGAGAATAAAGACGTTAATCAAATGGAGATCTAATTTTCTCGCTTTCTTTTGCTTTTACAATTAAAGTTAATTGTTTACTTTCACTACCTTTTTTGCACAACAACCATCATCACTATCATCTGATCTAGTGAAATGAAAGTTAAATAGGTGAATAGATTGATTTATATAGTAAAAACAAGGGAAAACCAGCTAAATTATCCAATAAATTTTCCAATTTGTGATCAACTGTTTAAATCAAACCATTCTTGTTACCCTGTTTTAAATAATTAGTGATCACAAACCATTAGTTGAAAGGTTACGCAAAATTGTGGTTGAGCCTTACCTTGATTATCTGTCATATTGTTGTGTTTAACCTGGCTTTTTTTGCCAATTTAACTGTTTTTAGTGTACAATATGGATGGTTACATGAAAAAATTGGTTAAACTTGTACTGTGAGAAGCTATTGTAATTGAAACAATAATGATTAATCAGGCAACTTTTTCTCTGATTCAATCACGGTTTAATCATTTCCGATCAAAAAAGGAACCAATGAAAAAGTTATTCGAAAATTGAGACGAAATCTGAAGAAGTTCACAATCAGATCAATCAGGATCATCGATTGATTGAGCTGTTACTCGTTTGATTGAAGTTTTTTTCGCTCAACTCATCTAAATCCAAATTAATTGTAGCGGAAGAGTAGTTTTCATAAGCTTATCTGGTTCAAAGTCAACCAGAAAACTATTGCTCATTGTGAATGACTAAAAAATTAGCACTTCCATCACGACAATCAAAGAATAAAAGTTGATGTTTCAATTAAATTGTATCTCAAATCATGCTCTTTTTATCATGAATTATGATGTCTCTTTGAATAACAGAGAAACTGAAAGAAGCTCCGTTCTTTAGCAATTGGGAACAGAAATCTTTTCATATCCGAAGCTCATCAAGTTTTGAGCTTGAAATCAACCCCTGAATGATGATGTATTATCAATGATAATTATCAGTATTATTGGGAGTGCATATTTGCTTCGACAAGTGAGAGACAAACATTCAGCAAAATACGAAATCGATAAGAAGCCTAAAACATTCAAAAATTTCGCTCTTACAATAGGCTTAACACTAAACAAGTACTTCTAGTCATGTGTTTCTAGCCATTCCCTAGAAAATAAATAGCGTTTTTACAGTTTATTAAGCGCTCAATTATCAAATAAAGCATTTTATGAAAAAATATCAATTTTTTATCATTCATATCTCATCTTTATTGTTTTATTATTTTCTTGCTTCTGATTGTAAATGGGTGTAGAATGAAAGATAAATTTTGTGATTTTAGATTTGCGATGCTTTCGATGCAAAGTTTACATTCAGATATTTTGCAATAACCATTTAATTACGGTTTAATCTGTTCACTTTGATCTAGAGTTTGCCCTGAAAGGATAATAATATGTATGAATAATCGAGACAAGGTGATTCAATTAAGAAGTTTCTAAATGATGCTTTTGAACAGATGATAAACAGTTAGACAATATTAACATATAAGCAACATTTCAAGCAACGACTTTAGTTAAAAAACGTGATAAAACAAATTAATGATAAATCTATTTCCATTCGAGAGATTCGCCAATTTCACTGTAAATCAACCAGTTAACCAACATGGATTTTGCAAATATTCATATTTTAGTGTGTGTTTATGTACTTCAATTCACAATGGTAAGCTACTTTATATAATATTTTTCACCAAACATTTGATTTTTTTATTCTTCATCAAGGGTCTTGTGTACGAAGTTGTCAGTCCCACTATGGATGAATTGAAAGCTGTAACCAGCTCGAGTGATGAAAAAATGGCGTTAATTTATTCGCTAAGATCGACTGGATATGTTTTCGGATCACTGATAGGTAATTCCCATGTAACTTAATCAAGTTCATCTTTTATATTGTATTCTCGATTTTCAGGAGGTCGCATTTACCAGTTCACGATTCCTCTGTTATCTCTATGTTGTGCCGTTTGCATCAATTCAGTGACCATTGGATTAGCTGGTCAAACATATAACATAAAACTACTCTTTTCAATTTTCTTCATAAATGGATTCACAACTGGAATGATGGATGTAGGCACCAATGTTTGGATTCTCCGACTATTTTCAGATCGAAGTGGGCCCTACATAATGGCTCTTGTAACTAGCTTTTCACTCGGAACTGTCTTAGCGCCATTGTACACCGCACATTTCCTCCAGGAGTTTCCATCGCCAGGAGAAACATCCAAAATTTACATTCCCTACTTGATAACATGTGTGTTTGAATTAGTCGCACTCGTTGGTTTAATTTACTTACTCATCAAACAGTCGTTTTTACGGTACGAGAAGAGAAACTTTTTTGCTCGTCGGGAAAAAAATTATGCTGATGGGAACACTGATGAACCAAGCAATCAGGAATCGACCAGTTTAAACATGAAAATCATCATCTTTCTTGCACTTTGCATGATTATGGTCTACAGTGGAATGGAGATTATTTGGTCTGAGTATTTGATTCCAATGTTGAATCGCAGTAAACTAAATTTATCAAGCTCAACAACTGCAAAAATTAAGTCGACTTCCAATGCAGCACATGCCATTGGTAAAATTGTTTTCATTGGTGTCACTGCCTTCATTCGTCCTGATCAAATAATATTGTTTGATTCAACGATAATTACTATTTCCACCATCATGCTACTCATCTTCTACAATTCTTCTTCAACGGGAATCTGGATTTTCAGTGTTCTCTTCGGAATTGGAACATCATCTCTCTATCCGTCAATTTATCCCTTCATTCAAACATTCATTGCTGTTGATTATATCAAAGGATCTTACCTCATTTGTGCAAGTAGTCTAACCGATGTAATAGCTCCAATTTTGATTGGAAATCACCTGGAATCGACTCCAAACTTGATTCTCTATCTCGAACTGGTCACAATGGCCATAGTCTTTGCTTCCACATTTTCCATAAAAATTCTCGGTTCGCGGCTACTTTCACATGAATCAATCAATAACAATGAAAATGGTGCATACCAGTTAAGATGAGATCTTCCATTTAAGTTGAAACTTCGATCGCATTTTGTTCAGCTATGGAAGGAGATGTTTTCGCGAAACTTATTTTTCTGATGTAATTTTGCATGATTAACTAGAAAATTTAATTATTTTGAGAAGTTTATTTCTTCTTTTTCTGTAAAACAGATTAGTTCGATTCGTAGTTAAACCGATCTGTTTCTGAGACCGTTTTAGTTAGAGAGTTGAAACTTATTTTACTTCGATAAAAACTGTTGCTACATATGCATGACCAGATATTTTTGCCAATTTATCAATAGTACTCTTGATTTTGGCCATTTGCAATTAAACTTTAAGTCTCAATATCCCGAGCATGGCATCGCCTACAATCATAATTGCTTCACTAATATTAGCATTTTTTAATAAATAATTCAATTCAACTTAATAACTTTACATTGCCGCATTTGGGTTACGATTTTTGAGAGGTAAATGAACGAGTAACAACTTATTCAACAAAACAAACTCATCTAAACCCATTTACTGGTAAAGCAATTTTCTGGTTTAACTTTTAAACGAAATGCAAAGAGTACTGCAAAAGAATCGAACATTTGAGTTGATAGTTGAGACTTAGTGGGGTTCGTAGGGACATTAAAACAGTGTCCATTGGTGCTATTAAATACTTCATACGATGAACAGTTTTCGAGAAAATGGAGTTCAGAGTTGAAACTTCGATCGCGTTTTGTACAACTATGGAAGCAGGTTTTTTTACAAAACTTATTTAACTGATGTATTTTTGAATGATTAACCATAAAGTGTAACTATTTTGCCAAGTTTATTCCTTCTTTTTCTGTAAAACACATTAGTTCGATTTTTACCTAAACTGATCTGACTCTGCAACCATTAGAGTTAGAGAGCTAAAACTTATTACTAGTTGATAAAAATTGTTTGGTGAAACTCATGGGTTGAATGATTTTTCAAATTTATCAATAGTTCTCTTGATTTTGACTTTTGGCCTTAAGACTTTAAGTCTCAATATTTCGAGAATGGGCTAACCTACAATTATCATTCCTTCACTAATGCAATCCTTTGCTAATGAATAATTCAACCCAACTTAATTACTTTTCATAAGCGCATTTTTTCATAATATTTGGGGTTTAAATGAACAAGCAGCATCTTATTCAACAAAACAAACTCATCTAAACCCATTTACTGGTGAATAAAGCAATTTTCTGGTTTAAACTTCAAAATGAAAGGCAAAGAATGCTGCAGAAGACTCGAACATTTGAGCTTGTAGTTGAAACTGAGTGGGTTTCGTAGGAACATAAAAACTGCGTCCATTGGTGCTATTAAATACTTCATACAATGAATATTATCGATATTATCGATATTTTATTTAAAACTTTCATCGCATTTTGTTCAGTTGTGGAACGACCTGTTGAACTCTGAAAAGAGTTTGAAGTTGTCATTAGATGAGCTTTTCAATGTCTTAGATTATATCTTTTGCATTGAAAAGAGCCTTTTCTTGAGCGAATGCAGAGATATAAAAATGCAATGTTATGGTCATTCAAAAATTTTCCGAAATTTACACAAAAATTTAGCTAATTAGCATCTTTTAAATGTCTTAAATCATATCGATATTTTTTTCAGTTTATCGATGATATTTTTTGTAAAAATATCGATATATATCATCGATTTCGATAATATCGCCCAACTCTAGCTTGTAGTTGAAACTGAGTGGGTTTCGTAGGAACATAAAAACTGCGTCCATTGGTGCTATTTATAATTCATACAATGAATAGTTTTCGAGAAAATCGAGGTCAAATTTGAAACTTCGATCGCATTTTGTTCAGCTATGGAAGGAGATGTTTTCACGAAACTTATTTCTCTGATGTATTTTTTGATGATTAACCAGAAAATTTAATTATTTTGAGAAGTTTATTTCTTCTTTTTCTGTAAAATAGATTAGTTCGATTCGTAGTTAAACCGATCTGTTTCTGTGACCGTTATAGTTAAAGAGCTGAAACTTTAGATTTATCCATAAAAATGGATGATTTACATCATGGATTAGATGCTTTTTACAGTTTATCAATAGTTCTCTTAATTTTGGGTATTAACCAAAAAAAAGTTGAGGCTCATTATTTCGTGAATGGTATTAGATACAATTTTAAATTTATGACCAAACATTAGATTTTATTATGGACTATAATCAGTTGAAATAGTAAATTATTTAAGATGCTAAGAAAAAAGTTATAGCACTGTAACACTTATGTCAGGAGATCCGAGTTTCATTTAAAAAGTTAAATAGTTATTCAAACACAGATTTTATCTGTTATAAGGATATTCATGATTAATGAATCAGCTTAGATTTCAGACGGCATTTATTAATATTATGTTATAGAACATGGTGCAATCTAATGTTTGGGCGAAAAATGATGATTGTAGGTCATGCCATTCTCGAAATATTGGGGTTCAAAGTTTTAAGGCCAAAAGCCAAAACCAAGAGAACTATTGATAAATTTGAAAAATCATTCAACCCATGAGTTTCACCAAGCAATTTTTATTAACTAGTAATAAGTTTTAGCTCTCTGACCCTCATGGTCACAGAGTCAGGTCAGTTTAGGTAAAAATCGAACTAATGCGTTTTATTCTGAACAGAAAATTTTTGCTTTCGACATTAATTCATTTTCTGGTTGACTATCAAAATTTACATCTTTAAAATTAGTTTCATGAAAAAATCTGCTGGCACAGCAGAATAAAATGCGATCGAAGTTTCAACTTTGAACTCCATTTTCTCGAAAACTGTCCATCGTATGAAGTGTTTAATAGCACCAATAGATGCAGTTTTTATGTCTTTACGAACCCCACTAAGGCTAATCTATCAACTTAAAGGTTTGAGTCTTTTGCAGTACTCTTTGCATTTCGTTTAGAAGTTAAACTAGAAAATTGCTTTATTTACCAGTAAATGGGTTTAGATGAGTTTGTTTTGTTAAATAAGTTGTTACTCGTTCATTTACAGCTCAAAAATCGTAGCCAAAATGCGGCAATGGAAAGTTATTAAGTTGAATTGAATTATTCATTAGCAAAGGGTTGTAGAGATGAAGGAATGATGATTGTATGTTATGCCATTCACGAAATATCGAGGTTCAATGTTCGAAGGCAAATGGCCAAAATCAAGAGTGCTATTGATAAATTGACAAAAATATTTGGTCATGCATATGTACTAACAGTTTTTATCGAAGCAAAATAAGTTTCAACTCTCTAACTATAACCCTCTCAGAAACAGATCGGTTTAACTACGAATCGAACTAATCTGTTTTACAGAAAAAGAAGGAATAAACTTCTCAAAATAATTACACTTTATGGTTAATCATTCAAAAATACATCAGTTAAATAAGTTTTGTAAAAAAAACCTGCTTCCATAGTTGTACAAAACGCGATCGAATTTTCAACTTTGACGTCGATTCTCTCGAAAACTGTTCATCAGAGAAATCTTTTAATTGCACAAATAAAGTCATTTTTATGTTCTTACAAACACATAGAGTCTAAATTTGCAAGAAATTAATTTTTACCCGTTTGCCGCCCATTTATGTAAATTCATGCATAAATCTGATAATTGTGTTAATTGTGCTTTCTAGTAACAACCGTACGCTAACAAAGAGTGTCAGTTAGCGGCGAAAATGTTTTCTTCTAAATTTTCCCAGTACTGCCCGTCTTAATCCAAATAAATTATTGTAAACGACTAAAAAATTAGCACTTTTATCCCTTAATCAATCGAAAATCTATTACAATAAAATTATTCATTATAATTTTAATATAGACACTCATAACCTAAAGTAATAACATCTAACGTGGCTTAGGATAATTTCAATATCATCGGAACAATGATAGATACACAATTGCAACTACAAAATTATACAAACACAAAAGACATTTCGCATTCCACAAATCCTTGCAATTGAAATGGGAATTATGATTCAGACTCAAGCATATTTATAACGTCTTATCTAAATGTTATTTCCAGTCTTATACAATTGTTTAGCAGATTTTTTCAATAATTATGATCACGAGCTAAATCACAAACAACTTTGGATAACTTAACACAACTTAATCTTTCCTCATATTATGTCAATGTGCTTATTAAATATTAAATAAACGCGTATTAGACGGTTAGATTAGTTAAATAAGATTATGAGAAAAAATAATAAATGAAGATTTACTTTATTAACAAAATGAGACGTAAACGTAAACAAATTGAGCCTAAAAATTGGTTGATTGCTCTTCTTTTAGACATTTCTTGTTATTCTCACGGCTTTGCTGTATGTTTAGCTGTTTGTTTTTATTCCCTGTGTCTGACTCATAAAGCAACAATAATCCCCTTTAGCGAGTTTATCTTTCAATCCTGTGTCTATTATTCATTAGTCAGATCAAATTATTGTTCATCTTTTCATTTTAAATAATTCTATTACTGACTCTAGAGCTGACCTGTTAATTACAAAATGGGAGCCCTACTAAGTGTATTCACTGTAGGCCAGGTAAGCCTTACATATATTTGTTTTTGTTTTGCTTTGTCTTTCTTGTCTTGTAGTGAATTTATGTTTTGTCATTTTAGTTTTAACTCCTTAATTTATCTTTTAAATCTAATTAACAATCTATTCTTTTAGTTGGCCTGCTGTTGTTCGAGTGCAGCTTGTAACTTGGCCTTCTGTGGACTGCAATCATGTTTCAGTTCAATTGTATCTCGAATCATGTACGCCATGATGCTCTTTTTATCAACCCTTTTATCATGGATTATGATGTCCCCTTGGGTAACAGAGAAACTAAAAGAAGTTCCGTTCTGTAAGAGTGGTTCAGGATATTCTGCAATGTGTATACAAGCAGTAGGCTACCTCTCAACCTATCGAATTCTTTTCGCTCAAACCATTTTCTTCCTCATGTTCTCATTAATTATGCTGAATGTAAAATCGTCAAAAGATGGAAGAGCTGCCATTCAGAATGGGTATTTATATTTATCTGATGAGCTCATGATTACAATTATTAATTCTTGTCTCTTTTATATTTAAAAATCTAGATTTTGGGGGCCTAAGTTCCTGGTTCTCATTGGGCTAATGGTTGGAGCTTTCTTTATTCCTGAAGCGGACACTTTCGGCCAAGGTATGCTTTATAACCTTCCGATCATTGCTATATTTCATAAAATTACATCATATCTGCATATTTTATTTAGTTTGGATGTACGCTGGTCTTGTTGGTGGTTTTCTGTTCATTTTAATCCAATTGATCCTCATCATCGATTTCGCTCATAGCTGGGCTGAGAGTTGGGTTGAAAAGATGGAACAAACAGAGTCAAGGTGGTGGTATGCAGGTAAGCAAAAGCATTTTTTTCAATTTCCATATCTGTATGAGCTTATTTTAGAAGGATTTAGACTATTAAGATTAGAGCCATTTATGTTCAATAATATTAAGTAGAGAAAAGTAACATAGATAGGGTTAAAAAGTGGCTTCATGTTTAATGTTTACAACAAAGGAAAGATTCACATGACTTTCTTTGGAGCTCTGGTGTATGTTCTATAATAGAATTTCAAGAACATGACAAGAAAAATTGTCGCATGCATTCCTTCTAGAAAAGCGAGTAATCTTGGATAATGACATCCATCCGTGAAGAAGGCATAAGATGCATGAACAATGGTTGCCATGAATTGTACAATTTGGATTTGAGTAAGCTGTTTTTTCCACCAAAGAAACTTTTTCATACTTGGACCTGCACAAGCCATAGCATAATATATGTACATAATAAAATGGATAAAACAATTAAAGATAGGAAGGAAAGCACTATATGGTCCAGGATGAAATTTTAAGCCAAAATAGGCCACTAAAGGCATAGATCCATGGTGAAAAATATGAAGGAAAGAAGCTTGGTGATCTTTTCTACGTAAAACAAAGAATATGGTATCCATGAAATCAACAATTTTAGTCATGAAGTAAATCCAACCGAGCCAGATGAGGATCGAAATTTTGATGTCAAATTTATCTTGTTTCTCTGGTGGACTACAATCAAACGTTTTGCTTCCCCAATCGGTGACCCAAAGTCCCACAAAGGTTCCAACTCCATTTACTCCAATGAGAAAACTGTTGTGAAGTAACATAACCTCTCTTAAATCAAAAGGTGGTCGATTTTTCATGAAAATTGGACCAAAAACTTTAACAAACAGAAGATAACATATTACAATGGTAAACACTTTCCATGGTCCGCCATTGATGATTGGCATGGAAAACGTGCGAGGATCGCCATATTCATTCCAAAATCCATTGACAACATAATCAAGATTTAACTTGCTCATTTCGGAGCCATTGACAACCATAGTAATACAAACAACGAAAAAAAGTTTAATCGAACGTCTTTTATTAATGCAGTTAAAATGATAAAGATCATTCAACTAAATCAAACTTCTTAACTTAACAGAAATCTTTTCATATCTGAAGCTGATCAAGTTTTGAGCTTGAAACCAACGCGTTACACCTGAATGATGATGTACTACCAGTAATAATTATCAGTATTATTGGGAGTGCATATTTGCTTCGACAAGTGAGAGACAAACATTCAGTAAAATACGACATCGATAGGAAGACTAAAACATTCAAATAAGTAATTCATGTTCATTCAAAAAGTAATTTCGCTCTTTTTGAAAAGCCTGATCGCACAAATCTTACAAGCATATCAAGAGGGATTGGTGTTTGCGCTTAAGTCATTTTCAACGCCATCACCAGCTCAACTTTTAATGATTTCGTTTCACCTCTTTCTTCCAAGTTAACATAAAAATATCAACTAATTAAATGTTGGTGACTTATCTTAAGAAAATACAGATTAGATGCTAATTATAATTGGTAAATTGATACAATAAGTAAGTTGGTTAAAGTAAACGATAAATAAAGCAGTAACAAAACAAAAATCTAAAAAATACATCTACCATTAAATTAACCTATCTTGGCATGATTTTTGATAACAATTAGTAAAGACATTATCTTTTCGACTATTTGATAACAATTTAACTTACAAATTGTCATTTTAATTAATCTAATTCCCTTTTTCGAAGTGCTATTTTTATTGTATTTATAGTGGAAAGTAAACATACATTAACTAATTATTATTGATATTTTCACAGGTCTCGTATTCTTCACTCTACTTCACTATATTGCTGCTATAACTGGCTATGTGTTTCTTTACCTTTACTATACCACTGAGAACGGATGTGGCCTACAGAAATTTTTCATCTCAACAAATCTTATTGTTTGCTTCATTCTCTCAGCTTTATCTATATTACCCGATGTTCAAGAAGGTAATTTCAATAATATTTTTCAATTTTCAAGATCTAATTATTTTTGCTCTTCTCTCATACTTTAGCTCAACCAAGATCTGGACTTCTTCAATCGTCTCTTATTACTTTGTATACAATGTACTTAACTTGGTCAGCTATGAACAATTCAGCTGATAATTGTAAACCATCTATTTTCCAACATGGAAATGACAAAACTTTCGATTCAATGTCTCTAGTCGGACTTGGAATTTGGTTTGCTTGTGTTCTGTATTCATCTATTCGTACCTCAAGTAACAGCCAAGTTGGTAAAATAACTATGTCTGAACGAATTCTTATGAAAGATACCAGTTCGGGTGAGTTAGAATACAATTCTCAATGTTCCTTGTTTGCTCTCTTTCAGTACTTTCTTTTATTTTCTTGTCGTTTGTCGCAATTTTCGTCCCATCTTTACCATTCCATTTTTACCTCTCTCTTCTCTCCCTCTTTTCATTCCTTTTATGTTTACTTTCCTCAAATTATCTTTATAACCCTTTATAAGTTAAAGTACAAATTTAACTTATATGCTCGTTATTTCTTAATGAAACAATTTTTTCGTCATAAACTACTGTGCAGATGGAGCTGGCACCCTTCTTAACCACTCTAATCAAGGTAATTTGCCTTAAAACTATTATTTGGTTAAAATTACATGAGGGTTGTGTTGCAATTTAGTCTGCTCATTATCTTAGTGCCTGCTTCATATTCATTTTCATTCTTGAATTTTACCTCAAGATAAAATTGCTCATTTCTAACATATTCAATGGATTTGTTTCTTTAATCAGGTAACAGTGACGGTGAAACCGGAGGAATAGTCACTTCAAATGATAACGAGGAAGATGGAGTCACATATAGCTGGTCATTCTTTCACTTCATGTTTGCCTTGGCTACTTTATATGTCATGATGACTCTCACCAATTGGTATAAGTAAGTTGATGAATTTTGTCAAATGTCTCTTCATTTATACATATATTTATCATTATTTGAAACTAATCGTGTTTTATTTTTTTTTCGTAGGCCTGACTTAAAGAGCGGCAATCTTAACCAGAATGAAGGTTCAATGTGGATCAAAATTATATCAAGTTGGCTTTGTTGTTTGCTATACATTTGGACATTGATTGCTCCAATAATCTTACCTGATCGAGATTTCAGTTAAACACAGAAACCTGACTGTTATCATTCATTTGATATCATTTCTATTATAACACTGTTTATTTCCACTTCCCTCTTTTGTCTATTTCTTGGTTTACACCATAAACCTCAAATATTATTTTAGGTTCATACACATTCGTCAACAATCATTTCAATTATATTGTATCAAAGAAAGTGTTGATTGTACGATCTGATCTTCAAATGATCCCTTCATCAGATAACAAGGTTTATATAATTCATGTAACCATTCACCAAAAGATAATCTTAGAATGTAAAGATCTTCAGGTCTAATTGTGGCCAAATTTGATAAAATGATAAATTGAAATATTAATCTCCCTATCTCCATCTTCATCCTTTATTCATCATTATCCATTAATAATTTTTATCCAAACCACACAATTAAACTTTTAATTACTCATATTTCCATTTAACTACAGTAAAAATACAGATAACAAATTCAAGCTCAATCTGATTGTGATACCGAAAATTGAATTATTGCATCTAATCAGAACATCAACAAATTTTTATCAAACATGCATGGCAATGATTTAATTAATCATGAACAATATACAAGCCTATCACAAATTACTAAACTTTAATTCTGCTGATGAAAGCTGTCATTTGCTGATGAGTTAAAAAATTAATTTATTTCCATCGACATTATTTCCTAAACATGAAATTCAAACTAAAGGGTGTCAGAAATAAAATGCTTGGAAGGCAGAAATTAAACTAAAAATTATTGGCTTCAGATAATTTTGGTTAGACAAAGGAAAACGATTTTTTATCAGATGATTTTCTGCCAGTTCGGTGTGTGAAAGAGGTTGCTATAGTAGG